CTTTGTGACCTTTTCCAGGAAAAGGCACTACAATTCATGACCAGGTATTTGTAGTACAGCAAAACTTGCCAAGTTAAATGGAAAAATCTTATTTTTTTGAGATCTTGATGGTACATTCTCTCGTGTCTTGAATCATTGACTCGACTCGAAAGTCATTTTAAAAGCTCTCACTCGCATTTTTTTAACTTTAAGAAACTCGTGAGGTTACACCAGCGCACTGAACACACAGAGAAAGCAACTATTTTAACTCTCAAGAGCGCATATTGCCTACTCACAACACTGAAGGAACGTATGCACAACATTAGTTAGGTGGAGTCATCGGTTTAGGTGCTCTTATGTGGTGCAGGGTAAAAAGTTTCCCTTCATTTGGACAATTAGGCAAAAATCGTTGCATCCGTGGAAAGTACTCATCAATTGAGGCCTTTGGTGCAAAAAGGACAGTTCATGGTTGCGGTGTTTCAGAATCTCTAGTCCTAATTTTTATTAAAGAAAGGAAACACTATCGGGTGAATTTTCTGAAATTTTACGTCCTTAGCACTGTGAAACCATGAAGAATATTCTGTAAAAGTTACCGCAAATTACATACATTTGCTTTAATCTTAAGCGAAAAAAAAGTAGCGTAAATTGGGCATCAATATTTTTGATTCAAGAGAGAATAAAGCTTAGTGGCAAATTTACGATTATTTTCTTTCAAAGCTCTTACTTTCGAAATAAATGCTAGATTTCACCAACATAACTGGACTAATTGGACTACATTATGCTATTAGAAACTACCTGGCTTATCTGTATTAACACTTGGGTATGTGCATTGGGAAACTGATAGTACACGCGTCCTTTTAGACTGAGCCATAAATTAATTCTTCTTTGCAAAATGTAGTCAAATTAGAATGTAAGAAAACCGAAGAAACTAACCATGAGTTAAAAAGGAGAGGGTATTCAGGAAATTCACAAAAATCTTTACTGGAGTTCATTGCTTAATCAGAGGCGATGGATCTATGTAGCTTTTGATGCTTCAAACGGAAAAAATTACACTTCGTCAAGGTCAAGAAAAGCTGGAAGCATGGGGAAATCTGGAGCAACCTCTAAATGTAGGCGAGTTGAGAAAGCACACCGATCGCTTGCCCGATGGGCGTTCCGCGAAAATAGTCTTGCATTCAAACTTTCCCCGGAAGCCTGTATTAATTAGTCTTGTGGGAGGGCACCACCAAACTCACCGCCAATTTTCATGACGATGCTTATTGCTTGGCGAATATTCGCAAGTTGAATGGGCGTCACATTAAAGCTACATATATTAATCGATTTATTCTCATTACTAGCATTGAAGGATTTTATTATTTTATTTCAATCCGATAAAACGTAGAATCCTTATATGGCAAAGTCATCGCTAAAAAGCGACTGTTACACCGTAGAGAACGATTTTAGTAGGGTTGGCAAAATAGAATTTTTTGAGGAGGTATCTCGGAGTAAAATGCGCGACTCTTTGTAACATTTTACGGAAGATTTTGTGTTCCGAGGGGAAATCCACGCTAGGTGGAAGAATTTTATCATGATAAAACAGTAAAGTATGTTCAACAATTGCTCTGGCGGCGGTGATTCGAAAAACCCTCCCATTTAACTTCGAAAAAATAAAGTAAAGGGAACCGTGAGGCCACAGAAACACAGCGAAGCGATTCTTGAATCTTCATTGTCCCGTTCGGATCAACGTTTTTTTTGAGGACCGAACAGCTATTGCACCAACCTCGAAGAAGAATCACGATATGACGTGAAAAATGGAAGTTAGTTTGAAAGTTGAGTGTCAAAATTACTTCAAGAGGAAAGAAGTTCGTAGCAGATATGATACACTAGATAAAACATAATCCACTTATAAACACATTATTCTGAGAACATTCTGAACGGGCTCACAATACTCAGTCACGCTATCATATCATTCCTACTTTTCTTTCAACACCTCCGATCATCAGATCGATGAGAGTCATTTACTTATGTCCGTTGAGCCATCATTACTTTATAAACTACTCGTTCCTTTTCTTTTCAATTTGATTAAATGCTCAAAGAGCCTTAGTTTCATGCGACGACAACATATCGATGGTGAAAGTGCAGAGGTGCGTACCTATCTCAGAAAACATGATTTTCCGGAGAGTAAAAAAAAACTGTCTACATTCCTCATTATTGTTGGTAGAGGGGTAATGATTCTTGAGGATACATAGCAAGAAAAAGATGCTTTTTCGGACTCCGTCAGCATTTTGAACAATTTCTTGAACTGTTGGAAAATACGGCGGAAATGCCGATATTCGCGTTTTAGGCACTAAGATTGACACGTCATCACGAGATACGCATTTTTGAAATTGGTGTTTTAAACCTGTTGTTGGCGGATTTTGGTCATTTGAAGACTAAAAAAAGAGTTTTGCGCTTACAAAAAAAAAAAAAGAAAAGAAAAAAAAAATCTTGAAACTTGCACTAATGTTCTTGGGGCATTTTTCAAAATTACGGCTCGATTGAAAACTCAAAAATCCTGAACATTTCTGCTCAACATCGTTCTAGAGGCCACACAAATACAATCCAGAGGAGCGCCTTCAACCCACTATGATATCAAAATGAAAAATTCTGATACCACTATTCGTGCGTCACGACAGTCATTTTGCATAGCCGGCCAATTGAAGGCAGATCATCGACCCAGGCAACAGGGCAGGGCCGGATTTACTTACTTGCCGCCCATGGGCCACCTGTATTTTGCCGCCCCCTTCTCATTCGTTTTGGAACATCAATAAAAACCATCAAGTGAAGTACCGGAGCGGGAGAGGAGGGGTGCATAAGACGCGTTTACTCGTGTTGGACACATTTTTTGCGAAAACCCTGTCAACACTATTAGCAAAAGTTCACGTAACTTTGCGCAAAAGTTAAGTTCCGTAAACCTATCTCTGTGTGAACAAGGCCTTCCATTTGTAAGAAATGAACGTACAAATTATGCAAGAACAAACATAAATGTGGTTTAATAATTTTAACCTCCGCCGCCGCGCCGCGCTGACTACACTGTTTTTGACGCAATGCGTGAAGTATTCATGAAGTCTAGCAGGCGCTATGCGTTTCACGCTGACCGCGCTGTTTTTGACGCAATGCGTGAAGTATTCATGCAGTCTTGCAGGTGCTAATATGTGTTACATGCCGACCGCTGCGCTGAGGGCTTCTCCTTTTCATCTCAAGTTCTATTTCATCACGTCCTATTCATCATCATTGCTCTCTGCGCCGCGTCGCTCCATACCAAATTGTGTGTTTGGTTTCTCTCTTCACTCGACTAATTAAAGGTCGACCTTTGTGTCTCCGAAAGATGCTTTACTCGTTTGTAATTTTTTTTTCTGAATCCGATTTTTTTTATACCTATATTTAAAAAAATTGCAAAATTTGCCGCCCCCTAAATATGCCGCCATGGGCCGCGACCCATGTGGCCACCCCCTTAATCCGGCCCTGCAACAGGGTACGAATTTCAGCTATGTGAAGCCCATCCAAGAATAAGAATAAAATCCAAGAGGCCCCTGTTTCTTATGGAACAAAACCCCCAGGGGTGCCCACCTTGGCATCCAAGGTGCCCAACACCCTGGGGCTGCCCCACCGGACCTCCAAGAAGCCCAACCCCCCGTAGGCTGTCCCACCTGATATCCAAGAAGCCCAACCCCCAGGGGTTGCCCCCATGGCAACCAGGGAGCCCAGCCCCCCCGGGGGCTGCCGCTGCCCCACCTCACCTGCAAGAAGCCCATCCAGGGGGCTGCCCCCTCGGCATCCAAGGAGCCCAACCCCCCGGGGGCTGCCCCACCTGACATCCAAGAAGCCCAACCCCCCGGAAGCTGCCCCACCTGACATCCAAGAAGATCAACCCCCCAGGAGTTGCCCCCATGGCAACAGAGGAGCCCAACCCCCCGGGGGCTGCCCCACACCTCACCTGCAAGAAGCCCAATCCCTAGGGCCTACCCCCTTGGCATCCAAGGAGCCCAACCCCCCTGGGGCTGCCCCACCGTGCAACCAAGGAGCCCAACCCCTCGAGGGCTGCCCCACCTGACATCTAAGAAGCCCAACCCCTCAGGGGCTGCCCATCCTGACATCCAAGGAGCCCAACCCCACAGGACTGCCCCCTTGGCATCCAAGGAGCCCATCCCCGGGGATTCCCCCCTAGGTATCTATGGGTCCCAGCCATCTCCACTACACTAGAAGTGCCCGCTACGGCGCAGCTTATATCAGTCATGTTCGAAAATATACCTATGTGCATTACTTGCCAAAATGGTCAATTAGTGAAATAACTAAGATGCCTAAAATTGAAGTCATTTAAAAGTATTTATAGATACTGTTCAAATTGATCGAAATTTTAAAACAATAAGTTGCGTGAGTGTAATGAAAGGGGAACAGGCCGATGAGCGGAAAAGGATTTGTTGGCTTTAATATATGCCCAAATCAATATTACCGGACCATCCCTCAGGGAGGCATCTAGGGATCTCTCTAAAACGAGAAAATCACACTTTTGACTCTTGGGTAGAGCCTCCACGGTAGATAAAGCATTGTGTGACTTGATTGACTCTGATACAAGAAGAAACAACTCAATCGGCCCGAAACACTGACAAAAAAACAACTTAAATCGGGATAAGGCCGCAAATAATAAAAAGAAGACATAAAATAAAATAAAAAACCCGGAACGATTCGCGGGGATCACACCCGCATTTTCAACCGACAAAACAAAGAAAATTAACAAGAAGGACACTGTGAGCCTCACCGCTGTTATTGTGAGACTGATAGTGCAACCAAAATGAGAAAAATGACCTTTTTGCTGTTTCTACAATGACCCAGAAAGAGTGTTTCTTCATTGCAAAATGTAGTCCATTTGTAACTTTTGTTACAAGTTTTCAAAAGTTGCGTTAAGGCACAGAACACATACAAAAGTGTCATGAAAAACGGAGCAGAAAAGCCATTTGTAAGTACAATGATCGGGACAGAATAAAAAGAGTAAAATTACTGACCTGAAGAGATTCTACGGTGTTCACCAAAGTTTCAAACGTCACATGTTCGTTGGAATCCAGGAGGAGGATTGATACACTGGATTGGATTTCTTTGGAAGCATTTTTCAAATTCACGTACATTTGCGTAAACTTGGTTGATAGTCCTTGGACCTCATTCAACTGAGAGCTTAACACATTGAACTGAGAAGTTAGTTCCAGATGTGTTTTCTCTGCGGCAGACAGTGCATTCTCCGCGTCATCAAAAACTGTGCATTTTCCGAGCAATTTCAAATTGGAGGGTGATGGACTTGCATTCCGCAATTTTCTCAGACTCTGGATCAGTTCTTCTTCTAACTTCAGGTCTTTTTCCAGAGGCTGAAATTGAAGATAAAAAGTTGCTGGGCTAAGATTATATTAAATACATGACAGGTTCCTCATTAAACTGGTGTCTTTACCAAGAATTCGTGAAGAAATAGGTGAAAAATTTTAGAAAAACATAGAGAACAGCAAAATACAGAAAATATCGAATTTTAAAAGAATTTTTTTTCTCATGGAAGTTGCGAAACAAAGTTGGACAATCCAAATTAACCACGAGCAATTCATTCAGAACGGTAAAAATTTAAAATGAAATTTTGAGCGAGGCAAGAACTAGAATCTTGAGAGATCAAGAGATCTTGATATCTGCCAGAAATTAGCCCTGAGTTAGAAAAAAACACTAAATTCATATTAAAGAATTGATGAATAAGTTTTTCTACAATTTCGGAGAGAAATATGAATGAAAGACCATCCACAGGAATTGGGATCTTAGTACATAAATGCTTAAAATTGAGCAATTGATAGAGTATAGAAAAGAATTCCACAAACTTCTTAAGATGAAAAATTCCTACCTTTATCAAATCAAATCGAAGTTATGATTGTTTAACTTTGCTGTTAAAAAAAATAGTTTTAAGAAACAGAAGAAAATGATCACTCACCTCCAGGTCCAATGGAACATTAGTGAATATCATGGCGAAAGATTCACTGTTACTGATGTAATTGGCAAAATTATTCTTTACAAGGTTTTGTTGATAGTCTAATTTGGCTAAATCCAAATTTATAGTCTTAGAATTTTCAATAATTTGAACAGCTTGAGATATTTCATTTTTCACGGTTTCTTCGGTTGAATTAACATCATTTAGAAGAGACTCAAATGAGTCAAAGTTATTGTCCAAAGGATTTAACTGACCCCATAACTCTTCTCTCAAAGCATTGCAGAGGTCCAAGGATGTCTGAAAATTAGCGAAAGAACAGAAATTAATTTCGGGAAAAAGGGCAAAAAATGGAAGAGGTAAAGGAAAAAGAGGGTGTAAGAATAGGAAAATGCAAATTTGAAAAAAAAAAACCACAAGGAAGTTAAAACACATATTTTAAAATTAGACGTGTTTATGCTAAAAGAAACTATGTGTATAGGGTTTGCGTGAGACACAGTTCCTAAAGTACGCATAGATGCATAAATACATAGTTGCATATGCATATGTTACAGGTAATCTAGTCAAACCGGGTAATTTCGACATTACCCGGGTAATGTCGGCAATAATTGACATTACCCAGGCCGTTTTGGTTAGGTTAGGTTAGGTTAGGTCCAGCCGGTCCCGTCTGCGGCCCTCCCTGACAACTGAGGGGTGGGATGGCGGGTATTATAACCTAACCTAACCTAACCTAACCAAAACGGCCTGGGTAATGTCAATTATTGCCGACATTGCCCGGGTAATGTCGACATTACCCGGTTTGACTAGATTACCCGTAACACATATGCATAAATGCACAGTTGCATAAATACGTCCGATTCATCAATTTTTCTTTAATGCTGTAAGGCATATTGTTATTAAGGAGGTAAATTATCTTCTCAAAAGATGCTATTTACACATGCCGTAACCAGCTTTGGGCCCTGTTTATCGTAAATGGAAAGGAAATTGGTCCTTCCGTTTTACTTGAAAGTAGGTATTTCGGAGATTCATGGTCGTCACACCTTGATCATCAACACGGTGGTCAATTGACTGGAACTTTCATTCAAAATTTTCTATTCTGCATTGTACTGATAAGACTAACATCAGCAAACTGACATTTGACTCTGACAACAAGTGCAAGTGTATTCAAACTTTGGGCAAATGTTTTGAACCTGTTTTTAGAAGTTTTTATATGTTCTCCGGCATTATGAGAATAGATCTGTAAGGATCACACTGGCACAGAATAGGTCAAGCAATCTAAAAATATTTGGATACCTTTAACTGCTGAATGTGAAATTCCAGCTCCCTCTGATTCTTAGCCGGTGTTGATAACTGCTCGACAAAAGACTTCAAATCATTGAATTTTCCTTTGTATTCCGATAGACCGACAGGTGTTTCGGTATCTGAGGCATTAGGTACACTGGATCGAAACAATTCTGGACCATGCAGTTTCTCCGATAATTCTGAATCTGTATGGTTCCATTTCGACATCAAATGGGCAAAAAATTGTCTTTGGGAGACCTCATCATCATCTGACAAAATTCTAGTGGCATCGTGAAGAACTGAATTGGCCTCGTCGAGTTGGTTTCGATGAAATTCTCTCTCTGAAATTAGATTCTAGAAAAGAAAAAAACAGAAAAAAAGATATGAAATTAACTATAGTTTACCTCAGATGAAGTGATGAATGGATGGTGTGTCACAGATGAATGGTAATTTCAACTTCATGTTTTCTATTTTTTTCACCAGGCATTTAGAATTTTTGTGAACCATGATTGTTTACAAAAACGGAGAGGTAGAAAATACACTTTTTTGTGACAGACGACTTTTTGAAGAACTTTAAAGAGGATGAACACCCTAAAAACAAGTCCAGTTGGATTGGCTAGCAGAATTAAAAAAAAACGCAGAAAAAAAATCGCATATACAATATTCGGCTCAGCAGAGCAGCTGCAGCACTTCAACTGAGTTGAGATATCATGGCGTGAGGTGACTACCGAACCACATATCTCGTGTGCGGTACTTTAAAATTTCTGCTCCGATTTTTTTTTTTTTTTTTTGAAGGAGAACAAATTAATATTATTCCTTGAAATTTTCACAGAATTTATCTTGAAAAGAGAGGAAAAATCATGACAATCTTGAGGAATTGACGTCCAGTAATTTCTTTTTAAACCTCAGAAGACTCCCAGGGTTAAATAGTTTTTTCTTAAAAAAAAACTGCATTTTAAAACAGAGGAAAAAGAGAGCACTTACCCAATAGGCAATATTTTTCAATGATTCTACAAGTCCCATTGTCTCGTTCATTTGGTCACACCAACTTTCAACATCATCACATTTGGCACTATACTGTGTCCACAGCTGGTCTAATGATTGGAGGATGAGTGAACTCGATTTTGCCTCGTAAAACACGTCTAAAACTTGCAAAGCTAGGTCAGCGGATGCTATAGCTAATTTTGAGTCACAATGCTTTTGTGGATCTACCATAGGCGTAGTGAGGTAAGGTAAATCTGCAAGATGTGGGTGAATTTCTTCTAGTATTGACTGGAAACAAATAAAAAAGAAACAGACGAAGTTAAATCATTGTTATAGAATTTTCTTTCACATATATTTACTACACGGACTTTCTTCCTTACTTCTCATTTCAACAAGAAACGAGAATTTTTTCAGTTTACTTAAATTGAAAGTTACAGTTTTGTCAGACTATGAGGTATGAGACTTCAATTATTAGAAGCGAATTTTTTGGCAGCGTCATGTTGGTCAAACTGGGTTGAAAAATCGGAATCTGAAGATTAGTTCTTGACAAAAAAAATTCTCTGTAAGATACTAAAATAAAAGTTTCAAGCAACTTAGAAATTCCATAGATCTGCGGATGGATTTCAACTGGTAAAAATACTTAATACTTCACAGAATTTTCGAGAAAGAGAGGTTAAGTATATAAATTTAATATGCACTTGTAGATCAAGACAGTTTCTTCATTTTCTTATTCCCTGACTATTTTTGCTATTCCTTATTTCACCAGAATTTTCGAATTCTCTGACATTCAAATATAACTTCCGATTGGATATTTTTTCTTTGAATTACTTTTACTTCTGCTGAACCCTGCTTACAAAATTTCCCCACTTTTTCTAAGAGCTCCCTGATTTTTCAGGTTGCCATAATTTCTCCAGACCACCAGAAACCTTGAGCGTTAAGGTCTGAAGTGCATTAATTTAAAATATTGCTCGCTTTCTCTCTCTCTTCAAAATAAAAAATAAAGTGATAAACTAACTCATCATATTTTTTCTTTTTAGGTATAGATCAGATAGAAATCTCGTGAAAAAAGAATCTATTGAAAGTACATGCTCTGATTAAACATACATCATTTTCATTTGGATTGAGAAAATTAATTTTCAAAATCAACCTATTCCTAGATTAGCAGAGTCTTACACCTAAGAGAAAGAAATCTAAATAATACTTACGGAGTATAAGCTGATAAACTGCTTGTAGTTTGTAGCTGTTAGTGATGATGATGCTGGCAACTTCTTCTGGACTGATCCAATCCAGCTGCTGATAGTGTCCAGATGATATTCCAAGTCCGATGACAGAGCTGCAGAACAGGCCATTCGATCAGACTGATCTTTTACCACCATTATCATTTTCACAACGTTGTTTTCGACCACATCTAATTCTGCGGGGAGGTGACTGCTTTCCTGAGTGGCTGAAGCTTTCACAGAATTTAGAGAGTTCAGACACTTTTTCAGGTGAATTTGAAGGGCTTCAAAAACTTCAATTTTGTCCTGAAACAAAAGAGGAGCAGAAGTTCTGACACTGGATGATTCAGTTTTTCAAAAAATGTTAATACTGCATTCTCAAATGCCTTCAACTTTTTGAATGAACTGGGCTTCTAGGAACTGTCTCGAATTTTATAAACCCTAAATGGCAAAGAAACCTTTTTTGCAAAGTGTCAAAAATGGGACCAGTTTGAGACAATATTTTTTGCAAGCTCTGATGACGTCGCCAACGGAAAAAACGGAGTTTGTTGATTGACTGAACTCACCATCAGGCTTCGCTTTGATACGTAAACTCTACCGTCAGCTATGGATTGGGTGGATTTTGATTAGCTATTTCTCCCTTAAGAAAGGCTTTTTTGAACTTGATAATGAACTTTTGGGTTTTTCCACGAAATTTTACGCAGGATAAACTAATTTACAACCTGGTAAAAATCAATTGCCACAGTCTCATTACTTTTTAACTACTGATCAATCTTGTTAGGGCATCTTTAGAGCTTCACTAGAACACACTCTCTTTTTCAGTAAAAAATACGAGTTTTACTTTTAGTAAAATTCTGAAGATGCCAGACAAAAGGTATATGCATCGGCATAAGTGGACCCCCAGTCAGCATCTTCAGCTATAAATTGCCTTCCCGAGTAAAATTTCCTTTGTACATCTCTCTATTGCATTGTACACCATCTTCAAGAAAATTACCTATGCCATTTAATTGAATAAAACGCAAACTTACCTGAAGTTGGGTAGAGTTGGAAACAGGCTCATAAGATTGAATGACACTACCAACATCTTTTAGAATTGTTGATGTGCTGTTAACTGTCTTTTCCAGCTCATTTGAGGAAAGCATGGAATCTAGAGTTCCTTCATTTCTGAGTTCTAGTTCATACTTTAAATTATTGATGGATTCTGACAACTCATTCAGTGCAATCAGTGCTGATGTACTGGGATCGATGCATGCTATCTGTTCTTCTCGTAGATTTTCCTGATCCCTCTGAATCTTCGTAATTTCATTTTCGATCTCCTTAAGTGTATCAATATCATTCTGAAATTGAAAAAAATAAAAGAGACTGAGAGAATTGCAAAAAAGGGGCTATTCAAGTAAAACAGTGAGGTTACCAGTAGGCTAATTATTTTCATATTGCTTTTCGAATTCGCTGCGTTGATTCTGTCGTTAGAAGTTTACATCCGACAAGGTCTAAAATTACAGGGTGGGGAATGTGAAGTCAAGCATTAGTAACAAAATTGGTGTGAGCAAATCGTAATCTACATTAACTAATTTGCAAAAAAACCTTTGATCTAATGAGAGTTACAGTAATTGCTCTCCTTACATTGATGATTCCTTTCTCTCTTCACTGCTCACTTGAATGGATATGTCAAATTTTTACGGCCTTTGAAATTTAATAAATGGAGTTTCATGAAGGTCATAAAGTCAGTTCTGATCAAATGTACAAGTTGAGAGGGCATACACATAAAAACGTTTTGGTAGCTTAGTGAAAAAAAATGAGAAAAATAGTACATTTTAGTTAAAAGCTTTGGACTTGCCACAAAGAATCCCTTCCTATTCCTTAAAAAATGAGAGATCGGGGACATCCTTAGTTCAAATGAAAACTTTTTAGCGAAACAGCAAAACTAATCATAACTGACTTTCCTAACAGTAAATTATTTAAAAAGACATGATTTAACATGACCTCTAAGTAATTCTGGTGCAAAGCACTCTTGAGTTGTCAATTTAAGGTGATTCGTCAAGCTCAAGTGACGTGGTCGAACTAGTATATGATATATCGCATAAATTAGGTAAAAAATCTCGGCAGATTTTGGATTTTTAGCAAAAAAAAGGGCGATAGCCCTTGCGCACAAGCCTAAAGAATCATTCTAATCCCAAGAGTCGGCAAAATTCATTAAAGTAATGAAAGCAGAATAGTGTTTGGAAAAAAACCTTGGATTCAATTCAGCTATCGATTTTTAAATCGAATGCAAGGTTTTTTTCCAAACACTATGCTGCTTTCAATACTCTGAATTTTGCCGATTTATGGGTTTAGAATGATTCTTCAGGCTCATGTGCAGAGGCTACTGTCCTTTTTAATGATAAAAATTCAAAATCTGCCGCGATTTTTTACCTAATCGATGCAATATATCGCATGCCAGTACGACCACATCACTTGAGCTTGATGAACCTTAAATGCACCTTAAAAAAAATAGTGTAAAGCTTACAACTTAGATCACTTATTTATTTTGTATTCTCACTTTGCAGAATTTAAAAGATTGGTTCCAAATTATTGTTAGATGTCTCACCTCAGAACGGTCCGTTAAATTGTTGGCAGGAATAGATTTAATTTCATTTTGGACACCTGCCAAACGCTCCTTCAATGAATCCACCTGATCCAGAAATTGTTTTTGCTTCAGAGATTTCTCAGTCTGTTCCACTTCATACTCATGCAAATTGTTTTTGAAAAGATCCATTTGATTTTCAAACTCTTCAAGAAATGAGTTGAGGGTTTCTTCATCATCAGTCGAAATTTTGTCTCCAAATGAACTAATCTGGCTCAAAGTCTTTGTCTTCTTCTCACAGACCTCATTGATTGCAGAGTCAATTTTTTTACCTCTGGATTTCCTCTCATCTTCATCTTGAGTACTCTGAGGAAGAAAAACAAAAAATTACTTAATAGAAGATATTGATGTTTTCTTCCTGTTACTTGAGGATAGGACTTAGACGTAGCGATTCTTGTCAAAGCACTCATAATTGAATTTTTTTGAATAATTGAATACGAGACGGGCAGAAAAGCAAATGGCACAGATTTGTTCAACAATTTTTTGGAATGGAAAACTACTCAATGTCAATTCTTGAAAACTTTCCTACTTTTCTTTTCTGAGCGAAGAAAACTTTGGAAACTTCAAGGAATGATATTGATTTGTTCTCCTTCAAAAAATTAAATGGGAGCGGAGATTTTTAAACACTGCGTTACCGTTGATTTGTAGGTTTAGTTCTTTGAAAAACTTTTCCGATAACATCATCCAGTAAACATTAATGCACAAGGAGTAACAGTTATACAATCTCTTCTATCAAGCATCTATTAAGACCATCTTGATATTCTGAGTCAGCCTTAAAAGGGTGCAGGATTCTGTTTAGGTCCTTAACTAACCTTGTGACAAATTTTAAACCATGATTAAATCCTTTTATTACTATGAATGCAGCATCTACATTCAGCGAAACCGTACCATTCCCGCAACATTACCGCCATTACTCAACAACCTCAACTCAGAAGTATTCACATTCCTGAAACCTACGTTCAATCTTGACTGAACAACCTGAACATTTACTAGGATCTCTTGAAAAATATAGCAGTTACGACGCTTTGCACCAACTCTTACATTTAGCCGTAAGATAAATTAGATGGGGGTAGAAACTTCTTTTCTTTGAAAGACACTGACTCACAGATAAGGACTCACAAACATAGGGAAGACAAGGAAAAATAAAGGCAATACAAACAGAAAATTTGGGACAACATAATAAGGAGAATCCAGGAGCAGTTTTAAAAATTCTGGAGACCAGAATCAAGTACATACTAATTTACCGCAGAACCCTCTCATCTGATTGCAGATATGACTTAAACTTTTCAGATTATTTTAAAAAAAATAATTATCCNCCCCCCCCCCCCCCCAAAAAAAAAAGGAGAGAGAGAACAAATACTGGAAGATTTACCTTCAATTCAGCGATCAGAGCATACAGTTTTTGTAATTCTGTGAAAAGGCAATGAACATCTTTGTACAATGTTGCTACAGCATCATTTTCTTTTAAATCTTGATGGTCAAGATCATTGCCACCATTTGCATCGAGCAGCTGGCCAGAAAGAAATGTTGGAAGTTCACATCCAAGAAACTGAAACTGATTGCAAATTTTCAAGGCATCTATCAGATTTTTTATAGTGTTTTTCTTCAGTTCGAGGCTCTCTACTGAAGCCTCTGAACTTAACGTAGTGGCCTTTGGATCTTGCACTACTGCACTTAGCTCATCAGCATCTTGTTTCGATCGACCACAATTATCATAGAGAGCCACAGAATCTTGTTTTTCAAGATTTGGATCGATTCCAGGCCGATTCGACTTGTCAGGAATAGATTCCATTACAGGAGCAGTTCTTCCTAACGGTGCTTCTACTGAGCCATATTCAGCATTCTGAACGGTGACTTCAGACTCAACTTCAACTGTGTGATGTCTGCGATCAATCTGAATAATATTATTGTTTTCTATTTTCGCACGGACATCTTCAGGAGGCCCTGGAGAGTGTTCTCCTCGGGGTGGCAAACTTTCCAGCAACTGTAAATTTGTGACATCACCTTCCCATTCTTTCAATCCAGAGCCACTATGCTCATGATAAACATCGATTTGTTTTGGGTTTGCTAAATCTTTGGCAACTGTATTTACAGAGGTCTCGAGTGAGCGACCTTCTTCTAACGACAAGCTTTCTGCTGAATGAAGACTACTGTAATCTTCTCTCGACCTATTTTCCTGCGGATGGTTAGAAATAAATGGTTTCCTGGAGGTATCGATGACAGTGTCCACAAAAACTTCGGAGGCGTCGACTGGTCGTGAGATATCTGTTATGATTTCTGATGTTCTGGTAGCAGGATTAATTCTAACAGATGTTTTTGATGTGAAACAAGAATCTTGTCGTTCGCTTGAGTCTGGACTTAAGCTCTTTGGATCTTGTTCTGTATCGGAATCTTTTGAAATTGGATAGCTGACTAGAGGTTCTTTGATATACGGGACACTCTTCTTGGATCGAGATCTCTTTTTGCTCTTCCTCTTTGACTTATCCTGCAAAATTGAGACTGTATTAGTGACTGTAAATTCATCTTGTCTTGATCCATGTGCAAGGTTTGGAGGAGCCGTATCCTCTCCAAATTTTCTAGGCTCTTTCTTCACTTTTGGCTCTTCTTTGATTGGTGAAGTCTGAACAATACCCGACTGTTTTTTAACAGGTGATGTTTGGGTAGAACAGGTACTTCCAGCCTTTGACGTTTGGGTATCAGCATCGACTTTCTCATCATCTTTGCTGTCTCTAGGGCTAGATTTTGTTTCCTCTGTTTGAGACGATTTTACGCCTGATTCTTGAGCTTCTGTTTGAGCACTGCACTCCATTATGACTGGCCCAGCCTGAGTTGACTTCGCCTCGCTGGATAGTAACTCTGCAGTAGAGATTTGCCCTTCGTCGCGAGGGGGTGGAATATTCTTTTGGGACTTTTTACCTTTTTTCCGATTGGCCTTCTTCTTGGGCACTGACATGTCTGGATCTGGAACAATTTCCTCCGCAGTATCATCAGAGTAAGGTGCAGCACTTGACGTTGCCTCCTTGTCTTGAGTTTTTATCACTTGCTTCTTTTTACTCAAAACTTTCTTCTGGGCTTTTACATGACCTGATTGATCTTCTGGTCCCTTAAAACTGACATTACTCTCTTTGTCCTCTGTCACAGGTGTAGATTCTTTTGAGTTTTCATTCGATTCTGATAAGCTAATCTCTGACTGAGACTCATTATCCCTTGCTGAGGGCTCATAATTAGGTGCCTTTGGTTCTTTAACCTCGATTGAAATTTTTGGCAATGTTTCTGTAAATTTTCTGCTTGATACTTCTGAAATTTTGAATTGCTCCTCTGACTTTTCTGGCATGGTAAAAGAAATATTTTTGAGCATGATTTCTTTTTCGATTTGTTCCACTTTGGTAGCAATTCCAGCAGAGTCTGAGGGTTCTAATTTATTCAACAGTCCTTCCGAGTCTGGTGTTGCATGATCAAATTTAGTGGATACTACCGAATCAACTGAGCCGGAGGTTATTTGACCTGAGTACTTAGACTTTTCATTGGCATCAGAGGTGTCTAAATAACTTTCTAATGTAACAAGGGAGAACTGTTTTGCAGCTTCGTTTCTGATATTTTCCGATGGTAAAGCACCGGTGTTCTTTAAAGTTAGAACAGATGAGTCATCTGAGTGATGAGTCAAAGAGACATTACTCCAACCAGGTTCGGCAATTGCCACTTCGAAAGGTACTTTCTCAGAATACTGAATGCTTGTTGTTTGATCGGGATTGCGCTCGAATCCGATTTTGACACTATCAATCTGATCTTCGGGAAATGTGGTCACAGTTGAAATTTGAATCGTATTATCATTTTCATTTTTTACCTGACTGATCATAATCTGTTTGAAAATTGGATCAGTCACTGTGGATTCATCAAGGAGATCTACGGTCGGAATGCTTGACGGCTCGGACATTTGAATACCAACACTCTTTTGTTCTGGTGGGGGAGTTCTTAAGCTCTGACCTGTTTGTGAGCCTACTTCTTTTGCACATTCAACTAATTCAAGAGACGGAATACCAGCTACTTCATCATCCAGTAAAGAGGCATTGGAATCGAGTGTGTTTTCATCGAGCTTCTCGATAGGGTAGGTTCCACCAAACGGAAACTCAGGGCCCACAATAGGGGAAGAAATTGGATGGGAGGGAACGGGAGATTGAGTTGGGGAATGGGGAGTCACAGGATCTGCTACTTCCATGGTTTCTGCTATTTCTTGATCCTAAAGAAGGGAAACAACAAAAGTGGGTTAGTAGTTGGAAAGGGTATCTGTGCTGGATTATACATTTAGAAATTCATTTCCCTCTGTAAGTTCTAACAATCTAAGAGATGGACAAATTCAGTAGGTTCTTGTACGGTTTATTATGCTCACTTATTTGTCAATCAAATGATAAAGTGATGCAGATAATTTTGCGCAATTGAATCGTGGATCAGGCAGAAATTTAATTATCATCATGCAAGAAGAGCAAAAATAATGAAAGAACTGGATGATAACTCTACAAAGAAGAAATTTACTGAATTGTTCAGAATAAATTGGACTGCAGGATGAGAAAGTAAATTTGCAGCGCAATTAGGATTCTTCATGAGCAAAATGTCAGCCATTAGAAAGGAAAGGATAAGTGAAGAATATAAAAGTGCTACAAGAGTTGATGTGCTGCCAATAGATGTAAAAATATAAGATATCGATTTGTAAGAGAAAGAGAGCGCATGGAAAAGAAAGAGAAGAAAATCCACCTAAGTTGTCCTTGAAAGATTGATGCATACAACCGTCCAAGTGTACTACATTTCATAGTGGTATGAGGCTGTGTAGATCTCTAGCTCAATTTTTTGACTTGTAGACATCAATCTCATTGCTTGCTGCTTAGAGTTTTCTCACTAAGAAAACCTTTAAATTAAGTAACTTTCATTGAGCAGTTTTGTCAAAGTACCTGAATCCTGATCTTCAGTCAAACCTTGTGGTTAGCTTAAGAGACAGACTTAGTGGTCTACTCAAAAGATGAGGAGGAAAGCTGATTCTGACAGAAATGATTAATCAAAGTTGATTAAAGAACTCTGATAAAAGTTGAGAATGTCCCCTAAATGGAGTTAAATCTTTTAAATTGGACCGTCTGATGCAGCTTGTTAACTTTGATAACAAACCGAAACTTTACATGTAAGAGGTATACAATGAAAAGAGATCGAAAATTTGTCGTTGCAGGCCAACGCCGCCAACAGATGATCAGATTGGCATTTTTGATGGCTGATCTGATCGCTGTTAACCCGACAGACACACAGGTTTTTACAGGATTGAATATTCTTCAGTGATTTTGATTTGATGTCCATGAAATTCAAGTGCTGGAGTATGTTTTTCATTTTGTATCCTCCTAACACTCATACTTTTGATTAGCAGTGATAATTTCACTGAAAAAAGCTGCCTCTTATTTTAGACCTGCCCTAAATTTATAGTCACAAGTTGTTCCAAATACTCACACATTTCTCAAAATCGCAAAATGCACTCCAGCACACTTGAAAAACACGAACACGAACGTCAACAGAAAAATACTGAAGATAATTCACTTCTGTTAAAACCAGCACATTTATCAAGTTTTCAGCAATCGATTAAGCTCATGAAAACGTCAGCTGAATATCTACTAGCCTTTTATGACCCAAGTTCAGTTTTGAATTGGCCACACTCCGTAAATATCAATGTAGAGGATCTTAAATCAAAGAACGATACTATAAGATTAGTCTACGGTAACAGGAGCATGAGCATACTATTTTAAACCTCCTTTACTCTGAAGACCAAAACATACCTTTTTCCTCCAGTTTTCTTTATTACTTGGTATCGATAAGATATGAGATTTTTGCAAGGTAAGTATTGCAGCAGAGGGCTCTCTACAGGGCCACCCATTGTACTGTTATTATGGTAAGCCAGCACAGCAGCTTGCGCATGAATGTTTTCCCATAAAAAATGATTCAAAGCATCCAAGCATAAGAGAGTTTCCAACTTTAAATCATATTTTCCAATTAAATGTAGCAAGATTTCAGCAACTCCAAAATTAACGTTGTCTTCAGAAGTCACCTTTCTGACAGCAGAAGAAATGAAGAATGCACAATTCTCTATTGAAAACTAGAACTACACGCAAATCTTAATGTCAACAGGCAGCTGCAACTTCCTCTATTTCAAAATTGCTGAATCAGCAATTTTTTTGGTCTAGGACTTTTCTTTGCAATTGAATAAATTTAGCTAGAGATCTACAGAGCCTGCGCTAACAATGAAATGCTATTTGCATGGACAAGTATCGTTCTGGGTTGTTTAAAGAGCACTTGCATACGTGCCTTTGTGTAGTTTTTGCCTCCGATGCAAAACAGGTGATCATTTAATACTTTGAGTATTAGATGAAGCTTTGAGCTTGTTCCCAGAAGGAATAGATGTAGATGGGAAAGAGGAGACATGAATTTCAGCATATGGTAGGAAAATTCTTGGGTAGAGGGCAACAATATGGTGAGGGATTATTAATTTGGAAATATTAATAAGAATGGGATTTGAATAAGAAACTAACGATTGAGAAAATATGAAAAAATCAACCTGCCAGCCAATGACTATGTGAATTTGAAAAGTAGTTGTTTTCCATGAGAAGTTCTATTATTTTTTTAAAAAATAAATAAAATAAAATTAATTGCATGATAAAGGATTTGAAATATTCTTATTAACAACAATAATTTTGCTATAGTCTTGTCTGTTTTTCTAACTTCAGTTGTTTTTTTTTATATTTTGCACTTAAAAGAGGTGAATCCTACATTGGCAACATTTCTGACCTGTCACTAGCAAAAGGTTACTGCACAGCTACAAACGCTTTTGTCATAGTCAAAGTTCAGGATAAGTCTGGAAAATGCAATATTCACATAATGAAAATCTCTGTAGCGATTGGTTCCCAATAACTTCAAGGTTTTCATCATTCCTTCATTTTCCAATTCCCTGTGTTTTTTTGCTTTTCCTAGACTCCAAAATTTCCAAATTCTCAGACTTCTCCCTTACTGTCAAATGAAACTTGTACTTGGATTTCTTTATTTTCCTATATTCTGACAGAATTTCCACGTAATGAGATTCAAATTATGAAAAACGGCACTTTAAAGTTGCCCTTGCGTGAATGGCATTCGGCTTAAGTTGCTAAGCTGTGACACTTAATCACCAAACTTCCTGAATATTTCTATGAAATCCTCAACTTCTCTAACTCACTGTAAATATTCTGATTTTCCCTGACATTCCAGACTACCAGTAACGCTGTACTTACAAGAAAGAAACAATTTCAAATTCATTCTAGGAGCACTCAATAATTGATGCAAAAAATCGATTGATCTTTGGGTGATCATCCTGCTGATAAATTACTGCAAACACAGAATAAACTAAATTCATCGCTGTTTGCCGCTTACTAAGAGTAACAACGGTATTCCTTAAAATAAAACAAAAATTCTGCACATTTCTTGGGGGATTTAATCTTGAGAAAAAAAAAAGCCCGCATGTCATTTTACAGATAAGCCACACAAGAGAGATGAGAGAATTGGGAACGTTATCGTAAACAATACGTCAGTGCCAGGGGTCTGAACATCAAAACTACTACACTCATGAGCATATAGTAAAAATATTCTAAGTTTTGAAATCAGACAAATACTAAGAGATTTAAGACATAATATTTAAATGAGTTTTAAAAAAAAGTTTTAATTGGAAACTTTGTCTGGTGATGTCACCCGGGGGGGGGGGGGTGGTGTTCATTTTTCTAACTTGGATGCAACTTTTCTCTGTGATACCGCATCGGAATGCTCGGAATGTTCATTCAATACTTTTACACGAGGCAATAAAATTTCCTTATGCCACTGACTCACTTTGATTTTGAAATCGTCATAAATTTCACAATAAGGGCTGATCAAAGAAAATTTGAAAAACCTAAGTATCCGACTGTTTGAAACTTGGAAAAGTACACAGAGCTAAAATTAGAAGATATAATGAAGAAAATAGTGTATTAAGCGAAAGCAAAAGCAAACAATAGCAACTATAGCAGCATGCAAGTATAAGCACAAAACCAGATATTAACCGATCATAAACTAACTATTCATTTCTGAGAATCCAACATTATGCAATATGAGAAATAATACCGAAGAGCATTAGTCTAATCAAACTGTCATTCGCATTTTTTATACAGCTGTTAATTTAGTAGAAACTTAGAGAGGGAAATTAATTTTAAAGCAGAATGAAACAGAAATTTTAGAGAAACAATCATGTTTAAATCTGGTTTTCGTACGATGTTAGAGTGGTTCAAAAATCAGTGTCACGAGTCTATGTTCCTCTGGCTGAAGGGTGTACCTCAATTTCTGCATGAGCACCGGAAAGCATGGATTTATAAGTAAAACAGAGCTTGCAGGAAAATTGAGCTATGCCCTTACGGGGGAGGAACGACCAAGTAAGTTTAATCTCCTCTATATCAACACTCACAAAACTTGCAAGTAAAGCTTTGAGGTCTGTCACATTGAAAAACGCTAACCTTGAACTTTCATCTGAATTATACTTCCCTTCACTCGTTTTATAAATTTTTATTCTTTTCGCTTTCTTTACAGGTACTTAGACTAAAACTGGCCACTCTAACATGTTCAGAACAGCACTCTCAAACAGTATCAGATTTAGTTTCTTTAAAGAGACACCCTTTGAGTTAAAATCAAACGCACAAACTATAAATAAATTTTACTTACTGATTTAATAGCATCTGAGATTTTTTGACGACTAAGATTTTCACTCAAAATTCACTCAAAGGGTATGGTTGAGATGCAATAAAGAAAGTTTAAATGCGTTAAAAATTTTACTAATTAAATAACATTATTCACAAAAGTAGACTAGAATAAAATTCGTTTCGGTGGTGTACAAGATTAATACTGTTTGAGACAGTGAAAGAAATAGAGACTTAATTACCAAACAAAATGATGAAGATAATATAACCATAACCATGATAATGATAATAATAACGATATACCAAAGTAATAAAAATAAAATTAATAGAAGTAATAACAGAAACAATGATGATAAAAACAATAATAACAATAACAAGAAAATTTGAAGGATGATGCAAAAATATTTGATAAGTGTGGTGCAGGCTCCTTTGCCAATGATACCAAAGAGCAGATAAAATTCTTTTACTTTTTATTCAGGGATCAGAATTTTAAAGTGTTCCGGAAATAAGTATTGCAGTTGATGCATAAAATCTCATTTGTAAAATACTCATAAACGCCAAGTTTTCATAGCTAATTTATAGTAGCTGGGCTTGGTAGACTCAAGCTGACTTTTAGACCAAAAGTTTCCTTCTACACTTTTGTTTGCTTCACAAAATCGGACTGCAGGAAGTTAAACGAAACCGTAAATAATGGAAAACCGCTCGTTTACGGTTCCCTTTTACTAACTGTAGTCCAATCATTGCTGCAATAACAATTTGGTGTTTTAATAGGAGAGAGCTTTATGAAAAATTTTCTGTGGATTTACCAAATATATGTACTCACTGTCAAGCTACAGAAGATGGCCAGAGGTACATTATAACATTAAATATCATGTGAAATAAGCAGCGATTATTTACGAGGTATCAGGATGAGTGCTATTTGTGACTCACGTCGAAAGGTACTCATTGCTTTTATATTATTATGTGGTATGGTAGCACTGTCCTAGCATGTCAACCAAAATGTGCTCATGAGAATTGATCTCAGCATATTCTGAGGAAAGTTTATGCAAATCTTTGGTCTGGAAATTTGATGAGCAATGGAAATTGGCTTCGGGAGAGAACACCACACAAAAATAAACTTGACTCCAATTAATATAAATAAAAAGATAATTGAAATGCATCATCCAATAATTAATATACTAAAGTGGTACAAAATAATGAACTATTAAGCAATTTAACCTGAGAGGGGGGTTGACCTTGCACTTCGAAAGCTTCGGAAGATGCAGTAGGAACAACCTGAGATCCTGTGAGTACCAGAGCTTCCATTTTCGGTTCATCAATGTCCATTGCAGATTTTTGTTTCTCATCAAGGGTTAACTGTACAGAAAAAAGAGAGAAACATATCTGAATGAATAATGCCAAATTTTTCAAACATTCTGACAGCAACCTGATGAATTGCAGGGCATGCAGAATTGGAAAAAAACCTCTCGTATGTACACTCTAATAGTGTAAAATAGCCGCAAATGAGCATAACTTTATGATAGAACATTTTCCTTTACTATTTTTTATTTATATAATTATATGCTTGAATTTTTTTAAATGCTGCTTTTGCAGAACTTCAAATACGCTTACAAAAATAGTACAGCAGTAAGACTGCGCATTACTAACACAGCAACGCCGTGTCCCCTTAAGAAAACGCATGTCAAAATGCTGAAAATTTCGTTTTTCTTATGACTGTCACAGAGCAAGTTCGATTTTGAAAGCTTATCATATTTAGGAAGTCATAAAGAACATCAAATAATAAAAAAATTTAGCTAAAGCCAAATCCCTTGGTTACCTACACAACCTAGTAAATCACTGGAAACTCAGCTACCTTATACACGATTGTAATGGCGTTTTTTCACATATTCTCTGTTTTTTTTTCTAGACAGAAATTTCATGTACTTTTCAAGAACAAAAAAAAACTCCAAGAAAGGTTGGAAACATATGGGGTACGTTAAGTATTTTTAAGTACGTACATTAGATTTTATAATCGGTAAATGAGTAAGCTGCTGAAAATCACAGTGGTTTAAACAATGCATCATCAGATTTTTTAAAAAACTTTCCGATACTTAATTTTCTGTGACAGATGGTTCATAAAAGAGCATAAGTAGCGATAATTACACTACCAGTATTGAAATGGTGAAATAGGAAAATATTGCAGTATAAAAAGGTAGATTCACCTTAACTGCTTCCGCAACAGATAAAATTGATGATATCTCTAATTTAAGTGTCTCCCATTCGGCAGCAAGTTCATCCTTGACGTCTTGTTCAGTATCATCAGCGAATAAATTTTCAGTAGCTAGCTCTCTTTCTAGCAAAGACTTTACTGCATCCTGTAAAAGAATAAAGAGGACATGCTTTCATTAAAAACATCAAGGAGATGAACCACCGAACAACAAGCCAAGCACCATCACTCATACTTCCTTCTCAAAATTGTATGTGCAATACGATGGACGCATTTAAACATTCCAAATCCAACTTGTAAGTAAACAGGTTTATTAACATGTTTCATTGACAGGTTTTCCTTGAAATAATTCACACTTTCTGCTGACAAAAAAAAAAAAAAAACTAGAAGTCAAATCGAGCATTAAATTAATTTTGGAATATTTTACGTTGGAAGAATTTTCTTGTGTACTAACTTTTTTCTGAAAAGATTAAAGGTACCTTACTTTGTGCCGGATTGTACCACACTTTTTTACTTGCTTCTCATAAACTTTTATAAAGTACGAGATCAAGCTACTCTGGAGTCTGGAAGATGTTTATCAACTCTCTTTCTAGAGCAGTTAATGCAAATTTCCCTACAGAAATCAGTTTCTGCGCAGTACCAGTAATGCTTATTAAGTGCTACATATTTAATACTTGAATAAGATATTCAGAAGCGGTTTGTAATCTTTTTCTGTCAACAAAATTTGAGGTAGACATTTGAAAAAGGAGAGAGATTTCCTTAAATTTGTACCTATTGAATTAGTGAAAATGTTTGCTTACTTGAGAAACAGAGTAGAGTTGCTGCAGTTCTTCCCCAGTAAAATCTGCAAAATTGGTGGGTACTACATCTTTAAGTTCCAGATTTCTTCCTGGAATCTAGACAAAACAAACGAACAAATTATTAGACATCGAGAATGATGGAGAACAAAGATAAAATGATGAAGTGAAAAAATTGTTCACACTTTTGACCATGAAAGGTTTATTCTTGTCTCTGCAATGATATCACTTCAAAAACAAAGGGCTACTATTTTTAAGTATTATCACGTGGTCATTATTACTTGGTCAATCGTTTAAAGAATAGAGAATAATTCTGTTGAAATGAGTACACAATGTTTTGAAATGTAAGTATCAACTGAACCCAAAATAAAATTAAAACGGTGACTGAGCAGGAGTCTGGCAAGACAGAGCAGACCTTCATAAAAATTTTCAATTTTAACAACAGTTCTTCAGCAATCAAAAGTTTAAAGAGGGAGAGGGAAAAAATATTTGCTTAATTTTTACAGCGCATTCAGTATCAAAATGGATTTGTTTAAATATTCCATCACTTGATTATTTCGACAACTTGTTTACATACAAGTGCGTAATCCAAAGTATTAGTTTTAACATCAAATCAATCACAGGATTAAAATCTACCAAATGTCTACTATAACAATAAAATTAGGTTATTATTTTCAAACGAGAAAACTGAACACCTCGTTAGATGACAAACTAAACTATCTTTTGAGAGAAAAAACCAGAATCAAAAGAGAAACAAAAAGTAAAGCAAAAGCAAGTCTCAATGGGAGCATTTTAAGCCAAATTTTATGACCCCTGTTACCTAACACTGACAAATGCATCAGTATTCAATTCTGACAGAGTCTAAATTCAAGCATTGCGCAGAGCACATTCTTCCCTTAATTCAAATGGAGAAATAGTTTCACATCCCGGAAAAATTTTAAAACAAGCTTTTGTAACTTTTAATTGCATAGTAAAAAACGACAAAGGCTATTTTTTGTTTATTTTAAGATGGCATCCAAATCCATCTAAGAAATAATACCTTTCAGAAAAAAAGTACATTGCTTAGGAATCGCATTTTGATTATTTTGCTAGGTGTGAAGTTTTTTATGAAGAATTCTGGAAAAGCTATCTGAAATACAGTGGTTTTGTTTATCAAACGGACCATTTTGACGCCCTTGCACCAAATAAAATCTTGACATTAAATCTTTAATACCTCAAAACTTACTCCATAAGTAAATGCCGTGTATGGACTACAATTTTAAGCTGATTTTTTTCAAAAGTAAATGCTAGTGAAATTTTTGCCATTACAAGAGCTAACAGAAACCAATACCATTGGAAACTAATTTTTCCCTTAGAGACCATGTCGAAAGTCATCAAGTTTTAAGGTAAAAAAAAGGTATGGAAATGGTTCAACTGCATGGTGGATGATACGGTAACTTCAAGCAACCATGTATTCCCTGCTCAAGATATTCTCGTTGCAATGACAAATTTCCTATGGATGAAGCTGCAAATCTGCCCAAATTCTTTTCACGTAGAGAACACATATTTTTGAGTTCAAAAGTTCAACTAGATCATACCTTGACATGATTTCAGAAATGTGGTACTAGAGAAAAAACAGGGTTAAGATTGAGAGGTGATGTGGATATGATTCAAAGCATTAGAGGGAACACAATTCTGGGAGAAATAAAATGGCTGCGTAAAAAAAAGATAGAGAAAAAAATAGGAGGAAAGTGGGGGTAAAAGACAAGAGGGAGGTAAAACATATACTGTGACATCAGTAAGTGATTAAATGATATTTAGGACCAGATCTATAAAAATGAACCTAATTTCTGAGAGAAAATTTGCCGTAACTTTCTGCAATCACTTGTATCTCCTAAGCATTTTTGTCCAAGAACTTCAGAAATGACATCTCCTTCAATTTTTGAAATTTTAGGGTTAAACTTGTGTCAAAATTTCCAGATTCTCTTCCTTAAAGCATTTCCAAAAAGTTCAGGAAATTTTTCTCCAGGCAGATGTGGTCCTATTTTACACATCGGGTCCCATTTACTTCTGAATGTTTTTTTTTTTTTTTTTTTTTTTTTTTTTTTTTTTTTTTTGTTTTTTGCTGGCAAGACAAATGTGAAGAGTAACACACATACACAATTAGAAAACCAGATGAGAACGTAATGTTCAATTTATTCTATTGAACGAGATGTGAAAGGTGGATAGTGATTACATGATGAAATGGGAAGAAAAATCAGTGACATGGCATGAGATAGAAAATGGAGGGAAAGGTAGTCGGGGTTTTGGGGGAATTCACACCAGCAGTCTTTCTAAAACATTTCATCCTCCCCCCCTCTCCCCTCCCACAAATTTCTCTGCATTGCTACCAGCAGCACTGTACACAGCAGTAAGTTACGATGATGCAGAAACTTGAAATAAACATGAGGAAAGCAGAGCATCCTCAATTTTAGGGCCACGCCACCTTCATAATTCCCATTACAGCTATCAAAAATCGCATGAGCCCAGGCACCTTGATACGGATTCACCAGATGACATGCATACATTTTTTTCACCAAAAATGGAAGGGAAAACGGTAAATTGCACAGTTTTACTTCATTCAGTTGCAGGTTTCTCCATTCTCTTTCGCTTAAAAAAAAAAATATCTCCATAAAAAAGAACTCTCTTTAATAAATTAAGTCATCAAAAAAGCAGCCATTCCTTCTAATTTCCTTTTTAATATATTTTAAGATGGCTTAAAAATTTACATACTGAATTGGACATGTGGCACACGTTTTTAAAGAAAAGCTCAGAATTGCTCCTGAGACTAATCAATTTTCAAAATGTTTCCTTGGACCCCTCTTTGAGCTAAAGGAATGCGCCTGGACAGGCCTCCCTTTGTGTAATGGCTTTCTGGGACCCTAGACATCCTTTGATGAAAAACTCTCCTGTGCCCCTTCCAGAAAATTTTCTTACTTCTGCTAATGTCCAGCGGCTCCTATACTTAAACAAAAGATGAAAACCTCTTCCTTTCAACTGCTGAGGTATAAATAATTATTCTAGGGACCTAAGTTCGAAAATAGAACTTTCAACGAGCAAACCTAGAAATTTGAGAAGATACAAAAATTATTAAGAAATAAAAATGATGATAGGGCAAAAGTAATCTTTCTATAGGACCTAGAGATTCGGGTTTTCAGAGAATATACTATCACCACTATTGATGCATCCACGCTCTTTGTATTAAAATGCAACACGAGTCGGAAATTCAACGTTAACGAGTCTAAAAACGCTTATTAGTCAAACATCGTAAATTAATGTAAAGCAAAAAGCCAAACCGTTAATAAAAACATTCATACTGAACGACGATCCAACCTTAGTGAGTACATTATTCTCCAAACTTGCAACCAATGGACTCTTAAAATCAACAGATTTTTCCATTTGCACGCAAAAGCGACTTAGCATCGAGTCTCGTTTGTTCGAACTTTTGTGCGATTGCTCGTCCGTGGATTCAGACTCGTTCTTTGATCCTGATTGTTCATCATACTTGGATTTTTTGTCCGCAGGCCCATGAGGTTTGCCGTCTGCGTTGAATTGGTCGTTTTTATCATCATTGTCATCATCATCATCATCATCATTATTATCATCATCCTCATCATCTTTCGTTTTATTTCTTGAATTTGCCTTATCTTTCTCTCTTCGAGCAAGAGCTTCGAAGAATAATCTTTCCGCATTATCATACTGCCACTTATTGACCCATACATCTGCATCAATTGTTGGAATCCCGCTTCCACCGGAAGATTTAGCTGAGGAATCCACAGTCTCCTGCGCATCAGGCTTTGATGCAATGTTGACACATTGATCTACGGAAGAAGTTTCCGAATCATTCATTCCAGTGGCAGTTCCATTGGAGGCAGAGCTTGGCTCCTCCTTTGGCTTTTGAATCTTCGATGTTTTCGCACTCTTTCCGCGTTCTTTCACCGAGCCGAAGATCCCTATGTTCATAGCATCTTGAGTAATGCTATCTAATGATAAGGGAACACTACTAGCCATATTCATTTGTGATCGAGGTACAAATTCCTTTGCCGCGACGTTCAACTGCTTCTTCTTCCCAGGGGCACTGATGGACCCGTCTAACAGGACGTCCTTAATTGCAGTTTGTTCTCCTGAAAGGGAAGTCTGTTTCATCCAAGTATTGTCCACCGGACTTAAAATTGAATGAACACTATCTGCAAGTAAAGAGTCCGATAAAAATATGTTTGAGTCGGAGGCTAAGGGTGCCTCATCTTCGAATTTATCATCTAGTAAAAAATCAATAGATTCATTCATGGCTTGCATGTTAACATCCATTAAGCTCAATTCAGTGGACATTTCAGAGGCCATTTTCATCTCTGCCTCTGTCCTAAATGATGGCTCAACGATTTCAAAATCTTTAACCATTTCATCGCTTAAAATATTACCGCTGTAAGGCTGGGCAGAATTCAAATCGATATCGAAGAAATCTGAGCTTTCTTCGGTTCCTGAAGAGATAATCTTTTCTGATGCTGTTTCCAACCCTTGGAAGGGAATCCCACTTAAGGCTGCCTTTTCCTTTTCTGCTATCTTAGCCGAAGTTGCTGGAACAGGGGAGACTGGGTGCTGATCTATTTTTGTTGTTTGCTGCCCCATTTTTTTTGTTTTACTGTTGGATTTCATGGTGGTATTTACCTTGCCGACACTTGCAACCTCACTTTGCGCTTCTGATGTATTGTTTTTGAGAGGAACTTTTACACCATTGGTTTTCTGAGAGGACCCTGTCGATTTTTCAACCTTAATCAGGATTGCACTTGACTTTTCAGCAGGGGCGCCTTTCTGTTTTGTAACTTTTGAAGAACATTTGGGATCCACATTTGAAGAGGTGACATTTTCTGACACATTCACTTTCCAGGCAGAATCTTCTGAGGATTTTTTATCTTTCGTTTCTTCAACACTTGTCACGTTTGCTTTTGATGATGAAGAAAGTGCGGCTTGTTCGGATTTGTTGCTCGATTGTTTAGGAATCAATCCTTGAGGTTTTCCTTTAGAATTTTTTCTTGCATCATCATCTTTTATTTCCATATTACAGGGTGTTTTTGGATCCGCAAGAGTAGACTTTTTATCTTTATCCGAAACTGTTTTTTCAATTTCACCGCCAACTTTTTTTGGCATTGAAACAACTTTTGGACTAGTTTTCTCCTTTGAAACATTCTGTTTTAACTGTGAAACCTCACTCAATTCTACGATTTGTTTACCTTCTGTTGCTAGTGCAAGTTTTTTGGATGGACCTGAAGATTTTTGCTTGACCTCATCTAACTTTTTGACTGAGTCTTCGTTTGACAAACTACACTTTGATTCTTTGAGAGATATCTCCTCTAAGGAGGGTGCTTCGCATGTCACCTGTGGGGCAGTTGTCTCTACAGCAGGGCTTGATAAATTTCCTTCCTTGATTTCAGTTGATTGTTGTTCTTGTTTCCTGGGTTTCCGCTTGTTTTTTGGTTTTGAACAAACTTGCCAATCAGATTCATCTGCTGGATTCTCGTCAATTTCGGTACACGGTAGCACATCTAGCACAACTTCAGTTTTATAGTAATTGATTTCACGATTTTCACTGTCTACCAAATTCTTCTCCGAAAGCGTACCAGCGGTAGCAGCTGTTGGACCACCAGAATTTGCTGAACTGGAAGATTTAGGAGCATTAGAATTAGATACTTTAGACGTTTTGCATGGTTTGGGGGCTGCAGCTTTAGTTTGGTTGGATACTTGGGTTTTTTTCAAATCCTGTTCAAGTGACGGTTTGGTAGCATTTTCAACTTTTGGCGAAGTAATGCTATCTACAGTTTCCTTTCTTGTTTGAGCCATCTCACAGTCTTTTACTGAAATTGCTTCAGGTTTTACAAGTGGATCCTTAGGACTACTGCTAGTCATCTTTTTAGGTTCTTTTTTGTTGTTCTTCTTAGATTTACTTTCAATAGGAATGATAATCTCAGTTTTAATAACTTCTGGATTTTCCTTGATCATCTCTTCTTTTTGAGATGACAGAATTTTATTACTATTTTCAGAATGCTTTTCAACAGTTTTACTCAAATTGCTTGGATTTTTTTTGGAGGAATCAACTTCTACTGCTTTTGAACCAGCTTTAGAGGAAGAGATTTCCTTCATTTGTGTTAATGGTTTGGTATTTTCTTTTTTTGATTTACAAGACGGTGCATCAATAGGAAGACTAATTTGCTTCATGGCGCATGTTTCTGACTTGCCTTCGTTGACATTTGGAGAGCCTTTTGGCGCGGAAGAACTTTCTTGTTTCGAAGTGACAGGAGTTGGAGGTTGGTCTTTAATGCTATCATTACCAGAAGTTTTAACAGTCTGTTTCTGGAGATTACTTTTTTGCTCAGATTTACAAGCTGAAACAGGGAAGCAGACAGTGGTTTTCACGCTAGCTGGAGACTCATTCGGACTGTTCAATTTTCCTCCTTCAGATTTCCCTACGACTTCACTTTTTGTTGGGGCAGTGGACTCAGGAGAGGACTTTGCTGCGCTAGGTGAAACCTTGCAAACCTTTGATTCAACTTTCTTCACCTTTTCGGGAGATTTAGTACTGTCAGATATTTGCCCATCTGACGCAGGTTTTTCAATTTTAGACGGAGTTATGTTCGCTACAGCAGTCGGAATCTCAACTTTAGTAGAGCTAACAGTGCTAGTTTTGACTGTTGCTGTTCCTTCAAGTTCCGTCGATTTAGGAACAGCAACAGATACCCCGTTTTTTGGCTTTTTACGCTCGACAATTTCTTTTTTTGCTTTGCAAGACGCTCCTGGAGTTGACTTTTGCTCAATTTCTATATCAATGTGATGCTTGAATGCATCGACTTCTGTAACTTTACTTTCCTTCGACTTTTGAATATCATTAATGACTGTCGAAGATCCAACTTCTCCGTTACTGCCTTCTACCTGACTGATCTGACTACCAACAGCCATTACTTCAGGTGCGTCTTTATTTGGCTGTTGAGCCTTAACCTTACCATCGAGCTCATTGGTAAATCCTGAAACTATCACCTTATCAGGTACTTGACAAACAACGGATTCTTCTGTAGCGTCTTGGGGCTTTGTTAAAAATGCTTCTGGTGAGTTATCCGGTTTTTTCTCCTTGTTGGTTTCTTTGGAAACACTCACAGAACTTCCGCTTTCAACAACTTCAGATTTGGGGTTGGCTACATGAGTTAATTTCGGTAGATCAGGGTTTTTCATACTGCTACTGCTCCTCAATTCTTTAGTTTCACCTGAAGAGGAGAGTTCAAACTCAATTACATCCTCAGTTTTTTCTGAGCGACTTAAAGCGCTATTGACATCTTTAGCATCTACGATTCCTATGTTAGATAATGTCGTCAAAACTGTTACTAATGTTTTTTCCTCTTCTGCTGCAATAGTGAGACTCTTTGGTGACTCTTCCAATGTCTTAAGGGACTCTGGTGTATTGATTATAGCTGTATTTTCTTTTGCGATGTTATTAATTTCTTTTGTGACAGAATTTTTCTGTTCTTCCGGTTGATTCTTTTTCGTGACCTTGGATACCTGCGATTGCTTCTGTTTTTTCCCCATCTCTTCCTCATGTTTAGATACATCTGATCGTGTCTTGCTGGTGGTTTCATCGCATTGCGAATCTACTGTTTTTCCAGATTTAGCAGGTTGCTTCGAATCTTTGTCGTGCTTTTTTTCAGATTCTTCAGCAGCTTTCGAGGCTGACTTGCTGATTTTCATCCCAGGCTCAGGAAGTTTCTCTTCACTAACTGTTGTTTCCTTCTTCTGAGCATCTTTCAATTTCTTATTTTGATCTTCCTTCGTAGTTACAGGCTTGCCTGATTGTTTTAGATCCTTCACTGGAGTTTTCTGAGGTTCCTCCGGCAATTTTGGAGCATTCCAGTCATCTTTAATTTGATCATCTTTGGTTTTTGTTGACTGGATAACTTGTTTCTTATTTTCTATCACCTTTTCTGTGGCCTCTTGCGTTGTTTTAGAGACATTCTCTTTACGTTCCGGTGTCAGTGCTGTTTTAGAGGTCTCAATTTTGATTGACTGTTTCTGATCCTTTGAATTCTTTTTTGGAGGTTTCTTCTCTGGAGAGGCAGGTTCTTTAGTCAATATTGGTACAGTTGAGACTAGAGCCTCTAGCATGAGAGTTCCTTTAATCTGAGCTCCACTAGAATTTTCTGATCCTTTCGTTTCTTTGGATGGCACGGAGATTTCAGCCTCATTGACGGTATTTTTAGTCTCAGAATTTTTAGGTTTCTCAGCTTCATTTTCATCGTTCTGAGTTTGAGTGGATTTTTTTAATTCACTCTGAGTCATGTCCCGCTTTTTGATATCTTTTTCCTGTTTTTTCAGTTTCGTTTCTTCAGTATTGGATGATTGAACACAGGTTTGTGACGAACTAACTGCAGTTTTATCATCCTGTACTGCGTCAGCTTTTTTGGAGGTGGGTGATGGTTCTAACTTTATATCCTTCCTTCCGACCTTCTGTGACATTTTCAGATCAGCCTCTTTAACCAACTGCGGTGACTTCAAAACTTCTGTTTCTTTGACAACTATTTCCTTACTTTGGGAGCCATCAGATTTTTTGGATTGTGCGCTTTTTTCTTGCATCTCCTTGGAGTTCTTATCGGTCTGAGTCTTGCCAAGGAGTTTCGATTCAGTTTTCAATGCTTCCTTAGTAATTTGTGGAGTTTTCTCACTGTTTTTCTTGTTCGAAGATGATTCGATTGTTTCCAAATTTGCTGGCTGTCTTCCGACCTCAGCTGGGTTCTTTTCAGACTTTTGTGGCTTCTCCAAGTCCGGTTTTTTCACTTCTTCAGATAATTTTGGGGCTTCAGTTTCTTCAACTGCTAATTTTTTGTCCTTGGTGCCTTCAGCTTTCTTTGATACTGCAGCTATTTTCGGTGTCTCCTTTTGTTTTTTGTCCGATTGAGTCTCATTCAAAACTTTCGGTTCGGTTTTCAATGGTTCTTCAGTGACTTGCAGAGCAGAAACTGCAGTTTTATCTTTCAGAGATACTTCAGTTTTTTCCAAATCGAAGGGCTTTTTCAGGTCCTTTTCTTGCTTTTTTTCAGTCTTTTCTGACTTTTGTGGTTTCTCCAAGTCCGGTTTTTTCACTTCTTCAGATAATTTTGGGGCTTCAGTTTCTTCAACTGCTAATTTTTTGTCCTTGGTACCTTCAGATTTCTTTGATACTGCAGTTATTTTCTGTGTTTCTTTTTGTTTTTTGTCAGATTGAGTCTCATTCAAAACTTTTGGTTCAGTTTTCAATGCTTCCTCAGTAATTTGCGGAGTTTTCTTACTGTTTTTCTTGTTCAAAGATGATTCGATTGTTTCCAGATTTGCTGGCTGTCTTCCGACCTTAGCTTGGTTCTTTTCAGACTTTTGTGGCTTCTCCAAGGCCGGTTTTTTCACTTCTTTAGATAATTTTGGAGCTTCAGTTTCTTCAGCTGCTGATTTTTTATCCTTGGTACCTTCAGATTTCTCTGATACTGCAGCTATTTTCTGTGTCTCCTTTTGTTTTTTGTCCGATTGAGTCTCATTCAAAACTTTTGGTTCAGTTTTCAATGCTTTCTCAGTAATGTGCGGAGTTTTCTCATTGTTTTTCTTGTTCGAAGATGATTCGATTGTTTCCAAATTTGCTGGCTGTCTTCCGACCTCAGCTGGGTTCTTTTCAGACTTTTGTGGCTTCTCCAAGGACGGTTTTTTCACTTCTTCAGATAATATTGGGGCTTCAGTTTCTTCAATTGCTAATTTTTTGTCCTTAGTGCTTTCAGCTTTCTTTGATACTGCAGCTATTTTCGGTGTCTCCTTTTGTTTTTTGTCCGATTGAGTCTCCTTCAAAACTTTCGGTTCAGTTTTCAATGGTTCTTCAGTGACTTGCGGAGCAGAAACTGCAGATATATCTTTCAAAGAGACTTCAGTTTTTTCCAAATCAAAGGGCTTTTTCAGGTCCTTTTCTTGCTTTTTTCCAGTCTTTTCTGACTTTTTTATATCGGCTTCTTCAGCCTCCTGGGGCGCCTTAGAGACTCCTTCTTTTTTGACGGCTTGATTTTGGTCTTGACCATTTTTCGATTTCTTGGAATGTTCTGTTTGCTTCTGGGGTTCGTTTTGATTTCTTTGGCTACCAGTTTTGTCTGAAACTTTCAATTCTGTTTTCAAAGGTCGATCGACAATTGGTTGGGCAGCAACATTTGTTTTTTCAGTCTCCTTAAGAGTGGTACGCTGACATTGGTCCTTACTTTGGTTCTTTCCAACTTTCTGTGGCTCTTTGGTGTCAGAATCTTTAACCTCTTTTGATGATTTTGTGTCTTTCGCTTCTTTCGCAATCGGTTCCCTTTCTTGGGCACTTTTGGGTTTTTTAAATTCATCCTGGATTACATCAGCATGTGTCTTGTTTAAAGCTGGCGATTCAGTTTTCAATGAGTGTTCGACAGTTTTTGGGGGAGAAACAGTAGTTTTCTTTTTCGAGGATTCTACCAAATTGGCAGGCTCCTTTTGATTTTTACCATGTTCCTTCCCTCCTTCTTGGATCATTTTTGAGTCATTGTCTTTCATCTCCGTCGGTAACTTTGAAACTTTAATTTCATCAATAACTGGTTTTTTGTCAACAGCATCTTCTAATTTCTTACACATAGTTGGTTCTTCCTGAGTTTGATCTTGTTTTTGCTTAATTTCACCTTGAAGTTTAGATTTAGAGACTGGAGTTTCCAAAGGTTGCTCAGCTGTTTGTGGTGCAATAGTATTGGTTTTTACTTCCTGCACTTTTTCAAGATTATCTAGATGTTGTTTCTCCTTACCCTGTTTCTTCCCAGTTTTTGGTGGTTCTTTTAGGTCAGTTTCTTTTACCTCCTTTAATGGTTTTGACATTTCAGTTACAGCATCAACGGGTTTCTTATCAGGAGTATCTTCTGATTGCTTAGACATAGCAGGTGCTTTCTGCATTGTAGCTTGTTTTTTAATGTTGTCATTCTTATTATCATTTACTGTTACCTCATTTCCATTAGTTTTAAATGTTTGCTGGGTGATCTGTGGAGTAGAACAGGCAGTTTTTTCCTTGGGAGCTGTTTCAAGTTTTTCTGATTTAGAAGACTGCTCAACTTTGCTTAGACTTTTGTCTTCAGGAATTTTTGTGTCAGCTTCTTCAGTCTTAGCTGCTGGCTTAGACACTTGCGCTTCAATAATGGCTTTTTTATTTGGAGCACTTTCAACTTGCTTTGATTTGGTTTGAGTCTTACCTTCTTTCTTTTCAAGCTCTTTCTGCAACTTTAATTCAGTTTGAATATTTTCTGGGGGTTGCTGAAACGTTGGTGGAACAGTTTCAGGAGTTTTTTCCTTCAGAGTTTCTATTTCTTTCTTAGACTCTTTCAGCTCCTTATCTTGTTTCCCCGCAGCTTTCTGTGGCACTTTTGGTGAGGTTTCCTTCGCTTTGGTTGATGGCTTGGAAATTTGAACCTCACTCGTAGGTTCCTTGTTCTGAGCAACTTCAACTTTTTTTGATTCACTATTTTTGTCTTGGGTCTTAATTTGTTTTGTGCCAGTTTTGCCTGAATCTTTTAATTCAGTCTCAATGATTTCTAATGGTTCCTTGAGTGTCTGTGGGGCAGTGGCAGCATTCTCCTCCTTCTTCAAAACTGCAGTTTTTGCAGCTTCAGTCTCCTCCAATTTATTGCCGCCCTTCTTCTGACTTCTACCTGACTTCGTTTCAGTCTTCTGTGGCAATTTCGGGTCACCTTCTTTAGTTCCTATTGTTGCCTTGATGACTTGTGCTTCATTAGAAACTTTCTTGTTTAGAGCATCTCCAGATTCTTTTGATTCCGCAGGTTCTTTCCTGATCTCACTTTTTTTACCATCAGTGCCATCCTGAGCTTCTAATTTGATTTGATTGGTTTCTTTTCGAGGGGTTTGCACAGCAGGAGCTTTCTCGACCTTTCCTTCTTGTTTCTTTCCAGCTTTCTGCATCTCTATTGAATCTGTCTCTTTTGTCACCTTCGTTGGCTTGGTTACTGGAGACTCATTAATGACACCCTCATTTTTAGCAGGTTCTGATTTCTTTGGTCCGGACGGTTCTTTCTTCGTCCCATCTTGTTTTGGATCAGTTTTTTTCTGATCTGTCAGATCAGATACAGTAGTTTTCCCATTCTGTTTGGCAGTTTTTTTAGAGGCGACAATCTGCTGCTCAGCTTTATCTTCAATCTTCTCACCCTTTGGAGAGATCTTCGTTTCAATTTCATTCTGCTTAGCTTCTCGTTTGGTAACTTTGGATTCATTGCTGGGAGCTTTGAGGTCTGGCGTTTCTTCCAGTTTCTTTGATTTAGCAGGTCCTTTTAGGGTCTCGTCTTCTTTTCCATCTTTGCCACTTTTGTTTGATAAACTCAATTCAGTCACAGTTTTTTCTGATGGTTGCTTTGAGGTTTTTGAATCAATGGCGGAGGTTTCTTCCTTCGAAGATACTACACTTTCTTCCGATGTTGCAAGCTGTTTTTGGTCCTTTTTCGGATCTTTTTTAGCCTCTTGTGGCAATTTTGAGTCAGCTTTTTCTGCCTCCATTGAGAGTTTCGAGACTTGAGCTTCATTGCCAGTATTATTGTTTTCAACACCTTTTAGTTTCTTAAATTCAGCTGATTCTTTTTTAGGCTTACCCTCGTTCTTCTCTGACTTTTCCAGTGCTTTCAATTTACCGTCATTACTCTCTGATAACGGCTCAAGGGCTTGGGCAGTAATTACCGCAGTTTCCTTCTTTAAAGAGACTTCAGTTTCTTCCGATTTCACAGGCTGTCTTTGATTTTTACTTTCTTCCTTTCCTGCCTTTTGAGACAATTTGGCATTTACTCCCTTTACCTCTACTGTGGATTTAGAGACTTGAGTTTCTTCGGCAATAGATACTTTATCTTCAGAACTTGCCGATTTCTTACATTCAGCAGGTTCTTTCTGAGTCTTTTTCTGATTTTCATTCGGAACATTTGATTTAGTTTGTGCGATACCTGATGCTTGCTTGTCTAGGATGGTAACAGCAGTTACTTCATTCTGAGCGGCTGAAGTTTTTCCAGATTTAACAGACTGTTGTTGATCCTTGACTGGTTTATGTCCATCCTTTAATGAAGCCTCCTCAACAGTTCCTGTAGATGCTTTTGATGGCTCAGAATCTTTAGGTTCAGAAGCAGTATTTGAAATCTCAGCACTTTCAGATTTCTTTGATGCACCAGATTCTCTCCGAGTCTCACTTTTAGCTTTGTCAGTTTTGACGTCATCTTTCAATTCTCTCTTGCTGGTTCCTGAAGGATGCTTGGAAGTATCTGCTACAGCAGTGGTTTTCTCATTTTTTATGGCTGCAGATTTGGGCTGTTGCTGATCCTTGACTTGTTTCTTTCCTGCCTTTGGTGACAACTGTGTATCAGTCTTGGTTGATGGCTTGATTTCAGCTTCAGGAACAGTTTTTGCGTTCTGAGCATCTTCAGTTTTCTTTGATTGACCAGATTCTTTTTTATTGTTGGCTTGGGTTTTATCTAACGATACCTTCAGTCCAATTTCACCGGTATCAGATGATTGTTGACAACTTTGCAGGGCAATAAATGCAGTGTTTTCAACCTGTGCGGATTCTGATTTATCTTGTTTGATTGGCTGTTTCTCTGCTTTCCTTTGATTTATTTCAGCCGCCTTTGATTCCTGAGTGGCCATTGCTTTGATATCTTTCGAGACTTTGGAAGCTTTATTTTCACCGATGATAGTTTCCTTATTCTGTGTACTTTCTAATTTCTTAAATTCTTCAAGTTCGTTATGTGCCTGACCTTGTTTCCTGTCGTTCTTATCTTGCTTTTTTAATTTTTCTGCCGGTTTGTATAGATTTTTCCCAGCATTGTTAGTTGTTACTTGAATTTCTGATATGAATTTGGGCTGTACTTCTTGATCTATGAGACATTGGGAAGCCTTTTTATTGTCTATAATAGGTTTTTCTGACTCTTTAGATTGATTGCTTTGAATGATAGCTTCACTTCCTGACGTTTCAGTTGCAACAATGTGCGTTTGTTTAGAAGACAGCACCTGATTAGAAGAGTAACCTTCCATTATCATTCCATCAACAGTAGGTTTACCTATTTTCTCATTTTTTTTGGAGGAATCTTTAATCTTTGGAGGCTCTTGCTTATCTTCTGTTGCAACTTCTTTGCTTGCACTAGGCTGATTACTAGATTTTTGTATATTAGGGTCTTTCTTGTTTTTAACTTCAACAGTTTGGTTTTTTTCCGATTTTACCGAAACTTTAGCATCCTGCTGCTTCTCATTCTTGGAGGACTTTTGATCTTTTGTTTTTGGATTATCATTTGGTGCTTTTAAATCCGGAGTTCCTAATTTTTTTGGGTCGCTGTATTTTTGTCCTTTCTTTTGTGAATCTTTGTCTGCAGAAAGTGGCTCTTGAGGAGCTTTATCTTTGATATTTTTCATATTCTGGTCTTTGACCTCAATTACTGTATCAAGAATTTCGGGCTGAGCTCCAGAATCATCTTTTGATGCCTTTCCTTTTTTATTTTTTCTTTTACTCTTTTTAGAGCCGGTTGCATTTTCATTTACATTTGGAGCTTGTGTCTCGGAGGGCAAAACACCAATTCCACATTCTGAATCATTTTCCTTTGCATTTGGAGAGGTTTTAGAAGCTGTGGATTTTCCTTCGTCCTTCAGAGTTTTTTCTTGAGCGATTTTGTTTTTTTTCTTCCCCTTTCTCTCACCATCTTCCGTAATAGAATCCACATTTTCTTGGACAGTGGGCAAGGCTTCACTTGCAACTTCTGATTTTTCAACAGCATCTTTCTTTTGTTTATTCTTTTTGTTTTTGGTTGAAGTACGCTCAGGCTGATTAATCGATCTCTCTTCAGGCTTGCTAATTTTTTTCTGTTCTTCACTTTGGTTGGTTTTCTTTTTCTTTTCATTTTTGGCACTACCTTCACTTCCCTTCTCACTTAAAACAGGAGCAAAGAATTCAGTCTCAGCAGTTTTTGCTTCTTGTAAATTGTCAGTTTCTTTTTTCCCTCCTCTACGTCTCCTCCTTTTCTTGGAGGAATTTTCCTCTGAGACATTTGCTGTTTCATCAAAACCTGTCAATCTTTTGGTAACAGCATTATCATTTGATTTTACTTCTTCAACGGGCGAAGTAGCGCTACTTGGTGTCGGCTTTTTGCCAGTTTCATTTCCTTTCTTCTTAGAATTCTTGCTTTTTTTGCTATCGTTTTTACATTCCACAACGTGGTTGTCATTTTTCTTTTGGATTTTAATATCCTGACTGTTGTCAAGTTTTTCCTGACTTGAGGTCTTTGATCCTTTAGTTTTAGCAATTGCATTTTTCACTTGGTTACTTGAAGGCTCATTGTCTTGTTTCTTCACATTCTTGCCTTTGACATTCTTTTCTTCGGCATCAGTTTTTTGAGAAGAGGCCACAACTTGGTTGTCATTTTTCTTTTGGATTTCAATATCCTGACTATTGTCAAGTTTTTCCTGACTTGAGGTCTTTGATCCTTTAGTTTTAGCATTTGCATTTTTCACTTGGTTACTTGAAGGCTCATTACCTTGTTTCTTCACATTCTTGCCTTTGACATTCTTTTCTTCGGCATCAGTTTTTTGAGAAGAGGGAGTGACCGTTTTCTCTGAAGGTTGGTTTTTAATTTTTGGTTCAGACTCAGACTTGGCCTTATCACTGCCACCGGAGGACTTCTGGACTTGCTGCTTTTTTGCACCCATTTTATCACTAGATACACTTTTGTCAATTATAGGTTTCCCCACTTCATTTTTAGTTGAAACATTTGTAATCGTCTTCGGGTTAGCAGACACATCTGCGCCTTTTTTAAGATTTTGTTCATGAGATTTATTTTCAGGAGTGTCTTTAGAGATTTTATTGCTAGCATTTCCTACAGAGTTGTCCTGTTGGTTCTTTTTCTGGGTTTTATTCTTTTTTCCATTCAATATTTTAGCACCTTCCTGTGAACTCTGGTTGCCAGGCAACAGTTCATTCAAGGTTTTGCAAGGAGGTTCAACCACAAAATCTTTCTCAGAGGCTTTTGGAGATTTGACTTGTTTGTCTGACTGACTATCTGCACTGTTAATATTGCTTTCTTTAAATACGGGGGACTTAGAGGCCTTGTCAGCAGAAGAAATTTCTACTGGTGCATTTCTTTTCTTCTGCTTTTTATTTGCGGGGGCTTTGATGTTACTTGTCTCGAAGTTTGAGGAATTGGTAGCCGAATCCACATTTTTAGCGGCTTCTACTTTCTGACTCTTTTTTGATGAAGACTCCTTGTTAGCAAGTTTCTTTTCTTGTGTTTTGCTGACTGCAGTATTTTCTTTGGCTGCTACCGCAACTGAATTCAAAGCATCGACATTCAATTTTTTAGAAACATTTTCCTGCTCCTTGTCATGCGGCTTCTCACCGAAACTTGAAGAATTGGCCAATAATTCTTTTGAAATATTCCTTGCATTACTGTTGAATATAATTGAATTAGGAGAGGATTCAGAATTTTTAATAGGATCACATTGTTGAGTCTCTTGTTTAGACTTTTCAGCAACTATATGGGCCTGAGGATAAACTTCAAAATTAGGTTGAATATTTGTGAGTGAAGGTAAAGGCTCCAAAGGCTGAAAAAACGCATGGCTGAGAAAACCAGATTTTTCTTGGGTTTCTGATCTAATGAGCGCTTCAGTAGAAGAAAGAGGATCAGGTTGTTGAGGAACATCAAATAATTTAGATGAAGCAAAAGGTACTTTAAAAGAGAGTAAATTATCATCGTATTGATTGAACTGAGGGAGCAAACTACGATTTTCTTCTGTGGATGACGGTTGTTTTGAGGAAGCAGTGTTATTGACCGGTTTCGAGGCAGTTCGATCGCGACTAGGCTCCCTTGAGCTTGGATTTGACCGTAAAACTTCTGAGTACGATGCCGATTCGTTGGGAATCCAGATTGGACTCTTGGATCTCCTGGATCTGGAGCGAGGGTCCAAAAATTGCTCACCATTGCCTACTGTAGAATGAGACAAATCAACAAACTTTCCATGATCAGGCGCAACAACACCGATGCTCAGATCAGGCAGTTTCGACTGCTTGGATTCGTTGACTAAATCTCCAGAGTGAGCAGTTATTTCTGATTTTGCTTTGGATGATGAGGTTTTACCTTGTTCTTCTGGTTTCTTCCCTGATGCAGCAGAATCATATAATGCAGATGCGTTTTGCTGATTCGGAGACTTTGGTGCAGATATCACCTCATCAGCAGATTCGATAAAATTTGGGTCTAATTGTTTGATAATTGCCATAAAGTCATTTCTTTTTTTACTGATTTCATCCAATTGGTTTTGAAGGCCCTGTACATCACCAACTTTAAGTGAGTATAATAATGTTCATTTTCGTATAAATACAAATGTACACAAGAAAAATATATGCGTAAATTAAAAAAAGGGGGAGGGGGGGGTATTAAAATCACACAGAGGCTAATGTATGAGAACTTGTAAACACTCCTAACACTCATAAATATAACGTAAAGCACAAAACTGAAAGCTGATACTTCGAGTAAGTAAAATATGACTTTATTCCGTTTGCCGTTGCGTTTGCTACCAGAATGGCACTAAATCATTTACTTCATCGGTTATCCAAAATCCGCTTGGATGGTGACTTGGATATGCAAGATTCGCAGTTCAGGTATGAATTTAACGTTTTAGTAACGCTAAGTATTCGGGTCTAACAAATGTTCAAGTTCTGGAGTTCCACGCTGTAAAAGAAGTTTTATCCTTTCTGAACGTGCGTTTATCTTGCTTTGAATAACTCTTGAACGTTCTCTGCATGCCTGAAAGTTATCCGAGTGAGCATAGGTAAGGTTTCATGAACGGAATTTGAAAAATAAAATAAATGAAAAGTACAAAGGGCAAAAACAATAATTATATAGTCCACTAATACCTAAATAATAAATTACTGGCTAAATAACTAAGTAATGGGGAATGCGAAGATGAGATCTTTTCAAAATTGAGTTTATATTATTCAAAAAATGTTGGGAAGAAACGCTTATCCTCTGTAATCAAATGGTGGATTTATACCTAAAAGGAAACACCCAAAAGTGAAACTCTTTGGGCTGGGTTCGTTTATTTTTCCTAGAAAAATTGAAGCTTCAGTTTTAATGAGCAGAGAGCACAATAGGTTCAATGCAACTGTTTGAAAAGAGGAATGATACTGAGGGATCGATAGCTATGATTCGTTCAAGATCATAATGATTCAAAACAAGGCGAAAAATCAGTAACTTCAAAACTAAAGTAAAACTGTACCTAGCTTAGCTAATTAAACTGCAGACAATCTCTAAGAGGAATCATTGCAACTTGAATAAAAAATGATAATAATTGAAATAATTTAACGTCACAGACAACAGTTTGTGATTTGGAGGACCTTTAAGCTTGAGGAACAAAATTTGGTCATTGCAAGTAGCGACTAATCACACTTCATGAGTAGCACTATTACTCCTGTGGAATTATTTTCAACAATAGGATCCTCCATTTAAAAGCAAAGGCTTACAGGAGCGACCCTCTTTTCCGAAATATTCGGATATTCCTACAAATATACAACAAGGTGGAAGAAAAGCGGATTGTGGCAATCTTTTGACCCAACACCTATGAGGTTAAACAAAAAAAGAACGGTGCACATACATGATGGAACACATTTTCGGTGGGAGGTCACGAGGAATCAATTGCTGGATGACTGAATTTGAGGAAGGAAATCAATTTGAAAGATAAGAAAATTATTACTTACATTCTGTTCTTCCAATGCTTTGTCTCTGTCTTGCGCTAACTGCGTTGGACACATAGCCAACCTCAGCTTTTGCTCTACTTGAATGCTTAGATGACGAAGTTGTTGAATTTCCTGAAAATGGAAAACAAATACTGAACATGAAACAGAGTTAGAAGTATGAAACTGACATATGCCAGTGCTTGTGAAGGGTGTCAAGCAAAATTGTCTTTCCTTTCTCTAGACTTCTGAGGTTTTCCCTCACCCTGCGCTCAACCCTCAAATGTGGTGATCATTGCAATAAGATAAGACTCAATACATGAGTTGTTTCAAGTTTCTGACGACAGTTATTAGCAATATTATTAAAACAAAGAATTGCAATATGTTGTGATGAACTTTCTATAAAACTGTGAAAGAATAGCTATAAAATTCACTGCTTTATTGATGCCGATTTTCAGCATTGATATTGAAAAGTAAATTGCAATAAATAGAGATAAAGTTGTAATTTTATCACCATTAAAGAGAAATTTTGTGAGTAGGAAGAAATGTCTTTTACATTCAAGATCCCAGAAATTTTATCACTATAATAAGATGGTAATACAATTTTGTATCAATAAAACAAAATTTTCCTATTGAAATAATGCTACTCTAGAAGAAAGAGGAAGGAAGAACATAGAATGAAAATGAATCACCTTTTGATAGCTTTCAATTTGATTTAGGGTTTTTTCTAGACTTTTAACACGATCTTGAATGGAGGCTTCTAATTTATTCAAATCGGATGTCAGATCGGATGCAGCTGCGGTCACGACCTCATCGCAATTTTCTGTAGATTTGAAGTGAACCTGAAATAAAATTTAAAAAATATTTCAATCTTTAACATTCGATTCAGTTAAAATAAAAACAGATGATTTGGTATGGAACAAGGAATCGAATTCTAAATATTTTTGAACAGCCCAGACCATTTTGGGACAATTTTCCCGAGTCAGTCAGGACACTAAGAAGCAGTAAAAACTTTTTTGCCTCTTTCTACAATTGACATAAAATCATTAAACCTAAATTTATGGGGGGGGGCTTATGTTTTCAAAATAGGCAAACATGAGTATGAACTGTTAATTTATGGAAATTCGTGGTGAAGGAAAGAATGATTCTGTTTTTAATGGCTTCCCTTGAATCTTGCAAACAAACACTTTCTCTTGCGCTCTTCTTAAAACACGCTCTTCACATGAGCCTTTCAAGCAAATAATTTGTTAAATATTTTTTCTTAACCTCAGACTCTGAGCTTTTTTCTGATTTTGAATTTTTGCCATACCTCTGGACCTTTGAGACATACTGACAAGAGTTTTATGGTTTTAAATAGTTTCACATCATGATTTCTGACATTACCTTCAATTTATCCAAAGACGTATCGATTTTAGATCTTTGACCGGCGATTTTTCCCCTTGTTTCTTCAAAGTTCAGATGCTGCTCACGCAGAGATTGTTTTTTATTGGGGCTAGATTCTAGTGTTTGATGAGACTTATTGATGAAGTTTTTGACTTCTTTCAGTTTGCGGTCAAACTGATCCCATTCTTCACACATTTCACTCAGCAGTCCTTGCTAGAAATTTAACACAAAATGTCGATGAGTGATATGCTTGACAAAACTCAAGTTCCAAAGTCTTTTTGCAACCATTGAAAAAACCTTGAAAAAGATTTCAGAATTATGTGGACGGAATTGCATAAAATTGGTTTCAGTGTACCACATTTCTTGAGCGCCCTGCGCCAAATGCGGCTAAAAATTAGGAGGACCAAATAAAGTTGGCGCACCTTGTTGATTTTTCAGACTCACAATCAGAAGGCGGCAGCACCGCTCTCAACACACCGTTTGTAGTGCGGTAGTGTAGCCTTTCGTCTTCAATTGTGCATTTTGCAAAATTTCATCCACCATGATGCATACGCTAAAATAACTTTGACTTCTAAATAAATGTAAATGACTCCTAAACATAGGGTTTTCTAGCCAAGGTAGCTCCTGAAGAAAGGGGAATGGCAGAGCGCCGATTGCTTTTGAAAAATATTTATTGAAACTCTTTCCTGGATATTTCCGTCAGGACATTTTACTCCTAAAATGGGAAATAAAAAATTAGCCACCACTGTCTTTTCGTCATTACATCTATTTATACAGAAACTCTGAAAGTTCTGAAAACATACCTTTTTCAAAAGAGCAGCTTCTACTTCCGTTTTTGCCTTCTCAGCTTGCTCCAATTTCAAATTAAGATCTCCATAATTGTTGTCTTTCTTGATTTTTTCGAGCTCAGTACTCATTTCACCGAGTTGCTTGGCTACTTCCTTGCATGACTTCACAGCCGTCTGGAATCATAAATAGAGTTTAAAAATCCTTGAGCCGTAAAAAGTAAATTAGTCATAACAATGAGGTGGAGATCAACGCTTAAGAAGCGTAGATTCAGCAGGATTGACTCGTTAATGAACACCTCCGGTAGAAAAAAAAACCATTGAAACTAATCTAAGATCCTTACTTCAGTGTTTCCCAAGGAGTTCATAAAAGGTAAAGTGACTGCGAAAGCTGGATTCATCCGATAAATTTGGAAAATTCAAACGTTAAAGAAAAGGCTTTTGAGAAAAAAAATCAGTTTAAATTTGTAATATGATTTGTCGAAAAAAGTCTCAATAATATCAGTGCTCTGCAGAGAAACCAACTTTATTCCAATACCTGCAGCCTGATTGTTGAAATTTTATGTTTGTCGGGACGACATAGATGACATAGGTTAAAAGGCGGAGCGTGATTGATCAGTTTTGTCTTATCGCTGCTTTGTCGTGCCTTTGTCAAGTGGAATGGACAACATACTGTCGGAAACTTAAGAGGTACCGATAGCTTGTCGTGAGTTCAACCCAACATAGGCATGACAAAGCAGCGATAAGACATAGCTGACAAATCACGCTCCACCTTTTAACCTATGTCATCTATGTCGTCCCGACAAACAAAAAATTTCAACTATCAGGCTGCAGGGGAGATTGAGACTGTGTATTATACCTTTAGAATAAACTATGGTAGATATCAAAAATGAAAATGACATGGGCTCCCCAAATTAAAAACACTTTCTTCAATGGAAAGAAAAAATAATAATAATCATTAGATGAGGGACACTTTTATATGTGATGATTTTACTTGGAGAGCGTCAACAGAAACTCCGTTCTAAAATAAATTCGAAAGTCACAAAAATGGTTTGAGCTGCAGAAGGAAATGTTTATCAATGGGATTAGATTCAAAATGTAATCATTTAACTTGTATGTTTAAAATCTGAATTGTAATTCAACAGTACTAACTTTCTGTCCTTCAGTTGGAGCACATTTAGTAGAAGAGAACTATCGCAATTACAGTGTTTTCAAAATTTTGCAACTATTCTTTTCTTTAAAAATTACTAAGTATATTCACAGTGATATGATTCACATAATTATTTTCAAAACTGAAAATTTCATTAGACAATTTAAAATCAACAATTTTTTGGCTGAAGTAAAGACTATTTGCTTTTGACAGAAATTTTTAAGATAAAAATAGAGATGCACAAACAACAACATTGTAACATGGCACCACCCAGCTGAGAGAAAAAAAAAATTAAAGCATGGGTTGGATACATAGTTGTTTCTGTGACAAGAATGTATCCATCCTCTTAAAAAAACAACAAAACACTGATCATGACACTGCAATCGCACTGATTCTCTTCAGCAAAATACTATCCAATTACAGAGTTGCCCTAATTACTTCATTTCCAAATTCTTGGACTTTTCCCTAACTATTTTTGCTTTTCCCTGATTCCAAAATTGTCGGACTCTCTGACTTTTCCTGACAATTGAATAAAACTTCCACTTTGATTTTTATTTTTTATCTTTTAAATTACACTCACTTCTGCTAAATGCGAACACATTAAAATCGCTGACTTTATGTGATAATTCCCAGACTTTTTACGGTCGCTGCAAATTTCCCGACTTCCCCGATTTTTCAGACCGCAGGCAACCCTGCAATTACTTATGATACCAATTTTCTATTCACTGAAAAAGGTTGTGGCAAAGAATATAATCAAAATTTAAGAGCACAAAATTTAGGTACTTACAGAGAACAGCTGTTGCTTGCTCCTGGCCTGTGCCAATTCTTTCAATTCAAATTTCTCTTCTAAAAGCTTCACTTTTTCTTCCTTCCATTTCATAATTGAGTTGTAGAGTGCATCGAAATGCTGCCATGAGTCCAGGGCACCTCCCAGCTGAGAGAACACCAAAAATTAAATCATGAGATGGACAGTTGACTAGGATGTGTCCATCCTTCTTGAAAAAACAAATTTGCCCATCGGCTCAAAGCTAACATACTCAGCTCTGCTGGAGAACAAATGTATGGGGGATACAAAATCAATGCTCCTAATAGTGTCAAGACCTGCCACAATAGGAGTAGAGTTAAGTTCACCTGTTGCTATGGCAACTCTTTTGTTAAGAACTGTCAACACTTCAAGAGCTCAACAGGTAATTCCACCCCTTAGAAACTTGATATAAGACATTGAATGATGGAATGTCACTTTTTGATGAGCCACTTTCTTGTTCCTTAAACTTTTTGGATTATTGTTTTTTTTCCTCTTTTAGCAGTTCTCAACAAATCTGGAAAAATCTTCATTATTAAGGCGATAAAATGATGCAACTAATCGTTTTTTTTTTTTTTTTATTTTTTTATTTAATGGATAAAATAAAAAACTTACCAGCTGCTTTTTGCCGTCAATTTTACTCTTCAATCGATCAAAATCTTCAGTTCTCTGCTTCAAAGTGGAGAGGATGAGTTCTTTCTTATCCTCTTCACGAATATTCTTCACAAGAGTTTCACCATTCTTTTTGGCATTTGACAGTTTATCACTCATAGTTAAAACTTGAGGAGAGATCTCCTGTATTCAAAAAAGTAATTATGCCATTAAAATTTTAGATTACACGTATCTGAGGAACATGATAATAGGTCTGTTGGCATATTAGCAGAAAAAGTTTCTTTCAAGACCAGTCTGAAAGATCAGAAAGGATTACTAACTACTTTAGAGCAAAAAAAAAAAACATTTGCTGGCATGCCATTCATGAGGACTGGTTAAAAATGCTGTCACTGGCTTGGTACTTAATGGGTAACTGGACAACACATGAATTAAAACAGTGCACTGCATATTTGCTCTTTCAAAATTCACAATGAATATTGCAAGATAAGAAGTCTAGAAATCGACTGATAAACAAGATGTTCGTGTTTAGGATTAACATTGGTTCAATGGCAAAAATGCAAAAGACGTCTTTTGCACAGAATGATTTCTATGTGATCCGTGTTAAAAATACTTGTAAATATTTTGTTTTGAATTGAATGTCTGATCTTTCTGTTGTGTGAGTCACTTAGCATGCAATATTTTGAAGAGAAGCAGACAATGTTTTTTTCTAGTTAAGATCTTGTCTATTGGCTTATTGTCAGGTTGTTCAATAATGCACATACAGGTAAAAACCAGTGCAATGTTGGCTGACAAACAAAACATCAAACTTTCAGAGGGAAAAAAAGAGAGGTCTGATAAATTAATTGAATATATGATGCATCTGAATTCAGACCATTTCTGTTGAAGTGGAGACTTAGGAAATGAAGTAAAGAAAAAAAATGAATTATTACGAACCTTGATATACTCATCGAGTTTGAGGGGTTCGACAGATGTGTCATCAATTTTGAGTTCTACGTCAGATATCCAATTTTGAATATCTTTGATGTCTGTTTCATAATCTGATCGGACAGTTCTGGCCCTCTTTTGCTCATTTCTCTTCTCTTCCATCTTACTGGCAAGATTCTCGGATAGTAATTCCAAGGATGTTAGCTATATAAATAATGAAAAAAGCACACATTAAATAGCGTCCTAAGTGTGCTCAAAATCAAGGGTAGGTTCCTGGTTTGTTAGATTTTTTTTACAATGTCCAACCATTGCTCAAGAAAAAGGATACAAATTTTTGGTTCTCACAGATTTGTCATAGAAATTCTATCATCTATTTATAATATAAAGTACAATATTATAAACATAATCGAGGGTTAGGTTGAATTCTGAGAGCAACTAATCAAAATTTTCTAAGACGAAATAGGTGATGCAATACTGCTCTGCAGTCAAGGTGAGGCATACAATATGAGAGCCCCCGAGAATCCATGCTGACACTTCCATACCTTCCACAATTGCATATTTTCTATAGAACAACAACTTGAAATCGTATCGACTCAGAAACTTTACTCCAGTTTTTGTTCTGTGCTTCTATTAAACTTCTTGCATTTACAAGTAGTAGAATATTTGGGTGTACTGTTTATTTTCGATTTCAACTTTTCTTCTCCGAAATAAACTGTTTCAGCAAGCTATTGAAACATACCAAGCAATGGTATCTACGGGTTCTAATACCAAAGGCTTCAGAAATAATACTTAAAGTTATTTTCCTGACTAGAGAAAATGAGAGTAGTTCTGGCATGAAGTACAGTTCAAATGAGTCATAACAAGAAAAAACGGGCAGAGATTAACGACAGCAAAAGATAAAAAATGATTATTGGAAGATTAGGCTATTAAGTGAAAAACCACCTAAATAAAGAATTAAAAATCCATTGCTTACCTCTTGAGCTAAATCCGTTGGTAGAAGTTGCTCAGAATTTTCGTAAGATTCCCTTGTGTTTGAACTTAGAGTGACAACTTGTTGAATGAGATTAGATACGGCTGACTCTAGTTCCTGAAAAAAAAATGATAGAGATTAGGAGATCATTCACTTGCAGAAAAATGCTGTCAAAATAAGTTTCTACCTGCTCTTTTACTAGAAATAGCTTTTGAACAAAAACACAGGAAATGAAGGAATTGAAAAATTATTGGAATTGAAATGGTATTGAATGGAATTGATTTGGAATTGAATGGTAAATGTCTTTGACTTTTCTACTTTTTCTTCTGCTCTTACTTTTGTCAAACATATGATGAAACCAAAATAACCGATATATTTATTTTTTACCATTTTTAGGCCACTGTCACACTTATATTCCTGACAGTATTCTCTGACAGTGCAAGCATGCACACTGACTATCCATTTTGCCTGCAAATGTTAACCCTCTATGGTATTCTTAACAATGTATTTTTGGGTTTTTATGAACTGACAAGGGGAGCTTTCCAAGTGTAACCGGAATTTCGAGTTGTAATTTCGCATGAAGATACTAGAGATGATTTTAGGGATGCCGTATTTTTTCGTTTTTTCGAATGGGGTCGGGAAAGCCCTCAAAAAAGGGCTAAAGATGCGGAAAAAACGCGTGCGCTAGCGGCACAAGGTAAACATAGGTGATAGAGGCACTCCATCCATATCAGTTCCGCATGGCCAAACGGTAGCGTGCTCGCCTCGCAGGCGGGAGGGCGTAGGTTCGGATCCTGACTACAACCCGTAATTTTATTTTACTTTATGCTTGTTTTTTTTTCACTTACTTTATTTTGCACCATTCTCTCCGCAAACCGACTTATGAGGTAGAACACGTAGTGACTGAAGATTTTTTACAAATGCTGATAAAAACTCGAAGTTTCCTCGGATTGAAATGTTATATATAATTGAATAAACAAAACACTCTAAAACTCACCAAATTTCGTTGCCAAGCTGAATTCCCGGAGTATCAGTAAAATACAGATACAGATTCGACTGATACTCCGGGAATTCAGCTTGGCGACGAAATTTGGTGAGTTTTAGAGTGTTTTGTTTATTCAATTATATATAACGTTTCAATCCAAGAGAAACTTCAAGTTTTTATCAGCATAGGTATGTAAAAATCTTCAGTCACTACGTGTTCTACCTCATAAGTCGGTTTACCGAGAGAATGGTGCAAAATAAAGTAAGTGAAAAATAAACAAGCATAAAGTAAAACAAAATTACGGATTGTAGTCAGGATCCAAACCTACGACCACCTGCCTGCGAGGCGAGCACGCTACCGTTTGGCCACGCGGAACTGATAAAGAAGGAGAGCCTCTATCACCTACGTTTACCTTGTGCCGCTAGCGCACGCGTTTTTTCCGCATCTTTAGCCCTTTTTTTGAGGGCTTTCCCGACCCCATTCGAAAAAACGAAAAAATACGGCATCCCTAAAATCATCTCTAGTATCTTCATGCGAAATTTCAACTCGAAATTCCAGTTACACTTGGGAAGCTCCCCTTGTGAGTCTTTCCTCTGAGAAGTGATTTTGCAAATTTTCATCAGTTTTTTTCTTTTTTGAATAATCGATTCCCAAATATTTAAAATTTTGAAAAAAAAAAATTGTACTTATTTTTTCATGCAAGCTACAAAATTGATTAGTGCCCTCAGAATCTCAGATCCAAAATTCATGTCATAGAGGGTTCAGGAACGAAAATTCTGACTGATAGTGTTTTCTTTGCTGAACTGATTGTGGTTCGACGCACGTGTCGTTTAGACAGAGGATTGGTGAAGTTACCAACAGGCTTTAAATTTTAATATAAAAATGGGTCTCATTATAAAGAGAAAACACTCAAGAGATCACAAATTTTTATCTCCAGAAAGTTATGCTGATCAGTGCAACAGCACCAAGAATTGTGCATTGTGTGAGCAATTTGTGCTGTGATGAGCTTTTTCTCTCTAATGGGAAAATCAGTTTTATACTTAAAGTGAAAGTGCATTGGCAAAATCACCAACATTCTACCTAATTTTCCTTTGAGCTTTTAGGTAATAAGGACTGGAAAGAATGAAAGAATGATGGAGAGAGGGTGACAATATTTTTCTTTTGAAAGGTGCCCTAACAACAATGGAGAATTTACAGGTGTCAGAAATTTTATGAATTCCCTGTCAATGTGGATGCTACCAAGGGAGCTGAACACGAGGATATCCTTGGTTCATAAATTGAACAATTATCAGAGGAGATATGACAAAATGATCTAATCTGCAAAAATACGTGAGTTTAAATGGGAAATGTTTCAGATAACGTCACTAGGAGGTGCATTTTCTCACTTTTAAATATATTTTTATACTGTTTCCCATTGCAGAAAAAAAAATTATAAAAAATACTGAAAAGTCAGCTCTTTAAGCACTCTCGGATGAAGCAATTAAAACTTGCATGCAAATTCTCCATTCCTGGTAACAAACAGTAAGCAAGTACTTACAAGTACATCTGTTTCTGCCTTTGACTGATCTTCACCAAATACGTAGAGGTTTTCAACTTGAGATTCTAATGCTGAGATGCTTTCTTTCAGAGACTGGATTTCTTTTTGGACGCCTTCGATTTTATCAGCTGCTTCAGAGACTTTTTGGAGTTTGCTCTTCACTTGTTCAGCCAATCTGTCGACAAAATATTCAGACAGTGGTTGAAAATAGGGCAAAATAATATCTAGAGTAAAGCATTCAATGGCCTCGCATTTAAGACTTTCAATAAAGTCATCACAAGCCTGAGAAAATGGAATATGATTAAAGAACAAAAATTTAAATTTTTAAGATTGATGCATTTCTGGATCCAACTCATTATCGAGCATATCTGGCACTGATGATTGGTTTGAGTCTGCAACTAGTTAAACTTTAAAATTTGAAACAACACAAGAAAGTTTTGAATATATTTGAATTTATACTTGGATACTTAGGCAATTTTCCTCCAGATCAAATGAAAAGATGACACTTCAGTCCCTCAGCTTATGAAATACAAAAATGGGATGACTGAAAAAAGGAATCTTCAAAATTTCTGGGAAAATTTTAGTTTTTAATTTTAGAAAACAACAAAATCTTGTAGAGATTGAGGAAACAAGAATCAAAATACTTTTTCAACTTCCACTTTGACAAGAAATTCCTGGAATTTCCTTCTTATTTGGAGTCAATAGCTTCACCTACTCTTTAAAAATCAAATTTCAGAGAGAATTTCAGAAGAATATATCTGATGTATACATTAGGTTTGCTTGATGCGTAGAGTAGGTACAGTGAATTACTAACCTAGCCGTTAATTTAGGGAAGAAATGAATAATTTGACTTTAAGGTAACAAAGAATTTAATGATTTACTAAATATTAGTCTGAATAAGAGGTCTTAAGGTGCTGCATATCATTTTACAGAGTGAGCCAAACCCGACTTAGCCCCCCCCCCCCCCAATATTAATTAAAAAATCCATAGGTCCCTTTAGCAGGAAAAGAAAAAGAAGGAAAAGGGAAAAGAAGAAGAAGAAGAAGAAATTATACTTGGATATGAAGTAGGTATTCTGCAAGGCCTTGAACAAAGAAGTAAGTCTTCATGGACCTATTATATTATTCTCACAAAGAAGCATTCCTAATGCTTTATAAATTTGCTCATCAAATTGAAATAAAAGCAGTATGAGTTATTTGAAAAATGGAGAGAGATATTTTGGAGGAAAAGAGGTGGAATGGGAGTTACAGGGTAATTGTGAATTCTAAAGATAGATAAGCTGGCTAGGCCTTCAGATTGAATTTGGCAAATTCTCAAACATGTTGATCGGAGGTCAACACAGCTTTTCTTTTTTTTCATCAGCATCAAGACTACAATACTGCTTTCCCAATTCCTTCTATTTAGGAAATTTATGAGATTTAAATTATTCCTAAGATAAGAGAAAAAAAAACATTCCGTCCGGAAAAGAAAAAGAAAGATAAAAAAAGAGGCAGTGTTGCTATTAGGAAGGTTATCAGAGTCATAAATGTATAATTTAAGATGGGTTAGGACTTTTTCTACAAAAATCTCACTATGCCCTCTTGCAAAGATTTTTAGAATTTAAATAAATAAATATTAAGTTTAAACAATAGTAGCAACTATGTTTCGTGAGCCAAAAAAATATGATAATGAATTCCCTGAAAAAAGATTAGAAAGTGCACAAGAGTGAAAATTAAATGGTTATATTCCTCAGGGTAAAAATCACTCAAGACTTTTGAACTCATCAATTATTCCTTCCTAATACACAAGACATTGCAGTTCTGGGAGGATTCATAGATTCTCAGGTTATTCTTCATTTTCCAGAAACACTTAATGGATTTGTTAGTTATGATATTTGTTTCTTTAAAAATTTGATTCAAATGACACATTTTAATACCTGTACTTAGGGCTAAAAATGGATCATGTGAAGGCAAATATTTAAGGAATGGGCCAGTAGAGAAGATTTGAAGTAGAATACGAAGTCTTGTATTCTCTCCAAAATCTTACACAGAAAACAATTCACACAACAAAAAGTTTGGAAATAAACTCCTAAATGAGATGTTGACGAGTATTTTTCACACAGATCAAATGTAAGTTGGATCAGACAAATGATGCCATTGGTATTTTAGCCATTTAACCAGTGTGAGTTGAAAACTTTAGGGTATATCTTGTTATGGAGCTGATTTCCAGGCCTCTTGTTGAGTGATCCGTTTGTTTCCTGAACTTCTGAGAAGAAAGTATATTATACAGTGCTTCAATTCAAACCTGGTTTAGAGGCCTGTTGAAATGCATTGCAACTAAAAAAAAATACCCGTTTTTACAAGAAAATTCTGACCTCTTCAAAAATTGTCAGATGCTGACTGAAAAGTTTTACTTGTTTCTGTATTTTCAGAGGTCCTCAGGTTGTTCCTTCATTAGAGAGAATTAACGTTTTAAGCGTTTTATTTAAATTTTGTCTTGCTGCATGGAAACATCCTCTGCACGTGAAGCGTATAGGTAGAGCAAAGTAGAGGAAACTCCTTCTAGAAAATTCAATTCCCAAAAAATACTCTAGAGAAACTCAAGGCAGAAGTGAGAGAAACTGAAGAGTCAGTTAATTTTCATCCTCCAATTACAAGAATGAGTTACTTTAGAGCTGCATACTTTGGAAAAAGTAATATGTCTTACTTAAATGAAATTGAGGATGGTACCCTTTTTCAAGTTCCCTCACTAACAAGTCAGAAACATCTCCTTACGGGTTATAATGAAAAACTTGGTAGGTACTTGGAAATAAAAAAAAAATGGTTGACACTACCTCCATTTCTACCATTGTCTACCTGTGAAGATGGGAAATTTAAAGAGTGCGTTTGGAGATGATAACATCTTCAAAAATGTTTACACTCTTAGAGTAGTGCATCAATGACTGAGGACATATTGAGGAAATGATAATCCGGGGTTGACGAAGGATAGTCAAGTGAAACCTCAGGGAGAAAATTAATAGTCTTAATAATGAGGGAATATTCATTTGCATTTTAAAATGCAATAGGTAGAATCTGGGACTGTGGTAATTCACCAGAACTGATTAAAAACAAGTTGGACGGTCACTCCAACAACAGTTTTCGACATTAAGTTCATAACAAACCCAAGGAAAGTCGGCTATTTGAAAGGAAAAAACAGATCTTCAGTATTTCAATGCTCTCATCCAAATTGATCATCAAAGTCTCACTGACACATTATGAAACAGTTCGCATCTTTTTAACCATCAATATTATCTTCTCGCAAAATTCAGCTGAAGGATAGTATTACTGAGTTCTGAAGTTAAAACCAAAAGTTTAGTGAAAGTCCTGCCACGAGGGAAGTTTAGATAACTTGTGAGCTCGCAAGGAAACATGTACCTACTTAATGCATGGGTATTTCATCACTCTTCATTGCTTGTTCCTGAATAAAATCCAACCCACAAGGATGCATTTTGGGGAAAATCGAAACAAAATCTTAGCATCACTTCTTCGAGTAGACGTACCCAATTCACGACTACATACTGATTAATCGAGGTGCATGCGCTGACTGATACTTTATCAGTATGTATTAAATGGAACAGATGTCATTCTTCAGTCAATTCTGGGCTGTCAACCACTGATTCATCACACCACTGGATCAGTCATGACAAGAGTATGTAATAATCGACAGGAACATACTACCAGGAAAGGAAAACGAAAGATCAGAGCTTTCAACTGACTGACATTGATGTGCTGATGGTTTTTTTTCCCCGAAGACATTGAATCCTGTTCGTGTCAATCAAAAGAAAAGGTAGAAAACTCACTATCTGAGAAATGACCGACAGGTCATGAGAATCCGGCACCTAATCCCTCTGCAAGGGGTCGAATTTCGCTGATGCGGAATCTAACGACGTTAGATCATTCTTCGGCGCGGTTCTAAAAATAAGAGATGAAGTTTAACACTGACCACAACACAGAGTTACGAACGTTTAATCGACGCGACTCACGGGGCACACTGACTCTGACTTACCAAAATAAACACGAATGATGGGCACAGCATGGGCGAGGGGTAAAAACAAAACAGTCAAACTAAAGTCGCGGGAGAAGGGACTGACAAGGCAATATAATATGATAGCGCATGCGCGATAACAGCTGACGTGAAGCGTTGCCGGATCTGCGGTAAAATTCGTCAATAACTCGTATCATGTTGCTTTCACAGATAAGAAAATAAAAGGGATCTAGGTGTAAGCGGCAACATTGATGCGGACGATTTGACCAAGTTGACGGTTTCGCGCGAGATGTTGTCAAACTTCGCGGTATTGTCAGCGATGTTTGATAACAAGATCAGGGTGGCATGAAACCTAAGAGAGAAATGAAAGATTGAAAATTTCAGTGAAACATTTCATGAAATTTCACGAGGCTGTGAAATATTTCATAATTTTCAGGGGCTAGAGTAGGTATGCAACCCGCACTTAAACAGACACAAATAGAAGAAAGTCAAAATGTTTACTCTTTGTGAAACATGAAAAGGAACCGGTATTTTTCAATATTTTTCATAAATTTCTAAAATTTCTTGAAATATTTCACATGACATTTCAAGATTCTATTTTACATGAAATTTTGCCACCCTGAACAATATTTCAACGCCTCGTGGCATTTGGCAACAGAGGTTGCTGGATTACAGGGTGATCCAATCCAGATCGCCCGCGCACTATCTTCATCTCGAGAACGGCTCAAAATTAAATTTTTGAGTCGCGATTTCCGTGGAGTGAAGCGACCCTAAGGAATCCAATGAAACAAGGGGGCCGAACCCCCCTCCCTCTCGCTGGGGATTACTTGGGGAGGGGGAGGGGGGGTTACTCCTTCTCTCGCGATTTTCAAATCGGAAGGGTATGTTTGACTACAGATTTCAGATTCTACAAAGAGGATTTTTCTACATGCAGTTTTTTTTCCAGGACGCCCTTTAAGGTACCTTGCGAGGCAATTTTGCACAATTTTGAGGGAATTTTCAATCCGACGTCAGGTTTGCCCGGCGCGTCCGATTTTCGATGAAAAACCCCGATTTTCGGAGTTACCTACGTAATTTTAAAGATTGCCGAATAATATCAAAAATCACAATTAACCATGTATTTTGCCGTGCTGAGGAAGAACACTGTATAAACATTCGAGAGTTGCCACATTTCCTTCGATAAAATGTTCATTTTCAAGGAAACTTTCGGTCGAATTGTGAGAAAAATTATCTGAAAAATCGGAAGAAAAATATTCATAGGTTGACCAGGAAATTTGGGTTTTATCAAGGAAAATTTGGCAACGCCTGAAGGTCCATACGGCGTTCTTCCTTAGAACGGCAGTATTGCTTCGGGAACACGTTTTTGGAGGGGGAAAAAGGCGAGGGGCTTCGTAGCGAAGGTAAAGGTATAATATTTCTACAGGTACTACATATCGTCACCTTCCAGGCAAAGTATCACGAGCGCCATGCGACGTTTAAAAATTTCCGCCACCATTTTATTTTTTCACGGAGAAATTGTTGGTTGAATCCGTTTGAAAATTTCACTGAATTTTATCGGCAGCGCAAAGAAAATTCAGTGACATTTTCGGACAGCTTAGTTGAACAATATTTCTCTGTAAAAAAATAATATGGCGGCGGAAATTTTTAAACGTTGCAAGGCGCTTGTGATACTTTGGCCGGAAGGTGTCGATAAAAGTTTTCCTTTTTTCTTTTCATGACGTTGGACTGCGTTTAATTGGACGTGACGCAACGACGCGACGTAACTATTCGACTGGCCAAAAGTTTCCCTTTTGTCGACGGACTTTTTCAGCGGGCATATTTGCGGACACGGCACGTGTAGGTATAGACACGCGAATATATCGGTCGCGTGCCATCGCACCTTTCCACCTTTGCGAGCAGTCACGGTTATACCTATATGGTTGCGCTTCTTGGAGAGTATTCGCAGATTCGCGCGAATTGGTGTAGCGTGCACGATACGCGGCATGCAAATTGCGAATTTCGTGGCTTTGCGCTTTCTAAAGCACTCAGTATTTTGCGTATTTTTGCGAATTCGATGAGGATGCCCGATTAGGTTCACGTTTCAGAAAGTATCTTCCACAATTTCACGGTCAATCGCGAACAAGACTAAACGGAATCAGATGTGGAAATCTACTTTGGAAATTAAGCACATTAATTAAATTAAGCGCGATCTTCGCAATGCAAAGACGCATGAATAGTTTTGGAGAAGGACGAGTGCTGGAACAGCACGACTTGCCTGGACTTGGATACAGCCATTTGATTATTTGACGTACGGTTGCTACTAGAATATTATTTGACATTCAGATGAGAGAGACGAAAGAGTAGTTGAGGTTTCACTTGCTTTGGTCATGAAGTAAAATGAGGAGAGACTTACTTACACGCTCTTATCACGTTATCACTTGCAACATCTCAAAATATGCGATTGATGCTAAATAAACAAAAACTTAACCTCATTTTTCAGTCGTGTATGCAAAGAGCCGTGATTGGTTAGACGTTTTGGCGGGCTAAATCAGTAGAAATATGCATTAGCCAATGGTCGTGCTTACATTTGGCACGTCTATAGGGCGGCATTTTTTGAATTTCGCCCCATTCGACCGCTGTCGCGAGATTCTGAAATTCTTGGGGAGAAGGGGGACTGACTGGAAGTTAAATCTGAGAAAAGTATGCATACCCTGAGGGGTTTCAGTTCCACACCGTTTTCCGGTGAGAACAACCAAAAATTCCAAAATTGGCTTTTCTGGAGTTACTGAATTGGAGGTTGAAAAATCGTGATTTTGGGAAAAACGTAATAAAAGTTGTGAAAACATTTCACTTAGGGTAATATAGAATAAAAACAGGTATGCGGGTGGTTTCACGATAGCTGGAATAGTTTTGTCGTCGTAACACACAACACATTTTTCGGTCATATTTTTTGTAGTAATGATAATCACTCGATTTTTTTTGCATTAATCTACACAGGGTTACAAGTATTACCTATAACGCTTTTCAAAGATTTATCGCTCTATACACTTTTCAATTTTAATATATAAATGACCGAAAATGTGCTGTCTGTTACGCTGAGTTTTTACCGCGTAACAGAGCACATTTTTGGAATTTACATAATATTAATTGAGAAGTAGAGCAATCATTAGAAAACAATATAATACATAACCCTTTGAAGATTAATGCGAAAAAATTCGAGTGATTATTATTTCTACTAAAAATATGACCGAAAAATGTGTTGTCTGTTACGGCGACAAAACTATTCCGTTATCGTGAAACCACCCTCGCAATCCCTTCTTACGCGAAGTTTATCCAAGGCAGTCTGCCTCAAGATCAGTGATGAAGGGAAAAAAAAGTACTTCTGCACGTGTATTTGCCTCTAAATTTCATGATGGACCCAAACATAAAGTCAAATGAAATGGATTCTTGGAAAAATTAGATCCAAAGTTGAAAATTATAGGAGGTGTGACTCAAAAGGTCAAAACCTAGTGACCTGCGAATTATGATTATCGCGTTTCGCGATTATCTTACTATGATGCGCCTTCCGTTTCATTAAATGCAATAGACATTGTTGTTGCATATCTGTTACATAACGGTTGTTTTGAAGGCGATTTTAATGAACACGATTTTGCACACTTGCGAGAACAGTGAAAAGGAAGACGTTGAAAAGACGTTGCAAAGAAGTGCTCGGTAGACGTTACAAATTTTCTATTGAAAAGATGGAATAGACAATGCCGACTTTGTTGCCAACTTTATGACCATGTTCATTTCAAATATCGACGGTGAAATTACCATACCTATATAGAGACTCCAGTTTCTCGTAATTTATGATGACCTAAATTGTGGCTAAAAATCGCAAAATTCTCGCTGAAAACCCAAAATCATGCCAAATCATCGCCAAATCCATGCTTGAATTTTACCGCATTTCTCGAATTCTCGCTGAAAATTCTAAAATTCTCACTAAAAATCCAAAAATTCTCGCTACTAACTGTCCAATTCTTGCTAAAAATGTGTGTTTTCTTTTCATCTCCTAGTTTAAACGAAAGTATGAGGAATTTCGAGATTTTGGGTACACAACGTGAGTTGTTATTTTCATCGAGGTACAAAGGTAAACAGATGTGTAGCTTACCCTCGATCACCACTCACCACTTGGTAGGGGGCTTCCTTCAAATTACAAATTTTCCATACGATTTTTTTTTATATTACAAATTTTGGCCATCGTGGAAAATTCGTAATTTGAAGTAAGCTCACTACTAAGTGGCGAGTGGTGATCGAGGGTAAGCTACCACATCTATTTTATTTTAGGTACAGTTTGGGAACTCTACCTCAGATAAATAAAAATCAAGATCAAGAATTCAGACGGAAACCGAAGTTTCAAGAAGTTTCCCGCGTCCCGCCCACTAGAATAATCGGCGGCTCCGAACACGATTAAGATCATTTTTCTTCAAATTTTCAAGCTACATTGCATTTTACGTCGAAATTCGCCAATTCGAGGTGTAAACTGGCGAATTTGCGAAATTCTCGATTACATATTCGAAATCAACGGAACTCCATAATGCCTCCGAACTTGGTCCAAGTGCTTGAAGCCGATTTTTTTAAAATTCGGGCGAACGAATTTCTGGGGTCTATACCATACGACGTACTTATCTCGGTTTGTGATGTTGCAGACTTCCTGTCATATTTTATTTTTTAGGTGGAAAACTACTCAACGTCAATTCTTGGAAATTCAACAGGTTTTTCTTCTCCTTGCAAAGAAATCTCTGTGATAATTTCAAAGAACGGTGTTGGTTTGCTCTCTTTCAAAAAAGTAAAATGAGAGTGGAGATTTTCAAACACCGCAAACGAGATACGCAGTCTGGTAGTTTCACCGTCGATATGTATAACTTCGATAATAATTCAAATTTTGACAGAATATCCTTGAGCGTATTATTGAATACCAATTTATCTTCATCAAAAACAGAAAATCGATAATTTTGACCGGTAATTAGTGGCAATGTTTGCCCCTAATCCCTAGGATAATCCTCAGGGCAGAGCGACTGTCAGAAAGCACTATTCAGAAACTCTTAAAAAACTGTTGAAAACCAAGAAGGGACCCTCTTTTGTATGTTTTTAAGAATTTGCCTACTAAAAATACTGAGTGTCTTCTAAAAATATTTTTGAAACGTTAACATTCTTTTTTATAAAAAACAAAAACAAAAAAAAACTTTTTTAAGTATATTCAAACTCTTTCAAATTGTATGGCAAGAAATTTCTTGTGAGGTTTCAACCTTTGTAATTAATAGTTTTCTAGGAGTTGTCTCTTTAAAATGCCCAGCTTTAATTGACAGTCATTGCTAAAATGGTGCTTAGCGCAATGTTGCAGCAACGTTGCACAGCAAGACTTTAACAAGAAAAAATATTCTTCCCCTTTGAGTATTTTCTTCCTCTGAGTTCCTACTGGTCAAAATGGCCCTTTATTTAATTTCACGAGTAAAGAAACTTTTGAGCACCAACAAATAATTTGAAAACACAAATGAGGAGTTAGAGAAGTTAGAGGATGGAAATAAAGAAAAAATGGGTAAAAAACTTACATTTGGCTGTTTGCATGCAGCGTTTCAATATTGGCAGTTAACTCTTCCGCATCGTCAGGAGATATCTCATTCAGAAACTCAACGACTGGTGTTGACAAATTTTTGATTTCATGATAAAGTGGTTCGAAGGTTTCCATTTCAGCCAACAATTCCTGTAGAGTTTGTTTCAATGAGCTTGCATGTTGATAAGATCGAACAACAGGATCGCAGTGCTTGTGTTTTTCTTCGCAATTCATCAATTCAGATTTTGAGTGTTGCATCTTCGTCTCAAGTTCCTCCCAGTGCTGAGCCAATTTTAGTAGAGTTTCTCTGCGAGCTTCCAAACCCTCCAATAGAGCGCACCATTGACCATTCAATGCAGTCACTTTATTTTCGACCGATTGTTTGCTAGAATCATTAGCTTCACGTTTTATCTCTCCTGCCCGTTCTTGTAAGAGATCCATTTCCGGCTGCTGGTGTTGCACATCATTTAAGGCATGTGTTAACTTTTGTACATTGAAATGGACTCCGGCTAGGTTGTGAACTGGCTCATCCTTGAATTCAGATCTTGAGAGAATAGATTCAACTTTTTTTATGGATTCTATGTAATCTTTCCATAGCTCTGCATTCTGTTCAAGTTTTGCTTGACTAGATTTTGCAAGGTTATGAGTACTTTTCAACGACTGGATTAAATTTTCTTGCTTTTGACGGAGTTCCTCTTGCTCCAGGTTCGGCAAAGATGGCCAGATAAGGTCAGAAACTTTTTGAATATCTTGAGTCACCAGATTACGGGTGTTCATTTCTTGATTGAAGAAGACCTCATGCTCCTCCAAGGCAGCTGCAATATTTTCAAAATCGATCTTCTCCGTCCCGTGATCCATTTTCTTTTGAGCTTTCTCAATCCATTCATGAAACTGGTTTATCAATGAAAAGAAATCGTTTCGATACGATAAGTTATCCTCAAAATATTTTTTCCTCATTTCTAACTCTTTGGGATAGACCGCTAGAACTGATTTTGCTTCACTGAGTTGTTCGACTAGGCTGCTGGGAAGCCCCTCGTCATTTTTGACCAAATTTTCAATGGATTGAATTCGGTCTAAGTATGATTGGATTTCAGTTGCCATGATGTCATGAGCCTTGAGCGCTTCTTCTACACTCTCAACTGCCAAATTTAGAAGAGGACGGGATTTGATTTCATTTTCATGCGCATGAAGCCAGTCCAGGACTGAGCTCACTTCTGAATTCAGTTTGATATGTTCAGCCGCTGTTTCTTCATGAGCTTGCCTCTGTTTCTCAACTGCTTTTCGAAGTGTCAGAAGTTGCTGCTTCAATCCATGAAGTTGATCCGTGATACTATTGCGATCTGATGCAGCTCCATCTTTGGCAATCTGTTCACCTTTGTCAGTCGCTGCAAGTAAAGTGCCTTCACATTCTTGAATTTTGGCAATAACCTCATCATACTTATTGATGCGGTCCTGCACAGGAAGTCCTGACGTTTCGATGTTCTTTATAATGGGGGTGTATTCTGTAATGAAAGTGGTAATATCTGCTATTAAAGCAATAAATTGCTCTCTCAGAAGCAACAATTGTTTAAGCCGAGCAATCTGATCTTCAATCTGCTTTATCATATCCTCCTGTTGTTGAATAATGGACTGCAAATCAACAATGCCCTCTAAATCGCCGAGTCCATTTTTCCATGCCTTCAGCTCATCTAAAAGACTTTGATATGAACTAATTAAAGCTGAGACGTCTTCTACATTGCGACTGATTGGCCGGCACAAGTTTTTCATGTCAGATTGGATCCTGTTAAACAGTTTGACACTTTCATTGACTTTCTCGTGAGCTTGTTTGCATTTTTCCAGAGCGCTACCGAGTGTGAGAAGGCGGTCTTTGATAAGCGCGTTGATTCGAGCTTGATTACTCTGCAGCAGAGAGATTTGTTCTGCGACTAGTAACCTATCAGGCTCATTCAGTTTCATTTCTCCACTTCTTGCTTCCAATTCACTGATGAAGTTGGCATACTTTACACTTTCTTCATTTAGTTTGCCATAATTAGTCAGCTGCTCTTGAATTAAATCCAGATTTTTGGTCCTGACATCAGTTGAAAGAGCTACGTCTGCTTGGTTCAGCCACTCTTGACACTCATCTACATCTTTTTCAAATCGTGATCTGTTTTCCACGACAACTGACATTTTATCGACTGCATCTTTTGCAGCCTTCTCAAGATCATCAAACTGTTTACTGACATCGTCTACAATTTGTTTCAATTCTTCTTTAGCGCTTTCATCGCATTCTTTAGACAGCACATTTGCCTGTTTCTGAAGAGGTACGAGATGTGAATTTTTATACTCAACTACTTGAGACTCAAATTCTTTGTTATGTTTCAGATGAACAGCAGCAACAATCTGCTTCAGTGGTTCTGTTGCTCCGATAAGTTCCTCTCTTGATTTTTGTTTCAACCATTCTTGGATCGCACTGAGACTTTCCTTGAATTTTGCGCGAGGCTCTTTCCCTTGTTCCATTTTCTGGAATTGAGCATTGGCGACTGACTTCAAATCATTTATAGCAGTTTCTAAAACTTGGATATGATCACTTTCCAAATCCCTCAGCTCTGACTGCTCTAGCTCAGCTTCTATTGCTTTGATACGCTTTTTGATAGAGCCAAAGAGAGCTTGCTTTCCTCCGATTTCTTTCAACAAGGTCTTGTGGTTTTGAATCAATTCAGTCAGAGTTTCGAGCTTAAAGCCAAAAGGAGGCGGATTTTGGTGAGAGTCAATCTGAGCTTTCACCCAAGTATTCAATTGGTCCATCTCACTTTTTACTCCCTCCAGATTGTTGTTCAATGATTCTAAAGTTTGCGCTTTTCTTTCGAAGCGCTTGGTCATGTCTTTATACCGTCTCTCTACAGATTTCACCTGTTCTTCGATTTGCTGGGAGTCCAAATTACTGACAACATCTATGACCATTGATGCTAATTTATTAACTTCATCAACTTTTTTCGATGCATCCGTATCAAATTCTGCCTGAATCTGGGCAAGTGTAGCGAGTTTCTGCTTGACGTCCAATCCGTTACCCTTTTCAAGAGCTTTGAATTTCTTCAGCAGTGAGTCAAACCAGCTCTGAGCGGCAGCGACGACATTACGATAGTCTGCAATTAGACTCTGATCATTTTCTTTCTTGCTCAGAACATTAAGGAGCAATTGCTCAAGAGATTCAAGTTTCGAATCAATATCATCTTCCTCAGGACCCTGAAGGGCAGCTGCTTCCAATTTCTTTTCTGAGATAGCTCCAAGCAGCTCATTCATGGCTGCTATTTCAGTCTTTGCAGTTTCTGGTCTTAATTTTGATGGCTTGGATTTCCAGTCGTTGACGGATGTTGTTTGAGATGATATCCACTCGATTAAACTAGACCTCCGCTGAGCTCCTTCTTCCAAGGCTGCCAAACACTCTGTCAATGCGGCTAATTTTCCTTGAGCTTGATCTATAAATGACTCCAGTTTAGCGTGCACAGCCATTTCTTTCTCTGATGTTGGCGGAGGTGATGAATCAGAAGGGCTGGTGGGAGGAGATGAAGAGACAGCAACAGCCTCACAAGACTGAAGGGCTTGTTGAAGTCTTGCCTTTTCTCCCTGAAGTTTGTCTACTAGTTCTTTTGTCCTTGCTGCATTTTCTCTTGCTTCATTCAGATCTGAAGATGACTTGGCAGGCTCTGTTACTTCGGGCTCCCATATGTCAAGGTTGTCAGCAATACTTTGAAGGATTTCCTCATACTGCTCGAACTTGGCTAAAGTTTCGTCCAATCTTCCTTTAATTTGCAGTGCTGTTTGTAGTAGGGAATTATAGCTTTCTTGGACATTTTTCAGTTGTTTTTCGATCTTTGGACCACATTCCTGGTAACGCTCCATTTGAATGAGACCTTTAGATTTGAGATCGTCAAGGACTGTTTGGTACCTACAAAAAAAAAAAAAACATATCGATTAAAAATAAACAATCTACTAAAAATAATCCTTTCATGAAAAGTTGCACTAAATCTTTCATTCAAAACACCTATTCAACCTTCGTCAATTACAAAAAATACTATCACAGATCAAAGCTTAGGGTTCGCACTTATTCATCGCGCAGGATGCTGCAAAGGCAATTTTTCTTTAAATTCCCTCTGACAGTTCTTCTTCCTCAATAAATGTCAAACAGCTCCACTAGGCAAGATAAAAAAATCCAGATATGTTCTTTCTACGTAACTCCTTGCTTCAAAAAGATTATTAATTCATAAATTTTTACTCCTCTTTTACTCAATTGCACTCATAAACAGCACTCATTAAGAGTGAAGATTTCAAAATTTTAAAAACCTGCAAGGAAGATTTCTCCCAGAATGTCCTTTATAATCATGGCTGTTGACTCAAAAAAGCTACTGAATCAGATAAAATTTAATTGACAATTTACAGTTTCACTGAGATAAAGTTGTTTAATCCTACCAAGAATACGTGCTAAACTCCAAATTGAAGATTTCAATAATTCCATTCCATAACATGTAATACTGACTAACATTTCATTTAATCATATATTGAAAGAGAGAGAAAACTGTTGATTTACTAAGCTACTCTTTTAAAACAATACTCACTTTTGGATTTGATCAAGCAATACGTCATGCTGAGCAATCTGCTGTCGGGCGTGTTCTAAGTTATTTATGCGGAGGGAATTATGCCCCATCAGTTGGAACGAAACTTGCAGCAACCACTTCTCGGTTTCTTGAAGTAGATGATGGTAAGCGGAGCAGTCTTCGATCTCGGATTCCAAACTTAACTTGCGTTTGTTAAAACCGGTTGCAAGGACTTGCCACCGATTATACAGACTTTCGACCTGTTTTTCAGCGGTGTCGTTCTTTGCCCACTCTGACAGGAGCGCTGCTTCACTCCGTAACTGTTCAATATCTAATTCTTTGGATTGTATTTCATTGACAAGATGTTTGTACCTGGGAAAATTTCAAAAGAACACATGAGAAAAATTTGGAAGATGTTGGAATAAATTTTAGAGATGAGAAGAATATGCTACCTTGCAATCTATAGGAAAATGTCAAGGAAACGTAAGTGTGACATCCCCAGGAGAGAGAGCCATAGAGGGGTTGAGCTATGGAAGGACAATAGTATGTTTTTTGTTAAACTCTTTACTAAAATACATCATCTTTGGACTTGCTTCGAAAAATCGACTTCCCAAGATCTTCCCATTGTCTTTTTGCTCTTAACAAAATATTCGTTTTTCGGACATTAGCATGGGCCGATTCAGATACAAGAACTTATTTTCTGTTGTGCGGGTTCAAAATATGTTTGTAATACATATTGCGATAAAAGGTCCGTGTTTAGATTTTTCCCTTCGTTCAGCCCTTTCTCTAGATTATATAGTTCTTTAAATGTTTATTCTTGGATGATCAAGTTGTTTCTCATACCTCTAAACTGATGAAAATATGAGAAAATAAAGTAAAACAAATATAGAAATGAACAAAAATGAATAATACCTTTCTAGCTGATTCTTCATTTCATTAAGTTCAGATTTTACTTCTGGTTGCTCTTCAAAAGCATTTTCTAAAGTATTCAACCATGAATTCATTTTGTTTTTATTTTCAGCAAAATCATCCCAACGGTTTAAAGCAGATTTCAGTTGAGCACTGGTTGCTTTAACTTCCATTGTTAAGCTTTCTAAACTTGTTCTTAGGTCTGCCATGTTCCCTCGTAGAGCTTCTTGTTTATCAACTGGAGTTGTATTTATTGCTTTTGTGAAAACTTCTTGTAAGGTGAAGAGCATCTGTTGACCTTAATAAAGAGAAAGAGAAAATTTGATACTTTCAAATTAAGAAAAACCAAAAACAAGAGATCTAGCCTTTGAAAATGTTACATCATTATTCAACAATTATTAAAATTTAATTATCGAAGCACCAAAAAAAATTCTTTTAAACAAAAGGGGCTCGATGCTTTCAAAGGATCCAATTCTATTATTTGGGTTTTATGGCTAAATATTTTCGTAGCTTAATTTTTTTTCCATCAAATTTTTGTGACCTCAATAAAATTATTGTTGGATTTCGATTTCCTTAAACTTAAATTTTTTTTAAAAAATTAAAAATTTCTGTTGAAGTCGTGGACTTTTAATTAAGGTTTGTTTTCACTTACCATCAGCTATGCTAGAGGATACAGTGTTGATCTTCCCAATTTTACTTCTAAGCCAGGGCAAATCCCCATAGCCAGCGCAGTCAGCTGCTGATTGATGTGCTGATTGAAGCCAAGTCTCCAGTTTAGTTTTTTCATTTAGGAATTCAGTATGATCGGAGAGATTCTTTTCAACAAATGAAACCAATCTGAAAACAAGCGATAAAATTTTCATTATAAAGTCCTTGTAGAATCATATAACAGTTTTACACACAAACATACAACAAACACGAAAACAATCCTTTCAAAAATTACATACGAAATTGCCCATTGGGATTGAGTGATCTTCCTCGGCCTTGATAAAATGAATAAATAGTTTGATAATGCGAGTAGACACTCGTTTAGTACGAGAGCAAAACACGGGAAATTGGATTTTACTCATCAAGTTCAAATCCAAAAGCACAAGATTAAACAAAATTATGCTCAAATTAGTTTATCTATATTTTAGTTCAAAATTACTTTTACAAAGTGCAAAGATTTCTCTGAAAAACATGATAAACATTCTAAGATTTAATTTATTGAGATTTGAGTGAGTTGAATTGGTTGGGTAAATATAAGTACACGATACAGAGAAAAGTGGCACCCATATTGAGTTTTTGAGATGGAGAGTAACTGTTACTGAAAACTATGATAATTAGTTGTTAAAAATCTCAGTGCGTATAATGCTCTCTAGCTTGGCTCCATTCAAATTGTGGTCACAGTTTGACTGTAACTTGCTAGATACAGAGGTAAAATTCACGCCGATAGCAAAAACTTGCAAACTATGCTGATAATTATGTTTGTTACGTAAGAAATCAAATTACCCTTGAATTGTTGTCAAAAGACCAGTGTAGGTTGTCTGCAACTTCAAAGTTTCATCTCTGACCTTACCGCAAGCGCTTAGATCTACCAAGGTCTCACATCTGTCAGCGAGGGCTTCGATACCAACTTGATTGCTCACAGCTTCCTCCAAAAGTGACTGACATCGCTCAAGGTCATCAGGAGTTTTCCCGCCTCCAGTCTCCGATTCTTTTTTTACTTTTTTATCGAACTCATCAATCCAACATTTTATTTTGTCATAAAGGTCATTGTAATCCGTCCACGCATCTGCGCAGCGGCTCAAGAGATTTTTAGTATCACTTGTCGAAGTTTTCAAAGCATCCCAGTCTTGTTCGAGTTGGCTGAATTCTTGTTTCAAATTATCTTGACCATCCGGACTAGCAATTTGAATAACTGATACTAGGTTTTTGTTGGCCTTGAAAACTAAATCTTGCCCTTCATCAAATTTGGCTTCAATTGCTGCAACTTTCTTCAATTTCTCTTCAACGTCTTTTTTCTCCCCATGGGAGTCTGCATAGGCTTGGACAGCAATATGTGTCTTTCTGATCCAGTCGCATGCTTCAGAGTAAGCTTGATGGTAATCCTCGTGTTCTTTCACTTGGCCTTCGATTGTTGCGACTAGATTATTCACAAAATCTTGAATGTTGGAATATTTGGTAAATAAGGGCTCATACTCCCCGGCTGGTAAAGTAGAATCCTCTTTAAGACGTGACTGCAAATTTTCAACGAGCTCTGCGTGACAACCAATTTCTAAAACCAAAGCTTTCAACTTCTCAAGGTTTGATTTTTTCTCGGTTAAGTCATTCAGATGTACGAAATCTTTTTCATTGACTTTTGAGTCCATTTCTTCAAGCCATTCAGACAGGATTTTCACCGATTTGTTCAAATCCTCCAATTGAGCTGCTCTCTTTGTTAAGATTTGACGAATATCCTGAAATTAAAAATATAATATCAATTGGGCAATCCCTTTGGAAAAAAATTGGAAAATTCAAAACGGTAGTCTAAGGATATGATTTGACAGAAATATTTTGAGATGAAATGAAAGAAATTACTTAATGATACATAATGGTTCAAAAAAAAGAAAATAGCAGAGCAGAGGGAAACTATGAAAGACTATAATATTTATAACCTGAAACTTACTTGAACATCAGCGATCAACTTCTCAAAATCAGCATTCAATGCATCAGTATCCTCTTGAATTTTGATAGCTCCGTGAGGTTCCGTGTTTAAAATGACACGCTCTTTCAACTCCACAACATATCGCAGCCTGTTTTGACCTTGCTCTAAGCTAGTCCTGATTCCTTTGACAGTTTCCAACTTGGATTTGACGTCAGACAGAGTATTTGGAATCTTTCTGCATTCATTCACCTGCGAGAAATAAGTTAAGAATAAAATAAATGCGCAGTAATAAAACAAAGGAAAAGCATCACTTTTCCCTGCATTACGAGTAAACAATATAAAGAGCGAGCTGGTTATAAATTCATAACATCTACTTAATTTAGAAAAAAACTAGGTAGTCAAATCTGTTGGAAAAAGCTTAATTTGAACAAATCATATTGATTTTTCAGGCATAGTAGGATCTAATTAGCCTGTTGCAAACTTTTGCTACAGCAAAAATAAGAGTTGTCATTTATAGATAATGCCTCAAAAATTATGATGAGCGCATAGGCAAAGTCTGAAATGCACTCATAACTTCCCAATCTGCATAAGAAATTTGCGGTTTTTTGAGCTTCCCGCTTCAAAAATGATACTACGGCACAGGTGAAGGTTTTGTTAGAGAGTCGCTCCATCATCGGCAATATTCATCATGGCCGACGCAGGCGCAGTTCCGCGCGTAGTTTGAGGAGAGTTCAAGGTCAATCAAGGCAGGCGAGGAAAATATGAACTTAAACACGCCAATTGTTATCTGGTCTAATCCTGTTCAGGTGTCATCTCGTCCTATCACACGGATTTTGGCGGATTGGTTCGGCCATGATGAGTATTGCCGACGATGGAACGACTATTCTAACAAAATGCTCACCTGTGCCGTAGTATCGTTTATGAAGCGGGAAGCTCAAAAAACCGCAACTTTCTTACGCAGATTGTGAAGTTATGAGTGCATTTCAGACTTTGCCGATGCGCTCATCGTGATTTTTGAGGCATTATCTGTAAGAAACAGTTCTTGGTTTTGCTCTAGCGAAAGTTTACAACAAGCCCATTATGGATAAATGGCACAAAAAATTACGGACGACATCTTTCCAAATAGATGAGATAATATAGGAGAGGTTCACTTACTTTCAGCCGAGTTTTATCGACCCATTCTTGACATTCTTGGTATAGGGTGGTTTGTTGCTGATGTTCTTGATAGTAAAGCTCTAGCCGTCTCATCATTTCTTTGGCTAATGATAGCAAAGCATTGTACTTCGTCGTTAGTTGAGTCACTGCATTAGATATGCGAGTGTCTGCACAAGTTTCCAACAGGATCTGCAAAATATAAGGTAAACAGATTCTTACTGATGTAGAATTTGAGACACTGAACTGGATGATGCCTCAAACACTTGGATGTCATTCATAACATATGTAACGCTATTGGCAGGAGAGGGAATAAAGCATTTCCCTAAACCATTATGTTTTTACCTGTTAAAGGGTATGGACCTGGCCGTAAAAGCGTAGACGAAGGTAAAAAAATCCGAAGTTTAAAGTTGTGCATTTTAAAATCAATCTCTTTCAAAACTTACATTGTATCTCTCCCTTTATGACGGGTAGATCCAATTATTTCATTTTTTGACAAACAGCCTCAATTCAGGCATTATTCTAAATTAAATGATCAAGACTATTTGGAGTAAATTAAATTATGCTGAAACAATGAAATTTGATAAATACAACAGAACTTAACGATAAACTTTCCTTTATATTTCTGGAATGTTTGATAGCTGATAATTTATAATTGGTGGCACTTCATGATTACTACAGTCGACCGCTTCCTCTAATTAGTTTTTATTATTTTTTTTTTTTCAGGAGAGGCAAAAAATTACCTGAGCTTTGCTGTTCAACTTATCCAGCTCTTTCTGCCAGTCAAACAAAGTTTGAAGCTGGCCTTGGAAAGACTCCAATAGGTCTTTCTTTTTCTCCAGACTATCCTGTAACTTGTTATATGACTGAACTAATTGCTCCGTGTGAGTTAGCCAGTCACTGGCTTCTTGGAAGCATTCTTCATATTCTGTCCATTTCACAATTCCATCCTCTAGAGCGGCTCTGATTTTGCTGATCGACTCAGAGTAGCTGTCAAATTCATCTTGGAGTGTCGCAACTTCTTCCTCAATTATTTCTTTGTCTTCATCATCGGCAAAATTCAGGGCTCCCTTAGCACTCGCAAGTGCTTTGTCCAACTTCTCTTGTCCTTCCTTCAGTTCACTTTCAACAACCTTCAAAGAAAATGTATTATAACAATCATTTCAGGGACAATGTTATGACATTGTGTTCAATACTTTAAGAGTCTTATACAGGATACTCCTAACTTTACTTGTCATTGAACTCGAAAAAAATTCAGATATCAAAAACCACCTTTCCTAATTTGATAAAGATAGTACTGAAATTTCATAAACGAATTCAGGGTAAAAAATTAATCAAAATTTCATTTTGAATCAAGAAAAATAGATAAAAAGGATTTTATCCTTGATAGATATGACTTAATATGATATCAGATGAAAATTGAAGATTATCATCAAAAATTATAAAAATTAGAATTGATTTTTAACAACTATATAAAATGAAATACTAACGGTGAGCTGTGTAACTTTCAAAGTTAATGATTCTTTGTCTCCAATTGGTTCTGAACACTTGCTGAGTTTTTCTTTGGCTGCGCGCAGCCACTGGCTGAATTCATTGCTAGCATCGATGAATGCTTGGTGTTGTTCTACGGCCTCCTTCTGTTTATCGTATAACTCCTTGGCACTCCTGCTGAGGGTCTCATACTTGGACATGATTTCTGATGCAGGAGCCGCTTGCTGCAAGTCTTCTGCTTTCAGAGTTACCGATTGAATCATGGGCTCAAAGGATACAATATCTTGGACAATACTATTGGTCTGACGTAAAGTGGCTTTCCTTTCACCGAGACTTAACTGACTTATGCCTGGGGTTGTTGAAAGGCGCCCAGAGGTGCCAGCACTCATTCTTGGTTTTGGCGCCTGTAAAAAGAAGAAAGAAAGATATTGAAACTTATTACCTCAATCATATGGATTACAAATATTACCATAGTGTTGCAAGAAAATTGTAAATTTATTTTGTTTCTATATCATAGTAATTTATCCCCAAAAATTGAAATTTAATTGTGATCTTATCGTAACTGAAATTTTTCATTAGCTTCTTCCTAGTCAAGAATTGTGATGAAATTGTAAAATCTTTTATTGTTTTTCTGTTTTTGCACCATGAGTAACTATTTTTTTCATTTCTTAAAAAGGGAAAATACTCATGTAACTTGAAATATCTTGTTTTTTCTTCTTCTTTCATTTTTCTTTTCCGGCCAAACTTTTCAGAAATTAAAACTAGAATTTGGTCCAAAAATGTTTGATGCTTTTTTTGATAGAAATCTGGCAGAGGAAAACTAACCCACTTTCCTGGAGTCTCTCAAATTTTGAGACCCTACTCCATAAATTTTCATTTCTGTTCCAATAAGTTAAAATTTGTTTTCCATAAATAAAAATAATTTTGGTCAAATCTTATGAAAAAATTACAAAGATCTGGCAAAAAAAATTATGATAATTTTACAATATTATTGCAATATAATGCAACTTTTAATTTATAAAAACCTACTTAGGAGCTCCATTGTCTGAGTATTACATTTTTATACGATAAAATTAGATATAGGCTCATGATTTTTATTGCAAATCAAAACCATAAAGATAAATTTTAGGATAAATATTTAACTGCTTTGGCGACTAACCTTGGTTTCACAAACTTTTTGCAATTTTTCTTCTCTGTCAGAGAGCCATTGCTCTAATTGAGAATACGAGGAACTATAATCAGCCCATTGAAGAAGATTTGTCTCCAGCTGGACTTTGACGGTCGACATTTTCCGCACAAGACGATCCCAATTGCTTTGTAATTCTTTCATTTCAGCGCTAATTGCATCCCGGCCATCAGATTTAGTGCTGCGCATTACTTTTTCGCCACAGTTGATGGTGAGGTGGATCAAGTTTTGACCCTCTTCGTGCTTCTTGATCAAGTCCTGGAAAAAACGTCATAGGTTATTTTACAATTGATGGTTTAAACTGTTCAAGCTATGGCTGAATCCAAAAATATTTCAAACTGCCGGGCAGCTTCATTTTAAGAACTGTTTGGAACATTCTTATACCGTTCTAAATAAAAATTCAGTTTTCAGCAAATGTTGAGAAAAGGCTATAACCAGTTAAGACTTCTACAATTTCACGTACTATCTCCTCCATGCTACGATAAACGTCATTAAAACAAAACTTTGGTCTTTATTTGTTATTTTAACACTTGATTTCTAATTCTATCGCACGTCCGGAACGGGAGCTGATTACCATTGCTCGATTTAGATGTCTAAATGAGAGATGGAAAATTATTTACCTGAATCTGGTCAAGTCTTGACTGCAGAACTTGTCGACTGCAATTTGGAGTAGTTTCACTGCACTGCCGCATCACTTCTTTAGCATTATCAATCCATGCTGTTGCTTTTTTCAAATTATCTGTGTATTGTTCATGATGTTCAAGGTTGGTTTTCACTTTCCTCTGGACATCTTTGGCAAGACTGATCTGAATCTGAAATAATTTACAATAACAATGAAATAGAAATAGAGAAATAGAGAAATGGAGAAATAAAGAGACATAAATTGCACAAACTTTTACTCCCATTACTGATGTCATGAGTAATTTACAAGAAAAGAGCAATTCTTTGAAGATCTCGGGGTGAATTAACACCAATTTATTATTACATTAAAGGAGAATGTACTAGCACATGAATTTTTCCAACTGTATTCAAACTCTGTTTGTTGAAATTCCCACTACAAGAATGTACACCTGATTATAGGAGGATGAAGAGACAAAACTAAATGTAAGTTTTAGCGAAAATAAAGACAAGAATGAAAAATGTTCATGCGTGGATTTATTTCTCTTGATATTCATTCTGAAAAAAAGTTTGAAAGCACTGAAATGAGGCAATATTTGGGAAGATTTTAAAAGGTTTGACGTATTACTTGAAAAAGTGTTCGAAAGTACCTGATATTTTGAGTTGAAAAGACGAAGCTGCTCCTTGACGTACGGCTCCAACTGGGTGCTCATGAGGGGCTCTGCTGTTTGAGTAAGTTTGTTAATTCGCTCTTGACCAGCCTCTAGCTCCTTTATCAATTTCTAAAAAAAAATGAGTAGAGAAAAATTGATCATAAAGGAATCAGAAATGGGATATTAGCTAAAAAAATTTAATTTTAGTGGTTAAAATCTGAAGTGCCAAGAATTGGAAGAAAGATGAACTAAATTTGACACATGATCAGACTTTGAATATTTCCTTAAATTCAAAAATTTGAACTTGGGGTCTAGGTTTTTTTTTCTTCTTCTTCTTCTCCTTCAGGATACATTTAATGTATCATATGCGAATATCAGAGATGGCTTATAATTATTTCATCATCACCTAACTGACGCATTAGCAGTCATAAAAAAAGATAACAGTTCCTCAATTTTTGCAGAAAAGTATCAAATTTTGAATTAAATTAGTGCAAATTGTAAGTTCTCAATTTTAAAAAATTTAAGCTCAAGAATGTGTATTTGGGATTTTAACATAGTTGTATTGGATTAAAAATTGAGTATTTACAGATGTTCCAGAAAAAAGAATGGAGCAGGAAAGAAATAGTTATTAAAACTCCTTGACAAAACAGCAAAGCCTTCCACAAATGAAATTACCTGGATGTCTTCAACCTGCTTTTGTTTCTCCTGAAGGGTGGAGAGAAGGGCTGTTTTCTGCGCCTTTACATGAACGTCCATCTGTTGGAGCCAGTCACACAACTGCTCATGTTCCTCTTTGTATTCTCGCCATTGAACCAAAGTGCCTTCTAATTTACTTTTTTCTCGCTTTGCGTCTGGGAAAATAACACTTAATAAGTAATTGTAACTCAGAATTTCACTACATAAATTTCACTGAAGTGAGGAGTGGCACACCACTCTGCAAGGGCATTTAGAAGAGCAAATAAAAAGAGTTAATATCTCATAGTAATGACAAAATATGAATGCATTATGGTTTCTATGTCATTTTGGAAGTTGCGCAGTTTCAAAATTTCCTCCCAAAAGTTACAGAAATGTTGCGCAATGGTTTCAGCCCTAATTTTCAGTCCATTCTTTGAAGTTTCCAATTTATTAAATAGATATATGTTAGATGACACTCCATCAGCATGTATCATTGAAGGGTATATTCGTTTTCGGATATTTAAACCCTTGTGGAATGATTGGTCAATTTTTGGTCAAAAAGACTCAAGGCACAAATCTATTTCTCTTCATTTTTTGAGCAAAGTATAACAAATTCTGAGGTATCAACAACTTTGAAGTTTGACATGAATTCTCTTTCCATTGAGTCTTACTGTTTTATAGAAACTTCACCACTGAAAGGTATATAGTGCTTAAAGAACTTCCTATATAATTTAAAAAGGGCTGTCACCCTTGCCAATACTGTTATATTTTTTTTTTTTTTGTGGATTTGTCACTGGATGAATAGTAAAATGACACTAACTATGAGGGAAAAAACACTAAAGTTACGCATGCAGAATTTCTTAGTAGCGGTTTGCTTAATTAGATGAACCTCATCCTTAAGGATGATAATCAATAAACATACCAGTAAATAATGCATGTACTTTCTCAGACAAAGCCGTCATTTCTTCCAGAATGATTTCCTGCCCATCTGGCGATGTGCTTGCAATTGTTACTTGACCTGCTGTGCGCATCTGCTCAAGTAAAACTTCTGCTTGAGCCTGCTTGTTGAGTAAAGCTTCAAGCGGAGCGATGGCATTTTCAATGGCGAGGTTATCATTGACCGCATGCTGTTGCTGTTGTCTCATAGCTGATACTTTGTCCTTAGAACGAGATAACCAAGCCGCCAGATCATCGTAGGCTTGCTTGTACGCTCGGTGTTCTTTAAATTGTTCTTCTCGTTCAATGAGTAAACCCTGAAATATCAACTATGTCATTATTTGAACTTCAATTGGCCTTAATTGTCATGTCTACTAGGCTGATTTTTTAAAAGAAGGGTTTTAAATCAAAGTATTCCAGGCAAAAAGGCTCGCCAGAGAAAGTTGTTTTACACAAAGCAAATAAAAAGGCGCTACGTAAAACGTTGGTTGATATTTCTGGCAAAATGAGATAGCCTGTTACATTTTTTATGGGAGGGAAGAAAATGCTGAAAAGGAATTAAATGAGAGACTTCTCAAATAAAATTCACAGTTTGGACTGAGAAATTTCAGGTTAAAAAAGACTCAAAATGTGAAAAAACACCTTTACAACCCTAGATCTAACAGTTACTTTGGAAACTTCTAAAAACTGAGGGGTAGTATTTTATTATCCTAGCATCACTACTTAGTCCCTTTAACAAATAAAGAAGTCAATTTGTGTTTTTGCATGAGCCCTGGATAGGAATACATTCTCATGCGATTCAGGTTTACGTAAGAATGAAGTTCTTTGGCATTATAGTGACAACTGCGTTGCTTAAAAGTAGTGGTAACAAAGGTAATTTGACAGTTGTCAAAGAAAATGGAAAATTCTATGATTTGAGAACTGAACTGCAGCATACATGCAAATTTTTTTTTAAAAAAAAATTCTCAAGGACTTTTTCTTGGCCAGTAAAAAATTATTCTGATTTAGATGGCGAAGTGATGAGAATTTTGTTTCTTCTTTTTTTATAAATATTTACACAAAAAAGAAATTTGCTTTGCAAACAAAATACCTTAATTTGTTGGCTGAGGTTGTCAAATTTATTTAGATTTTGGTGATATTCAGAGGCTATTTGACTCTGTTGTCCCTGAGATAGCATTTCTGAGGCCTTCCCTCTTAAACTGTCGACTTCAATTTTTTCACACCTGACTTTCTCCTCAAGATGCTAGAAACAAATTATAGACAAAATCAAAATAATTGGACCAAATCTTTAAAATTAATTTACATTCAACGTTCATAAATCAATATTTTCTCCCAACTTTAGCAAAAAGTACCAATTGATACAAATAGCAAAGATGTGAAAATAGTAGGTATGTGTCCAACATTTCAGTCACTCGGCACGCTCTTCCAACAAATTCATGTGAGATTTTCCTTCTTGTTTTATTTATTTTTGGTACCGCATTAAATTACTGAGGGGATAAGGCAGGAAATGAGGCATTGGAATCTGCCAGAGGTACTCTGGCCAGATCTGTGTCAGTGGCGATTGGGTGTCACAGAGCGTACAGAAGCGCTATAAGAGCGACTTATCAGTATCTAGTATTAAATTTCTTCTAATGGATAGAGGAATATGTTTTTCCAATTTTGGTTCAAACTTTCAGGTGATTCAACAAACAAATTATTCAAACTGACTTCAATTAAAAGATATGTTGGAATATTATTAAGGGATGCATTGGGGGCTGAAGCCTGACAAACGACCCCTTCCACAGTATTTTTGATTGGAAAAAGCTTTCGTTGCCACCTTATTGTAGAAACTTTCTGTATTTGGAGAACTGAGAATTATTCAGATACTTGCAGAAGTTGAGATTCCTCACTATTCACAGTACAATTTTTAGATTTTAAAACAGTAGATGCTTAAACCTACCTTAATTTTTTCAAGTTGGGTTTTTTTCTCAGCCAAATTAGATTTGAAATCCATTACTTCAGGCAGCATACTCTCCAAATAGTCGGTTGTTTTTTGTAACAGGTGAACCTGTTCCAAAAATCCGCACCACCTTTGGATTGAATCCCCTAAGATAGCCTGAAAAGTAAGAGATAAATAAATTTGAAGATCAAGTACGTTCTTTTAAGCGAAACATAACAGACTAAAAAAATTAAACTATATCAAAATCAAAACAATCATAAGATCAATCTTTTAAACAAAGATGAAAAATTAGCAGGTACATTGGAAATTGGTACCTGGATTATTTCATTCTGGCACATTTTGAAAGAATAGAAAAAAGTGTGACGGAATGGGCATTCGACTCACTGATGGGCTAATCCTTCACACTTTAGACTCGCAACTACATAAAGTACATGGGGTAAAAGTAAAGAAAAATGTGGAGCCATTCCTTCTTTTTGGTCAATTTAGCTGGAGCTTATAGCTTGTGGTGATTTTTCGTGTAAGTCCTAATGCCTCACCTTCACTTCAATCATTTTCGATGCAAGAGAACTCCATTGCTTTTGGAGGGCAGCAAGAGACTGATTTATTTCATCATGACCATCAGGAGCAGTGTTTGCAAGAACTTGTTGGGCAAGCTCGACTGCATTCTGGACTTTACTGAAACCTTCGTCACGATACAGTAACAGATTCTGAAATGGAGAAAAAATTCATAGAAATCAAGGGTGTTATTGGATATATTTGCAGATGGTAGGCATACTTCCTTTTTTTCCCTCTTTTTTTTTTCTGTTCTCTTCTTTCTTTTTCTTTTATTAAGCGTGCCAGTAGGGCTCGCTTTTTGAAATCACTCGGATGTACCATAGTACAGCACACAGATCAACCAATGCTATTCAACGGGTCGTCCAAATACTTTTTTCCTCGCACCCGTTTCTTTGTCTTTGAACCATTACACTGTCAAGCCCTGATGGTCTTTTACCAAAAAATCTAATGAACTGCTAATTGGAAACCCTTGAGAACATTTTTCTGTCAAAACCGTATTATTCAATTTGACAGAAACCTCATAGGAGCTTTCTTACGCTCGGAGGACTCAACTCTAGAACCTTCTTTCCCGCCAAAACTCTATAGCCAATGAGCGTCTTGCACTGTAAGTGCAATCTGTGATGAACCTCGTGACTCATTATACTATGTACTAACCATGGCCCCTGCCGAAATCCACTTAAACCACTACAGTTATCTCGCGATATAGCTTTGGGTGTCCGGTTTCGAGCAAGGCAATAAAAGACGGCGAGGCGATTAACCGATTAACCATTCACCGTGATGCCAGGATCCACCAAATTTTCTCAAAAATTGTTTTCCGTCTATTTAGCGAGTTTTTCTTTACTTTCCGTTGAAGTACAAATAAAAAGAGACCTCATTTGTACAAATCGGCCGAATAGGAGAGAAGTTACAGTTCGAAATCCAAAGAGATTAACTGAACGCGATTTCGATGCACGGCAGTTCGCCCAAATCACGGTCGTGCGCAAATGCCGCATATCAGCTTAAAATCAAGATAATTGGACGGAATCTTTAAAATTAATTTACATTCAACGTTCATGAATCAATATTTTCTCCCAAATTTAGCAAAAAGTACCAATTGATGCAAAAAGCAAAGACGTGAAAATAAGAGGTATTTGTCCAACATTTCAGTTATTCGGCACGCTTTTCCAACATACTCATGTTGGATTTTTTCTTCTTGTTTTTTCATTCTTTTACCTAGGCAGTGTGTAATAAATTAAAATTGAATTTTTTTATTTGAGTGTTTCACTTGAATAATGCTTCTGCTACGTGTGCATTTCAGAAACAAATTAGATATCTGAAGATTCAAAGTCTTTTAAATCATGCACAAAAACCCATGTAAATAGTAACCTGGTCATGTCTCTGTGAGGAATCAGTATGTAATGAAAATACAAAGATGTTTTAAAAATGATAAATATTTTCTTCAGTTTTGCATTCCACGATAAATTTCTTCTTTAATTTTTAGAGGAATCAATCTCCTTAATTTTATAAAAGAGTGAAAATGTAAAATCGGAAAGTAAGTCAAAATCTTACAGGTTTCCAAATTTACACACACATGCGTAAGAAAAACCTAGACAAGAACCAAACTTTTTAACGTACCTGGATTGTTGTGAGTTTGCCTTCCAAGTCTGTTTGATTTGATGCGCTCAAATCAGAGCAGTACTCAAGTTTGCTAGCAATACCCTCAAGCCAATCATTAGTTTCACGCATTAGATTTTCGAATTCCAAATGAGAGTTTACGTATTGTTTCCAACGTCCATACAACTCCTGTAAAATAAAATGTTGGAAATTGACAAAATTCATTGTTCTTTCTCTAATTCTTTGATCTGTACTGAAGGATTTTCCAGTGAGACCGCAAATTTTGAGAGAAAATAGCTGAAAGTAACATTGGTTCGACTAAACAATTAGGTACAATTTCAATTTAAAAATTCAGCATTAAAAATATATGAATATTAAATTTAAGCTTACCTTAACTTTGAAAGACACTTGATGATAACTGTGTCCCAGCTCAGTCACCACAGACGATCGACCTGTCACGAGAGTTTTGTTCAGTTGCTGCGCTTTTTCTGTGACAGCATCAATTTCCAGTTCTTTGGCTCTTACTTCACCTTGTAAATCCTGCGGAAAAAATAATGATATGAAACAATTTTTCACTATAAATTTCATGGACAAAAATTAACAATTTTGTGTTCATCAAAAATTTTGCAGTTTTAAATGATTCTGTCTAAACTAAAAAATTCAAACTTATCAAACTTTACCGTTGGGTATTGAATTATTAATTATTTTACCTTCAGAACTTTCAGCTGTTCCTTTTTCTCCTTCAAGGTTGGTTTTAAATCAATCGCATGGAGTGTACTATCTGCGTCTCTGAGCCATGCTAAGCATTTGTCCTTCAGCGCTTCATACTCATTCCACTGCTGAATTTTTGCCTCAATGGATTCAATAGATGACCTGGAGAAGAGATAAAATTGAGGAGGATGCAAATCAAGGAAAAAATGAGGAATAAATTAATATCATTGATTATTCAGTCACTGCACGATTCCAATTGTTTCTTGTACTGAATGTAAGTTAACAGTACCAAATTATTTTTGCTCCTTCTTTTAGCATTTATCACTTAATGCTTTTTTTATGAATGCAAACCTTGAGTTGAATATTTGTATTGCTGGGTAAATTGTACTGATTGAAAATTATAATTATTTTAAAAAGGAGTCAAATGAAATTTTGAATCAATAAATTTCAAGACGGCAGACAAAATTCTAACTATAATAAAAACCGGGCAAATAAGTTTAAGAACCTGATACCTTACATTTTATTACAGTAATGAGTTTCAAATACTTACTCAACAGCTGAGACTAAGCTCTGCCATTCCTGTTGTGATGAGTCGATCTGAGACTGAACATTGACTTGACCAGATTTTACAGTTCCTGGTAACACTTTCTCTCCCAGCAAAGCAATTTCTTGAATACGATGCTCCTCATCTGGCAAGTTCTTTTGTAAATGCTGAAATTAAAACAATCAATCCATTTAGCGATTAAAAATTCATTTAAACATACATTTTTGAAGGAGATACTGGAGATTTGGAATAGACATTACAGGTCCATCATATGCATCAATGGTCAAAGTGAGAAACCACGTATATCCGTTTGTGACGTTGTAGACTTCCTGTCATACTTCATTTATTCTTTGGAAAACTAGTCAATACAATGTCTTTGAAACTTCTTCGCTTTTTCTTCTTTGAAAGCAGGACATTCTGCATGAATTTCAAGCCATAAAGTTGACTTATTTTTCTTTAAAAAAAATAAAATTAGCGCGCATTGAAGATATCGACGGTGTAAGTCAGCAATCACATAACTCCTTTGCGGTGTCTGAAAATCTCCGCCTCTATGTTATATTTTAAAAGAGAACAAATTGACATCATTCCTTGAATTTTATGCAGAATTTTCTTTGCACAGAGAAGATAAATCACGGAAGTTTTAAAGAATTGCCGTTGATTAGTTTTCCATTTAAAAAATAACGTATGACAGGAAGTCTGCGACGTCGCAAACCGAGTTATGTGATTGCCGACTTACACCGTCGATATGTGGTTTTGCACTTTAGCCATCGATATGTTTCATCCATACTAAGACTACACCTCATCTTTGTCATCCTCACCTTGACCACTCAAGAAATAATTTGAATTCGAATTACCTTTAGCCGCTCCAAGTTGCTGAGCAAAGAGATGCGCTCGATTTCAGTATCTCCCCAAAGGGCAACTTGACTTTGGGTTGGCTCCAACCACTCCTGTGCTTCCATCACCGCCTTAGTATACTGCTGATGGCAGCTCACAATCTGCTCATATTCAACGACAAAGTTCTGCGAAAGAGAAATAATACAGCCATAGAAAAAAAATTGATCTTCATCTTCAGAATGACAGTCGAATTGGACATGAATTGGATATGTAAAATTGACACGAAGAAAAATTTCAAAAAAATTGTCAAAATTTAATCAGAGTTTCAGCTTTTAACTTTAAAATCTTCTTTTAAATCGAGAATTTGAGCTACATTTATGAAACTTCATTTGTTGCTAGCTTTCAATTTTACCATCCTCCTTTAAACTTGGTATTTAATTTTTTAAAAGTACAAATTATATTTTTGCAATTTTATTTATTGTAGCTGCTTTTCCAAGAGCTTAGGATGTAGCGCTCCATAAGTTCCATTATACTCATTATTTAAAATCATTCTCTATCGAAGTTTACGATACAATACAATTGAACATACAAGTTCTGACTCACCTGTGCACGCTCCAACACTTTTGCGTGTCTACTGATTAAATCTTTCAGCTGGACATTGATTGTTTCATTACGGTCTGCCAGAAGCTCTACATGTTCATTCAAACGTCCAATATCTTGTTGGTGCACTTGAGTGTCATGCAGTATGGAGCGATATGATTGGAGTTGGGCTTTCTTCTCATCAAGCGTAGCTCTGAGAACAATATGCTCTGGTAGGGTGGACTCCACTTCATTTAACCATTTCTTGAGAGTTTCACAGCAATCTTCAAAATTACTCCATCTACAAAAAATAAAAAAAGTTTTTAGATACACAAAATAACAAAGAAAAATATCTTGGTCTGATAATTCTTCATGAAAAGCTCAGCCTGATAGATCAAGCGCTAGTCACACTTGAGTATTAAACCTCAACATTTTTTTCTTGTCTGTGAAATGAATGGTTATTATATGAATATTAGATAAACAATTCCTACATATTCCTACACGTAAAATCGATTTTCATTGTTAACGAGTCGATGTATCATAACTTCCATTTAAACCATGGTCCTATGGTCGAGTCAAATACCTAAAAAGGGGCTAAAATAAGCCCCTCTTTTAGGAGGCTCTTTCCTGACTTTTTGGAGAAAATTTTTGAATTTTTACTACAAAACAGAAGGATTGGTACCTAGGTATTTTAAAATTTATCAATCTTGCTTGGAGAGGAGCTAAAACTGTTTGATACTAGACATATTTGTTATTTCTATAAACATGACCAACCCCTGACTTTTAGGCCATTTTGCACTATTTCCCTACCTTTCCAGGTTTTCCCAAACTTATTTTTCCCATGAATCTTTCCAGTTTTCCCTTGACAGTAGCCACCTTCTTTCACAAAAAAAAAGCCGATGAAAACTGTTCAAAATAGTACTTCATGCGTTCATCATTTAACTGTGATTAACTAAAGATCATTCAGAATAAACTGAGCTCTATGGAATATCAATATCCTCACCGATTGATCAGCCCTCACCATGTATTCTTAGCATGAAAAAATATCTTATGACACTGAGACTTACCTCCCTAGCTTCGTTTTACATTGCCTCTCATTGCTAGCAATTGAATCGAAAAGACTTTCAACGGCAAGTTGAATCTCCTCAAGTTCATTTTGAATTGATTCCTTGCCATCTTCATTCATATGACAAGAGAGCTTCCGGTTTGCTTCAATGCAACCGTTCAACAACACCATGGCCTCTGGTTTTGAGGCTAGCAATGCACCCAATTCATCACAGCGAGCACGAAGATCTTGTTGGAGCTCCATATTTGGATTGGGTTGACAGCACTTTTGGAAACGTGTCTGCGCTGAGCTCAGCCAGTTGGAACACTGTTGAAGTTTTTCCAGATACTCTTCATGACTGGCAACAGCTTGCTGACACTTGTTTACAACATCCTGAAGAAAAATGCCAATGCTATGAGAAATTGATTAGGCAAAGAAGAGGGGAAAGTACTGGAATTTTCCATTGAGGGCATTGCGGAAAATAAATAAACTCTGAAAGACTACAGAGTCTTTGGAAACAGAGAGGCACTGAAGCCTCTAGCGAGTCTTTTATTCCTTAATGCAAATGCAAAATTGATGCATGGGGCTATTATTGGATGCCTCTGAAGACCTAAATTCACCCAATAATTATTTAAATACCCCGTATCATGGGATAATATGGGAAAAGGGGATATTCATCCAGGGTGTCTACTAAACCAGGCTGGCCAAAAATTAGTGCTTTCACAGTACTTTTTTAGTACATTCCCAAAAATTCAGTACTTCTGCAATAGAAAAATTCAGTACTTTTCCAGTACCTCCAATTAACGAAATTCGAAAAAATTTCAAAAATTTGAATTTCCCGCTCAAAGTGCAACAAAGATGACAAAGATGAAAAAAATTGCGGATCTCGTCTTGCGGAATTTTGGCACTTTTTCAGTACTTCCAGACCGCCCTAAGAAAATCAGCACTATTTCCAGACTTACCGGAAATTTCGGACTTGTAGACTCCCTGTCATCGAATATTGGGGGATTAAGCACCCCAAAATTCAATTGTAATCAATTAAAAATATGATTTAGACACATATTTCAATTCGGTAGCATGAATGTCAGGCATTTCATGCATGAAATTGAAAAACTAGTAGTTTCCTGATTCAAAAATGTATTCATTTCATTCCTGTAAAGGAAAGATGGAATGAAGTAGGTACCTTGCAAGTAGACTGTATGGATTGGAAACGTGATGTCACTCGCTGAACTGTGGCCGATAGTTTCGGTTCTCCACTGATCCTGCTCATCTCAGATGAGCCATCTGTCATTTTTTCTAGTTCTGCTTCATTTTGGCGTAGACTTACAAGCATTGACTGAAAAATACGAGGATAAAAATGAGGAAACACTGTTTGGGACACAAATTAAAATCTAAGGAAGTTGTATTTCTTTGAAAGCGTCTTATGAAAACAGCTTAGAAAAAGAAGAAAGACTTCTAAAAAATTTGAATCAGCAATGAAATATATATAATGATCGAATCTTCTGAGTTTGAAGGCATAACAAGATATGAAGGCACTGATCCATTGCATCAACTTATAAACCATTTTTAGAATTTTGGCTAAAATTACCACCACTCTCAGGAGACTCCCCCCCTCCCTCAAATAATACTTTTGAATAAGGTAGGTATTAAAACCAAGGATTAGAAACATCCATGACATAGAAAACTTTCAACAAAATCCAGGAGCAAATGAATTTTGCCTGTATTTCAAATAAAATATTGAATAATTACTGAATCAATCATCTGTGTAGGTTTTGTTGAGAATAAAATTAAGAAATATCATCCAAAAATTATTTAGTTTAGCTTCTAACTCTGGAGAAAAATATTAAAATGATTATTTCAAAGTATGGCAAGGTCTTTTAAATATTAAGGCAGAGGAATGATATTCAATGAAAATAAAAATATTTCCAAGCTCAAGATTGATCCCTAAGTAATAATATTTCTGACAAAATTCCTGGTTCTGAAGAAATGAGTGCGTTCATTTAAAACTGAAGTTGAGTTCCTGAAGAAAATGAGATTTTGGCAACGATAAATGACAATTGACAAGTGTTTCGAAGAAAATGTGATGTACAAAACATTTACTATAGAATAGTTTTCAATTCATTAAAAAAGAAGAGGAAAAACATTCAGCAGAATAGAATGATAATTGGACGTCATCTAGCAAATGAAATCTTATCTGCGCTAACCTCCATGGGGCAGAGCATTAATACATCGAAGCTCTCTCGGCAGATGCGTACTTCCTCAAAACTGCACAAGCAGGTACATAATGTTTGCTTCATGACATCCAATTATTAGGGGTTTTTAATGTGTGTGTTGAGATGATTTAGTGAAAATGAAGAATTAGAATTGCAACAGACAAAAGGCACAAAGAGAGAGAGAAAGAAATACAGAGCAAGATGAGGAGCATTAAATAATTAATCTAAAAATAAGAGCATATGAACTAAGATGAGAGTGAGAGAAGAAAAAAGCTTTGATAGATTGAATGCAATCAAGTGTGAACAGGATGCTGAATGATAACGGTGCTTAATGTACAGCATTAGAAATGAAAACCAGCTTTTAAATCCTCACTTTGAACCTAATTTGAATATTTTCAAGTGGAATTGGACATATTTATGCTAAAAGGAGCTGTGTTCCACACAAACCCTGTGCACTTAGTTCCCTTTAGCATAATACGTTGAATTGAAACATTCGAAAAGCTTTTTGGAGCAAGAAAATCACTTTCCGAGACTCTTCTGCAAAATAAAGCATGTCTCTGTATATTTAGAATAGTTCCTTAAATAGTTCGAAACAGTTGAGAAAGCTCCATTTGCAGAGAATACTTGTGCAAACCAGTAAATGAGAGGAACTTGAAACATTAACAATTAAGGGTCAGTTCTTAGATGTCAGGCTGACTCTGTTATAAATGACTTACAAATGATATTGCAATATTCCATCTTTATTAGATCTTGTACTTTTTTGTTTCCAAAAAAAAAATAAAAAAATAAAAAAAAAACCTCAAAACTGTTTGATCTTCCGTGGAAAGCAATACTTGAAGAAATAATCAAAAGTCGCTTTGATATGTTTTACACTTTCATTCTAAACCCCAATTATTCCTGTTCAAATTCAATAGGATAAAAAAAATTAACATCTGATCAAAATAAGTTTTTGTAGCGGACTAAAGTTTCAAAAAAAATTTCTGCCACTATAAAATTATGACTTTACAAAAAAAAAAGAAAAAAAATCAGGCCCGAAGTTTGTTCTAAATTAAATTTTGTTTTATTGAAATTAAGAAGACAAAGCTGAGATAAATGCTGTCTCCAACCAAACAGAGGCTCCATAAAACAGAACCGAAATGACGGTTAGATGAAATTTCCTAAATAAGGTAATTTAGTAATCTAAAGAATCAGTGAAGTTAAAAAAAAAAGTGCGTAAAAAAATGAGTGAGAAGCAATATTGTGCAGCATTGGCTGAGTCAAAAAATTGACCAATAAACAAAATAAAACACTGATAAGGCAAAATCGTGTATGCAATTTAAGACGTTAAGTCTCTACACGAATGACTGAATCTTACTTGCTCCAGATGATCTGATAACCTTATTAATTCTTGAAGGTCTCTATTCTTCAGCTCAATCACTGAGGAGAAGTCCTGAGAAATTTTCATACTTTATTACCATTTCATAAAAAAGAATGAACATAGAAGATGGATAACATTTGCTTATTACCTACATTTTTGTTTGGTTTTTTTGTGCCACTTATGATTCCCAAAGATCTTTGAGTTACTTCTTTGAACTTAATGGTCTTCATAAAAATTATCTAGTATCTGTTTCTCTTTTTCAAACTTCTAACATTGTTTGCGATACATACGTACTTGAAATTCAGTACAAACTTTTCCTCATCCCACAAAAATGCTGCAATTCAATCTTTCGATACCTTAAAATTATTTTATTTATTTTATCATTGTTTACTCAGGAAAAATAAAATAGATAAGTTGGAGAAAAACAAATGTATGGAAAAATATTTACAGTTGCTTAAAAATGTGGAAAGAATGTTTGGGCAATTTTAGCGTTTTAGTTCCACAGTCAAGAAAACTTCCGAATGGAGAAATAATAAAAATAAATCGCTGTTCTTTTGCCACCGAGGCACTGATGGACATTTTTTGTGAGGTTAGACAATTGATGATAAAACAAAGGACTAACTGGATATGGACTGAAAGTAGCCAACAAATACATACATGAAAAAGAAGGTCAAGAAATAAGAAATTACTAACAGACACAACAATAATTCATATTTAAAGAAGAATAAGTAATAAACTTATCACCACAAATAAAAATATAAAATAATATAAAGAGAAAGGGCAAATAGAAGAGAGGAAGAGATGAAGACTTCAGATATGTGATTGGAAAAATAAAATTTCGGTAGGCATAGAAAAAAGTCCATTGATACTTTAACATAAAGAACTAAAAAGTTTCTTATAAAAAAATTTAAAAAATGGTAGGTATGAGAGAATTAATTTTTTAAATTTCTCAAATATGTACCTGATATTTTGCCAACTGTTCAATTTTTTCATCAAGACTAGAGACTGGCTGATAGTTCTTCAGTAGAGACTCTGATTCAGATAACCAGATGAAAAGTTTGTCAAGTGACGTTTCATACTCGCTCCACTGGCTCAACTTGCTTGTTAAGCCCTGCTCGACATCTTTCAAAGAATTCTTGAACTTATCAAAGTCATAGCTGAAACATGAAAAGCTTTCTTTTAGAAAAATTAAAAAACAGGTTTACTTGCTTCACTCTGATAAGTTATCTTCCGATTCATTTTGACACCAGTCTTGAGGATGTTTTTTGAATGTAACATTTTAGCCACCTCAAAGCAAAGAAAAATTAAAGAGGAAACTGGGTTTCAAAAAAACCGTAAACTAGTAAAATATATTTCATGCTGTGTTTTTTTTTCCTTTTTGAGCAATTTCAAACTTTTTCCGTCAGGAGGTGTCTTGAGTTTTCTCTTTTTCTTTAAAAAAAAAAAATTAGCTTGACTGAGAGGTATAAAATCTGTACTTGTTTTAAACGTTACACTGATGAAAGAAAAATGGAATTAAAGCCTATCCCTAAAAAATATTATTTTAATTTTGGGAAGAACAGTCACGCTCACCACTAAGACCATGAGACTCCAAGTGTAAGTTTTTAACCTATAGAAGAACAGAAATCCATCCGCTCTGTTTCCAAAAGGAACCAATCCGAATTTTAGAAAATACTGAGCTAAGCGTGGCTTTTAGCTTTTCTTTCTAACAAAAAACGAAGTCTGAAAAAATATTCACTTTGTGGTAGTTGGGGCTAAGTTCCACTTTGAAAGAGCAAAAAAGACTCCTTCTCCGTTTCAGCAAAATGTGGGTTGCTTCTGTTCTACTAAACTGATTTTTTAATAATAATCAACATTATATTCTCAGTATTTCGGTGAGATCAATAAAACTTCTTCGAATTTTTTATTTTCCAAGTGAAAACTATCAAACAACAGTATTACTGCCCAAAGCATACAGAAAGAACACAATTTCATTTCTAAGAATAGAAGAAAGTCAGGTTCAGTACCGGAGGTTGGCGAAATCTCTTTCCATGGCCTCTCTCGCTCTTTTTGGGAGTTTTCCACTTTGCTGCTCTATGTGATCTGCAATTTGCTTCAATTTTCCTTCTCCTTCCACAAGACTCTCTTGCAAGTTTTGAATCCGAGCAAGTCTTGCTTCTAATTGCTGTTTGTTTCCACTGTAGTCTGAAAAAGCCAAGGTGTGCAAGAAATATTATTTTAAGAATGATAGAGACAGATTAGAACTGTGACATGCATAATGAAACTAAATGGGAGCTCAGTATCCTTGATGTTTTGTGCACTTTAGCTAACAATGGGTGGCATGCGGTGTTGAATGATTTGCAAGAAATTAGTCTGCAATCTGAACTAACGGTTGCGAAGTCGCAGACTTCCTGTCATTCTTTACTTTTTAAACAGAAAACTACTCAACGGCAATTCTTTAAAGCTGCCGTGATTTTTCTTCTCTGTGCGAAGAAAATTCGGCATAAACTTCAAGAAATGATGTCAATGTGTTCTCCGTTAAAAAAATAACATAGGGACGGAGATTTTCAGACACCGCAATTACTGAATTTAAAAAAGCCCATCTACTTATGTAGTATCTTTTCTTGGCGTTATGCTGAAAGTAGTCTCATTTTTACAAACTAAAATTAATGGCCTTCATAATTATATCATAAATTGGTCCAACTGCCGAATTAGACCACAAACTGATACAGATACTGTCTTTCGAAAAACACTAGGAATGAGATCTTCCACTGGTTTTTTTTTTTTTTTTTTTTTTTTTTTTCCCCAAAATAACAATGAATTACGCAGACCATATTGATATTGAGTTGACATTGATATTGTCTTTGTCTGATTCTAATTTTAGGAACTTTTGGCTTTGTTTTCCTCTCACAAAAGCGTAGACTGAGTAATATTTTACCATCTTAAAACTTACAGTATTTACCTTACTATGTAGTGTATTTTTATTGGATTTTTTTCTCTCTCGATAGAACATAAAAATAAAGTTCTTTAATCAAGTGTTTTTGGCTTTTATAATCCAACAAAAGAACAATGGCTTACAGAGAGCCCGAGAAAATGTGAAAAAACTGATCCTCACCTGTGAAAACTGAGAGCTTTTCCCAAAGTTGTTTCTGATAGTCTTGGTGCGCTTTTTGTAGATCTTGGAATACTTGGTATGCATTTAATGAATCCTCAAGCTGGCGAATGGACTTTTGTAATTTGTCGACTAAGTTTTCGTACCGCTCACAAACTGACTTAATCATTGACAGCACTGAGTCTGCATCTCCTTGCTGCGACACTACTTGCGCTTTCTCGGTAACAACGTCTATGACACGTTTGTGAGATTGGACCTCTTGCATTGTAGTCTGGAAAGAAGAGGTATGATTTTAAACCAAGTTTTTCTTTATGTATGATGAGGTGGCACCATAAAGGGCACAGAAAAATTTGAGAGTAAACTTAAAATTCCAGCTCAAATCGATGATATTCGCTATTTTATTCTTTTTTTTTTCTGACACATGAGTGATCCTCATGGAGACTCAATACCTGGAAGCTAATGTTGGTGATCTACTATGTGGCAGACTAAATTCAAAATCTGGTATTCTTTCATATCATTTTCTCTTTTATTTTTTTTTTCAGATTTAAAGACTGATACTTCATTTCTTCAGTGATGGATGAATCCTCCCCTTAAATTTTAGTGAAACTGGAATGTATGATTAGAATATACATACTTCAGCATTTTATAAAAGGGAGTGTTGGTGCAGTTTTCTATCAGTGATTTAGAGTCTGATGCCATGAAAATAGAAACAAAAAGAAAAGAAATTATAATGAAGCTTACTTTAAGTTTGAGCAATTTTGACCGGATCTCTTGAGGAGATAGACTTGCTCCTGATTCTGAAGTAACAGACTTTTCAACATTGTCGAGCCATGCCACCGTTTGCGACAAGATGTCTTGATAGCTATTCCACTGCAATGATTGAGTGTCTAGTTGCTTTTGTTCTGTTTTGATGCCTTCTTCAAGTGCATCCCATCTGGAAGCAAAAATATTCACACCTTAAAGGTTAAAAGGTACACCAGTGCATGTTAACTCCTGAAATGATGCATTAAAATGCACTTAAAATTTACAACTAAAAAGTCTCCCAAAAATTCACCCCTTTTGGGGCAGTCGATTTGGCCATCAAACTAAGGTTTAAATAAAAGCTGATAATGGCGCAACTCGGGAAAAAATTTTGAGATGAGTATGGGAATGATTTCCTAGTTACAAGGAGGCAATAAGCTTAAAATTCCACCAATTTTTCGCTTTTATCTCATTGAATTGTTTTTTTCAAGAGGTTGGAATTTCTACATCAATCATATCAATTACGACGTATTCTTGCGTAGAGTCCATACTTTGTGTGTTCAATATTTTTAGTCCGTAACTTTTGCCGGTTTTTTGGTGTAATTCTGGTCCTAAGGGAAGCCCATTAGCAATGAAAGTGTTGAATGAGAGGATGAAAGGGTGTTCACCTGTCACGAATTTCTCTGAGTTGATGTCTGATTGTTTCCCTTCCAGGAGCTGCTGTGTCTGGGTACAGCCTTTCTCCAGCTGATGTTAAATTCGCCAATTTGTGAGCACCTTGTTCCCTTTCAAGGATCAATGCTTGCAGCTTCATCGACTTGGCTTCAAAATTCGAAACTGATATGCTTTTCAACTGACTAAGCTGTTCTTCCAGTGGGCTTAGCCATTTGTCCGTTTTTGTCAATTTATCAAGGTAACTTTGATGACCATCGACAAGACTTTGCCAGCGGTTGATAATTTCTTTGCTCATGACATGCAAGGATTGATATCTATAATAAATAGACAAAGAGCGATAATATTGTGACATAATTGAAAAAAATTTCATTAGCGACACACAAATACGCATATTGATCCACTTCCAAGGAAACAATATTGAAGGAAAAAATAATTTATTTTATAGAGAGGCTCATATTGATTCTAACAAATTCAGACCATTAGTAAAGGCACCTTTAAAGGAGAATCAACATAAGTCTTAATTTATAAGTTACCAAAAACTTCACAAAAAATAAACGTACACAAGTTTTGAGAAGAGAATCATTCCGAAAAAACATTAAAAAATATTTCTCATTGCTATGTAACGAATGTTTGTGATAGACTAAGAAAAATTTGGAAATTTGTTGTCTGAACCATTTATTATTTATTAATTATCAGTCTAATTTTCTGATTTATTCGCATGAAATTAAGTCTAAATGTAAACTGCCTTCACAAAACTTTAAATGTGCTTTCCAGTACCTAAAATTGAAAGCTCTGCTTTACAATCTTGCCCCTGCAATTAATGATAAAAATTGTGAAAATAATCAAAGCTTACTTATTGCTAATCTGGGAGATTTGAGGTTTCATTCTTTCAACATTACTTATATGAAGAAGAGCATGGGATTTGTCAATAAATTCATCAATTTCCTTCTCTTTGTTGGTGATGATGTTCCTTTTTTCTTTGTACTTCTCCAATTGTTCCTGTTTTTGTTCCAGTGTTGCCTGCAGCTGCTCATCTCGGAATAAGGCCTCCGTGTTGCGGAACCACTTGCCATGGTGATTTAGCTGCTCTTCGAACTCAGCCCATTGCTCCAATACACCTTCTAGTTTTTTGCTGACAGATTCTGAGAAACAGAAGAAAAATATGAATGGCAATCGCTGATATACAAGCAACATTTAGTTATGAAATTATTATTTTACTTTAAATGAAGAATTATTATTTGCAGGAGTTTAAAACCAAATTTTCTTTCTGACATTCATTTGATGGGTATCTTCAATGCCCGAACACAATATTTAAAACTCACCTAGTTGCTCCAAGTAAGACCGCAAGGATGCTTTAATTTCCTTTAGCTCTTTTTCGATAGTGTCAATGCCTTTCTTCGAAGTGCTTTTGATGACTGATTGAGAAAGGGCCTCCAGTCCAGAAATCTTTTGTTCTCCAACACTGATTTTTTCTTTCAACTTTTGGATGACGCCCATCCTTTGGCTGAGGGTCACTTTTTCTCCTGTAGTATTATCACATTCTTCAAGCTTTTCTTTCTCGCTACTTAACCAGTCATGATACGCATCACACTCAGCTTTCCATTGACTGTGTTTTTGCACACTTTCTTCCAAATTATGCAGTAGATCCTGAAAAATCAACATTTTTTTGAAAAACAATTTTTTATTTTATTCATTTTTAGAGAGAGGACATATCAAGATAATTTCTAAATTTTTCTGTTCTCAAGTGCAGTAGATTTTATCGGAGAGAAGAACAGCCACAGTCGCCAAAAATCAGCCTCATTTTAAATGAGAGAAGGTTGCATAAACAGATTTTTTGACGTTGCATGACGAACTGACCAGCTTGTGTCGTTTAAACCATGTCTATTTCTTCACTTTCTAGTCGCAATTGTAGTGAGAAGTTTTAAGTCTTGCCTAAGCTCAGAGCATTATACTTTTATGAGTCAGCAAAGCTTTGAGGATTGGATAAGAGCATAGAGCATCATATAAACAAAGGTGTACATTGGCCATGGTACATTGTATGCACAATGGTTGAAACCATATGGTGAGTTGTTTGTTCATACAACATCATAAGCTTCAGCCAAATGAGAAACCTTCTTTTCTTTACTACAATTTTGAACATTTCTTTCGGAGTCAAAAAAAAGCTACAGTAAGCTTTTCCTGACTTAGAGACGCATTTCTTACCTACCTTCGCACATTTCCACTTTTCTAAATCCGATTTTCTAAATTTCTTCTTGCTGAATTCCTCTTTCACAAATTTATTGAAATTTGTAGAGAAAAATTATACATGAATCACTCACTGCTAACATTCACAGGAAACATTTGTGGGCTAACACTCAAATGAGGATGAAAATGATTACCTACCTGAGATTTTGAAACTATATTATTGAAAAGTGTTTTGATGGACTGGAGATAAGTATTTAAGGACTTGTCTTTCGTTTGATTTACGAGTTGCTGAGCTTTTTCACAGACGGATTCAACTAAGCTTTGGTGAGACATTATTTCTTGATGCATGATGCTATGATTCTGTGAACACATAAATCAAAATACAACAATATTGATCAAACAATCATATTGGTGAAGAAAATAAAGACAGGTAGATGAAGGAGTAAGCCTGAAAATTTATCCTGATTTTGAAATAAAAAATGAAATCAAGAGGTAGAAAAAAATCGATATTGATGCATCGGCACCAATATCACATCATGAGGTAAATCGGTTCACATTGTTGGTTATTTGTCTTATTGAGTCACTTAAATAAATCTGACTCATTTTCTTTATTTTCTGATAGGAGGTAATGTTTTGGCAAAACTAAATGAAGAATATGTACACAGTGCTTACCTGTAACTGAGCTCGTTTTTCTTGCAAAGCAGCTTTCAACTCAGTATGCTGGAGCATCGACTTCTCAACATCCTTCAACCATTTTGTCAACTGCTGTTGAGCAACAGAAAACTCTGCAAACTGCAAAAGGCACTGATCGAGCTTGCTGGTGGAAGCTTGCAAATGCTCGCATATATCGTCCCACAACTGCCTCAAGTTTTTCAACTGCTGACGAATTATCTCTCGGCCTTCAGGGGAAGTATGAACGTACAATTTCTCACCTAGATCAATTATTTTATCGAAATTTGCGCTCTCTTGTGACCTCACTTCTGCTGCTTCCCTCATTTTCTTCTGCCTTTCTTGTAAAACAGCTAAGTTGCCAACTATTTGACTGCAGTCCTTAAGATCTGCTTGCAGCTTTTTCAGCAAGTCGTTAAACTTGTTGTAGTCCTCATCAAACTGCAAGTGTTCCTTGGAAAATTGTTCATATCTTAAAATGGTATCCTTGCAGCCTTTACGCAGAGATTGGTATCGAGACATTAGCTTTGATATTTTATCACTGAAATTAAGGTCTGCTTCCAACATTTCTTTCTGCAGCTGAACAAATTCGTCTGATTTTGAATTGATCTCATTTTCCAAAGCTTTCACTTTATTAAGGAATGCAATTTTTGTTTCGTAGGACGTACGCAGAGTAGGATCACGTATTTGACTTTCACACTCTTTCAGCCAGTTCAACAAGTCATTGTACTTAGTTTCGGCATTGTTTTGGTGTTGCTGTGAGTTATGTAAATCTGACAGGTTTTTGGTGCACTCATCGAAGAATTTCTGGAAGGCTCTCTTATGTTCATCAAGCTCTGCGATTAAAACATTGTGCCCGGAGGGTTCAGTCTCGCTCAAAATCTCCTTCAATTTTTCTTCACAATTGCCTAGTAGGCTGTCTCCATCACCTTTTTGTTCCATTAAATTTTCTATCACACTCAGATGAGATTCTAAGGAAGTTTTGTCAGCCGCAGAACCTTCTGAGATTAAAGTGCTCAAATAGTCTTTCGACTTTTCTAGAGACTCATTGTAAGACTCATGGTTTGCCACGTGTTTTTCTAAAGTTTTGACAGTGTCAGAAATAACTTTCACGATCTCATTGTATTCATTCAAAATAGAATCTAAACGACTTGCAGCATCTGCATCTGAGATCTGAGAAGCTTTGCTTTTCAATTGATTTAAAATCGGGGAATGGGAAGTGACGTCTTGTAGAAGATTGCGATAGAATAGAAGACTTACTTTCTTTTCTTTCAATGTTGGTTTCAATTCATATGCAGGTACCATTTTGGACTTGGTATCCTCTAACCATTGAGTGACTTGGCCAAAACTGTCATCAAATGAAGATCGTGTCATTAAAATACTATCTAACTTTTTAATCACAGCGTTCGTTTTATCCATCAGCCCTTCGGATGCATCACGTAAAGCTTTCAATTGATTCCTAATATCATCTCTGTCTTTTGGACTTATGTCAGCAAACAAAAGTTCTCCTTTTTCAGTTGCTTGATTGAGCAATGCTAGGCCTGCTTCACGATCGTCTGAAAACTTTTTAATTTCATTTAATTTTTCAGAGTAGTTGCTTTTGGTTACAGTACCAGGTTTTGCTTCACTGTCAAGCTTTATCAGTGCTGCATTTGCTTTTTGTACCCAATCCTGGCAACTTTTGATGATGTTGACATAATCATTATAGTTATTATTTAAAGCTTTAAGCTTATCAACGAATGCCTCTCTACTCGTGTTGGCTGTTCTAAAACGGTTATTTAGCTGATCAGCTTGATGGGTGACTCTTGCATCCGCATTATCCTTAGCAATTTCACTGGCCTGCGCTTGAATTTCAACAATGACGGGCTCTTTTTTGGAGAAAGCACCTTTCAAGGCCTCAAGTTCACTACTTTTGGCATCTATGCTGGCGAGATCAATTTGATTTGACGTTAGAACACGAATTTGTTCTTCAACTTCTTTCAACCAGGTTGCAAATGCTTCACAAGACTTCTTGTACTTGGATCGAAGACCAACATTAGACTTCAGCATATCTTTCAGATTAGCAAGTTTCCCACTCAGTTCATCAAGATCTTTGGTTGATTTAGTCATTTGTACAATGAAGGGTTCAACTTTGATTGCCTTGTTGTCAATGTCTTTTAAAAGCTCAAGGCACTCCTCGATAGCTTTTTTCTTCTCCTGTAAGTTCGTGACTCCAGTCTCAATATCAGCAATTGTGGATAGTTTTGCTTTGAGACTGTATTCATCTACATTTGCTTCTGGTGCGCACCAGTTCAATTTCTCATTGAGGGTGACGAGATCATGGTCAAATTCAGCAAGCTTATCTTGGAAATATTTCATGAAAAAGTTCATCAATTTAGTTTCAATGTTGTTGGCATTTGATACAATATTTTCATACCGTCTGCTCACTGAGTTCATTTCCTTTGCTGCGGCAGAATCTGAGAACCAAGGGAATTCTGAATTGATTTCATTTATGGATTTGTTGATATCTGCGATACTGATATTAAAATCGACAAGTTCCTTTTTGAGATTCTGACAGGTTTTCAACCTTTCTGAAACAGCAATGTTCTCACCAGATAGATCATCACATTGCAAAATTCTATCTTTTAAAGGAGCTAGCTTATCATTTAAGGCTTTTACTTTATTTTTGATAGCGTTTTCATGTTTGAGAACATCGTTTGAAACAGACTCTAGTTTCTCAGCGATTTTCTTCACATCACGGAATCCCTCTTCTAGTAGAGTCTGCAATGAATCTAAGGTTGGGATTTTCACACCATTATTTATCTGCTGCAACTGGGCAGACTTAGACTCAATATTTGCTTTCAATTTCAAGTGAGAGGGTAGCTGTTCTTTATAAGTATTCAATTTGCGCAAACGCTTCTCGGAATCGTTTGAGTTATTCAGGACATCTGTCAAAGCAGCTTTTACGTCACTCAACCAAAGGAGTATATCATTTTTATTTTCATCTATTTGCTTCCATAAAACGAGCTGAGACTCCATATTCTGTAGTTTTCCGTTTAAGTTTTGGGTCAAATCTTTGTGAGCTTTCTCCAAGTCTCTTACTTCACTTTCAATTTGGCCTGCATTAAAACTTTCCAGGCCTTTAGAGAGTTTTGAGATAGATTGTCCTGCATCATTCATAGTGTTTAATAAACTTTTGGATTTTTTCAATTTATCCAAATTTTTCTTCAATTCCTTAGCACACAAGATGGCCTCAGTCTCATCATTAGGTGTTTCATACTCTTTTTGACCGTCAGAGATTGATGATTTCAGCTTATCACGTGAGTGGTAATAGTTTTTCCATTGCAAGTTGATCTCAGCATACTTTTCTTTGTGGAGTTTTAAGGAGTCATTGACTTTCTCCCAGTTTAAGTCGATGGATGTCAATATATTTTGAACTGTTGCAGCATTGTCACTATCTTGTTTCATTAATAAGTCTCCTTCGCGGTGCAAATTCTCTTTATTCGCTTGAGTTGAGACATGAGCTTCCCATAGTCTTTGAATGGCTTTGACTGTTTGGCTCAAAACTTCGCAACTGTTGGCCGATAAGATAATTTGTTGAAGCTGACCTTGAGTTGATAACAAATTATTGGACACTTCTTGTTGCAATTCTTGGAAACGATTCCACTCAGCTGACAGTTGCTCAGCATGCTTTTGTTTCTCATTGAGTTGTGATCTGTTAAGAATAAGACACATTGATTAACACAATCAGCAAAATTACTCAGGATCTGAAATGGCCAATTTAAACTACTTATTCAGATTTAGAAAAAGTTTCTGGAACACTCCTAGCTAAATCCATGTTTTAGTGGTTCACTCTTACACTTCAAATGAAGTATCAATAGACCACATTAGTTTATCGTAAGATTTGAACCTACTTTATCGCTTAAAGTCATATTTTACCTTTATTTTGGCAAGAGAGTCTACCGATAAAAAATTAAAAATAGAAATACTTTGGTACAGAAATTGTGTTTTACATTTGACATAAACCAGATATTTTCATGAAAGAGGCAAATTCAAGCGTAAGCACCTTATTCAGCATACAACATCCGTTATCTAGAAATTCTAGGGAAAAAAACTAAAATAGAGTTTGGGGCATGATAAAGAAAAACTGGTCGATTGAAAAATTGTACATTGTGTAGACATGCCAGAGCAATTCAATCAATCATCATTATTAAAACATGTATTTACCTGAGTTGATCAATTTTCTTTTTGATTTCACCCCACTCAGCGACGGCTGATTTTCCCTGAATTGAAACTCCGCTAGTGGTACAGATTTCATCAGTAGCTACGCTGATGGGTTTCCAACTATTTACTTCCGAGACAAGTTTACTTAGCTCAGTTTCGATTTCATTGGCAGGTTTTCCAGCCTGGAACTCATGAGCTACGTGTTCAATGTGCTGATTCGTTTCTGATATCCAATTCAATAATTCAATCCATTTTTCAAGAGCTTGTCGCTTCTTTTGCAGGCTCTCTTCCAAACTCTGAAATTCAAATTAGGACAATAAACTCCAACTCTTTGTAATTTAATGACAAAAACGAAATTTTTAAAAGGAACGGGAAAAATAGAGAGCTACATGGAAAAAGGATTTTTGTCTCTTCTGGACTGACACCAGAAGAAAAAAGGGAATTATATTAAGTTTTCAAACCCACTTTTCTTCAATGGATTTTCCATGATAAAAGTACTTTGATTAGGTTAAGTTACTTTAATTAAGTGAAAGGAACTTATAAAGAGTAATTTACTTACCCACTTGACATTTACACTTCTTCATTATTTTTAAACACGAGTGTTTTTGGAGCAAATTAACAACAAGCTTGTTAAGGTCAAGGAAAGGAGTCCTCTGCTTTAAATAATTTCAGGCTCATATTGCAGGATAAAGATGCAGGATTCACACATGTTCTTTTCCTAACTTACATTGTTTCTCATAGGTAATTCAGTGATACCATAAGCACAAGGCATAAAAAAACTTTGAAAAAAGTATAAAAAAATCTATGAAATCAAGAGAGAGCAAAATGCAGTTCTACCTGACAGTTTAGTTTTCACAGTGTTTCAGCACTTTGAGGTTCTAAAAAATATTCTAGAACTTGAAAAATTCAAAGTAGCTGATTAAAAATGATCAATTTGGGCGGCAAAACTTGGGAAAACCTAGTATTATTTTCAGAATAAAATACATTTTTATCTATATCAGAAACTACAAATACAAGAAAAACTGGAAATAAGATACCTGTTTTCTCAAACTCTCATAATGACTTTACGCCTGGAAAAATGTTGTTTCAATAGGTTCTGAAAATAGAAATTGGAATACAACTGGGGGTAGTCAAGAAAAATTTGGAACTCACTAACCTTGTTTTTGCTGCATAGGAATTCTAAGGTCTCATTCAATGTGCCACTGTCTGGAGATGTTTGGATTGCTGCTTTCATTTGAGTTTTGATGATCTCGAACTGAGGAAGCTTTTCACTATGATCTTGAAGTAAATTGTGTACATTACTCAAAGCTTTATCTACGTCTGCAACAGCTATTCCATTGGTGAGTTCCGCTTTCATTTCAATACCATTGATCCATTCAACAAAAGCCTGCATTTGATTCTGGAAATCTTGCCTAGAGATAAAGAGGAAATTGGAAACATTTTTAATGAAACAGAGTATGGTATTGGTAGAAAAGACGCAATTTCGTGGGGCTAAAATTCACTTGTTTTATTGTTGGTTTCTATTTTGTTTGGTAAAATTTGGTTTTAAGAGAAATTTGTTTCAATGGAGCAAAATTTTACCGAGAATGAAGCGGCAAGAATTAAATACGGTCAGACCCCACAACTTGAGTCTGCTGTACTTCACTGAAAACAAAACCTGAATATCAGGGAATTTTATCAGAGATTGATACCTATCCCTTGTGGACAAAAAACAAACACATGAGATTTACATTTGCTAAATTCAAAGATTTTATCATTTGACCAAAGAAACTTTGTTTTAAAAAAAAGGAAACAATTTTTAGGCATTCTCTGGGGATATTCTTCAGCATTTTTGACTGCATATTGTACTTGGGAGAGATCCTGGATGTACCCATCTTTAGGGCTGTTTTATCAGTTGTCGGTAAGCTACCGAAACAGTTCCGTTAAAAAAAAGTTACGATTAGAGCGCTCTTGCCGATAGCGATCAGAGTTTTCGGAGCTGACGAAAATAACGGGGCAACAATGTATTGAGTGCAAGCTCTCAAAAATCAGATAAGGCCGGCTGTTAACGATATCATCCCCACTGTTGGTACTGCCGCCAGTTTCAATAAGAGACAATATCAATAGTGTTCCGGCAAGAATTCGTTTGAACACTCCTATCCATCTTGCACCACTTTTTCCAAAAAAACGAATTTTCCCTGGGATGACCTGTTTTTTAGGGGGGAGGGGGGGATTATAATTTTATATAAGTCTTCAAAAGCATTTTTTTCCTAAACTTAGAGCTTAAAAGTTCATTGGGATCAATCAAGTTATCTCTGAGAACAGATAAAACCCAAAATTTGCAATATGTAATTACAAAGGATACCTTTAAAAACAAGAGCTCTTAAACTAACCTATTTTCAATTGCTTCTGATATCTGAAGACCCTTTTGTCTAACAGACTGAACTGATTGGCTGGACAACTTTTTCAGCTCCAAAACCTTTGATTTTAATTTCGCTCCTCCTTCATTAGATACAGCAATACAAATTTCATCGACAGCAGGAATTATGCCAGATAACTCACTCTGAGCTTCGGTCAGTAATTGATTTATGGCCTGAAATTAAAAGACATTCAAAATTACATAATAAAATAAATTAAAAATGATTTCTTTCAATACTGAAAAAATGCACAGCGAGATTGTTAATAGGTTGTAAAACCATTTAATCTTTGAGATAAAAAAATTAAATGAAATTAGTGTAAAAATCAATTATTTCAAATCCAGTAACAGTAACTATCTGCCAAGATCTTTCTACATCCCTGACAAAAAGAAATGCTAAAATGACACCTAATACTTGGACGTACCTTCAGTTCAATCAGATGCTGTTCGAGTTCTGATTGGGGCTTGCTCAGGTCAATTGGTGTTTCGATAGATTTAATAGTTTGAGGATTTTTCAATTTTTGCTCAATTTTATTTAAACTTGAAGTCACAGATTCCCACTTGGCGGTGAGGAGGTTTAGTTTATTAGACCTGTCAAAAATTTCTGATTCAACAGTAGAAAGGCGAGAGCTAAGACTGTCCATTTCATTCTCTTTTACTCCTTCTTCTGTTCCTTTGCTGATTGCGTGTAGCGAATCTAATTCATTTGCTTTGATTTTGCATTCTTCCACTAAAGTCTGTAACAGATAAGATTATTTAACCAGTAGGAAAATGAAAACAACTAATAAAGGAAAACTTAAAACAAAACTAAAAATCAGTATATGACCAGAAATAAAGAGACTGAAAAAGATGATTTTCGGTGAAGAAACAGAGTATAATACATACTGCCTTGCTAAGGAAAAACGCCGTATGAGCCTTCAGGCGTTGCCAAATTTCTTTCAATAAAAAACAAATTTGCTGTGAAACTTGTTAATATGTGTTGTCAAATATTACAGACAATTTGGTACGCAATTTAATCTAAAATATCTGAAAATTTCAGGGAGAAATAAGCTTACGTTCCCACAAAAATAAATGTTTTATCCGGAGAAATTTGACAACTCTCGACTGTTCAAACGGCGTTCTTCCTTAGCACAGCAGAATAATGAACTAAAGTAAGAGGTGAAAAAAGGAGAAAAAAAGTCAGAGCCAATTCTCAATAGTTGGAGGATCTGAAGAAGCAACGAGCAAAAGTCCATTTAGTGGAATTAGATACTCCATAATGAGAAGAAATAGTGATAATTCAATCCATTACATATTATAAAAACGAATATGCTCATATTTTTATCTTTGCCATCAGATCATATGGACCTTTGTTGCAAGGAAGATGCTGAGACATCACTTGGTTCTACAATGCGATGAACTGACGATCAGCACAAAAGTACAATGACAGCTGGATTTAGATTCATTTTTATTAAACTTTCATCTGTTTTGTAAACCTTGGAATAAATGAAATTAAAAAAAAAAACAGATAAAAAAAGCTGAGAAAAGGATATTGACAAGTCTTTTTTGTGTCATGAAATATAAATAAGCGTACAATCTTTTGATGATGAGAATTGGGTTAGCTGAACTACTGAGACTTTAGGCTAATCCGTAAGTTCTAATTATCAAAATGTGTTTGTGTGACTTGCTGACTGACTTGAAAGCCAGTACAGTAAGACCTCAAATCATCGGATTGCGATTTAATGGATTGATCCTCCGGTCCCTTCAGCAGGACCGACTAGCGCGATTTAGCGAATTCCACGATTTAACGGATTCGGCCTCCGGACCTGTGAAATCCGATAAATTGAGGTCTTACTGTATAACAAAAAAACTTGCGGAATGAAAGACAACAACTGCTTGATTATACTGTACTTACTTTGATACTATCAAACTGTGCTACTGCTTCCGCAAGCTCTGTCGGTTTAGTCCAACCAGTTTTCAGAGCTAATTCAACCTCATCCAGCCAGGCTTTCAATACACTGAATCCCTTCTGATAGTGCTGCGAAATTTCTTGATGTTTTTCTGCAATACACTGCTGGGATAGGATCAGTTCATCTAGTTCTAAAAGCCTGCCTTTCAGAGATTTTAGTTCCGAGATGAGACTTTCACCTGAAATAATCATAAAAGTATCGATTAGATACAAAAATAACTCATTCAAATCGCTTAAGGATAACACACCAATTTTGGGGTGTTGATAATGAAGCTACAAAACTTCATGCAACTAGACTTCAGAGATTATTTTGTGATGTCAATTTTCAGTTCTTTTTTTTTTTTTTTTTTTTTTTTTTTAAGGAATTGCTTTCATTATTGCACAAAATGTATTAAAATTTTCTTTGCTCACTCCTTTAAAAATTTCACACAAAAATGTCCAGTAATATTCTTTTCAAAAATAAAGTCCTAGTAGAAATGTAGAAACATCAAAATCGAAGTTTTTATGATTGTTTAAAAAATAAATTATATCATAAGAAGAAAAAAAAATATTTTTGAAATTCCACCATTCGTAATTGCAAAAACACTCAGGCAATGTAGTGAGCATTATATAGGTGTTCCGCTATTCATTTTTCAGCAGACAGTGCGCTAAGATTTTCTTAACTCATACTTTTCTAGTGCTTAATCAGGCCGTTAATTTATTCTTTCGAAGAATCATAATCAGAACCTCTCTTAATTGAATTAATCTAACCATTATTATACGCGTATGGAAAAGCCCATGATCACCCACCTCGAAATAAGTATGTACATAAAAAATATAATAAAAATAGGCGTTGATGCTTTTCAAAAAAAAAACGTTGAAATTACCTTGAGGCACTTGTTGAGCCTCTGAGAGGAGTACATCAACTGCGGATAGTTTTTCCGCAATTTGAGCATGGAGTGCATCAATCATTCCCAGTTTCTTGCGAACTGGAATAGCACTTGACTGTATTTGATTCAAAGCTGTTGGAGCAGTTTCAAGCGTCCACTGTTTCAGAGCCTTTAGTTCTGGCTCAAACTTCTCATGGACCAAAGATTTTTTCTCTAACTTTTTCAGTGAATCATCTGCCTGCTTTTGCGCTTTTTTCATCTTTTCTTCAACTTCAGTCACCTAGAAAAGGCAAACAAAATCTTAATTAGGCTTGCATAAAAATTTCCTTTTTCCTACCAGACTGAAAAAATAATATATAGGATCTGAACATTTTTTTTACAAATGTTGATGCTTGGTTTATTTTTTGACAACAGAAAATGAACTTTCTACATTATGACAAAGATAAAGCGTAAAGAATTAATTAATCACACAATTAGTCATTACGGTTTTTACGGATAATTAAATTTTCTAATGGAAAAATGCCTGGTGTGCAATGTGTACAGTGTCTTGGACTTTGCATGGGGTGATTACATTGTAATTCAAAAACTCTAGTTGGTTGAAGATATTAGAGATTTAGAATAATTCTAGTCCCACAAATATAATTAAAAGTTTACATAGGTCATTTAATTTATTAAGCAGTTTTATAGGGCAGAACAAACTGCTGCAATTTGGAATTAATGTCAAGGACATAGGACTTTTTTCATGAGCCAATTCAGTTGTAAGGAGCTCTGCATTGAAAGCATTCAAACAATAAAAAAAATTAAATGGAAAAATTGGAGGAAACTTCTCCTGGATATAGAGGATGAACCTACCTCTTTGATGATCAGAGGTTTTCGCTCAGGAGCAGTGACTGCAATCAAATCGGAACTGAGTTCTTTCAGCCGTGTCAGTAACTCTTCAGCTGCTCGCCGTAGAGCTTTGCTAAGCTCCTGCTTTGAACGTAACTCTTCATTGATATCTTTGGAATCACCCTTCGGCACGTACTTTAACTCCTGTTCAGCATTTTGTAACAATTTCATTATCTCATCTTTCAGGTCCTGATAATTAACCCACAGTGAGTGTGTTCCTGCCAAGAAGCGAAAAAAAACAAAGAATAAAGAGAGAATCCCTAGGTATGAAAGAGTCAGGCAAAATATACCTTATGGTGGAGGGGGGAGGAAGGGAATGCAGAATATACCATTGCTTTGGTCTGATGTAATATTATAATCATTCAGTTCTTTAATTCAATTTTAAAATATATTGGTTGCCAACTTAAAATGAAGGCTAGATCGCCAGCCGAAATGTATCAACATTTGGTTAGTGTGTTTTAGCCTAAATTCCTGTTTTGTTTTATCGTTCCTCATCTCTACTAATAGAGTTTTTGGCTGCAATTCTTTACTTCTTTTTTCATTTTAAATAATATTGACCAAAATTTTAAATCAATACGATTCGATACATCAAATGCCAACTAAATCCTGACACCTATTGCTATCAAATTTCCTTTACACTTCACGACTATCACAGAAAAGTCAATGTGAGCAAATATGCAAAGAAATACCTTTGAGTTGCTCTAATTTTTCCATTGTGCCTGTAAATGCCTTCTCCCATTCAGCCTCAAGCTCCATGACATCCTTTTCGACAAATGTGGGTCCATCGGAGGTTTTGGCTAGAAGTCGTCCCCGCTGCAGCATGCTAACAATGTTACTTCTTTGTTTGTTCAGTTGAACAACAATGGCCTCTTGCTGTTTCATCAATGCCTCAATAGATTCCAGAGTCTCCGGCCTTGGAATTGAGCTATCGCGTACTTTGCCCAAGAGATTACAAACCTGAACAGCGAAATGATTCGATGGTTAAGAAATGTATCATTCTCTTTTTGAGTGTAAAACCAAGGAGAAACCTAACAGTTTGATACAAAAATAAAGCAACAAGCAACACATGAATCAAGAATATTTTATTGAAAATGATAGTGCAACAGAGACATAATTTTTTGTTTAGCTGATTTGAAATTTGCTTTTACTGAAACCTTTTTTTCTTTGGAGCAGATACATAAATTTTAATTCAATTTAGTTTCTGATACTTTGAAGTGTGGTGAAAGATATCATTATTTTTTTCTTCGTTTTCTTTCTAACCTAGGAAGAGGGTGTGCTTCCAGTATAAACATGTCTACCGACCGGCCAGAGGCCAAAGTCAGCAATACACCATTACTCGACATGTTGAAAAATTGGTAAACATTTAAAGTAAAATTCGACATATTTCTGCCAAACAGAACTATGTGCATTATGACGTGAGCCCTGTTATGCAAGTATTCTTATGGGTCTCAGGACTCATGTCTTAATGCACATAGTTCCGTTTGATAGAAATACGTCCTATTAGAACACAGAAGTTATTCTTAGTTCCTAAGATTTCTACTTAATTAAGAGATAAACTATCTTCACAGAAAGACATGGATAGAAGAGCAAAGATAAGAGAAAAAGAACTATAAAAATTGTTGAATCACTTACCTCTTTGACCTCCCTCCGATACGAGTAACATTTTGTGTAGAATTCTGTTTTAGTCACAGTCATTTCGATGGACGGAATTAATGATTTATACCTGGCTATTAAATCCTCTAATTTTTGTTGCTCTGCATCACACTCGTGTGTTTGATGGGGACATAGTGAGTCTAGCGTTTGCACTAACCATTTCATTTCATCTCTTTTGCTGTTGACATCTTGACAAATATTCTAGGGCAAAAAAAATGTAAGTAAATAAAGACAGATACTCAGAGAATAGCAAGGACAAAGTTTCTTAGGGATGCAAGACTTCAGATATCAAGTTTAATGGACAGATACTAATTATCGACAGCGTAAGTCCGCAGTCACATATCTCGTTTGCGGTGTGTGAAAATCTCCTCCTCTATGTTATTTTTTTAAAGGAGAACAAATTGACATCATTCCTTGAAGTTTATGCAGAATTTTCTTCGCACAGAGAATAAAAATCACGGCAGATTTGAAGACTTGCCGTTGAGTAGTTTTCCGTTTAAAAAATAAAGTATGACAGGAAGTCTGCGACGTCGCAAACCAAGTTATGTGATTGCTGACTTACACCGTCAATATATCGAAGCAGGAGGATCAACTCAGCTAAAGGAGGACAACATTTTCTCAGACAAGGTGCAATTTTCAGAGAGGAGGGGAAGGTCTTTTGAAAAATTATGCTAAAATGCTGTAAAATTAATCAAAATTGGGGGCGGATGATTCTCCTCCCCCTCCCGTACCCCCAACCCTCCAAATGATGCTCTTATATAAAAAAGTGTCTCAGAATAAAATTTAGTTGCAGCAAGACTATGAAATCATTCTTCTTTGTTGCTGTGGCAGGTTATTACCGGAAAAATGTTGTTTTAAAAAACTTAAGGACAAAAATTTACTGTATTTTCATGTAAACAAATTGTGAATATCAGAGAATTTTTCATTTTCCTCCATCAAAAATCCTCTAACGACTTCTTTGAAAAGAGTGAGGTATATTGGAAGCAATGTTATGATACCTACCAGTAGTTAAAGTATCGTTTTGAGTTACCTGGAAGATGGCTTTTTCTTTTTCAAATTCTTCAGCGGTAGATAGTTCTTTCAAAATATTTCTGATACTAGCATCCACCGCATCCATCCAGCTAGTCATTTCGTTGAATCTGGAGGATTAGGAAAAAGAAAAGAATTGAATGTAGGGGTTTTCTAGTAGTTCATAATCAAAAATAAAAAAAAAAATACTGAAATATGATGAAAACTTCAAAACCATAGCAAAAGAGAGCTACAAATATTTCCTGTTACATATCGTGATTTTCCACACGAAAAAACATACCTTAATTTTGCTGATTCAGTATTTCTCAATTACATTATAATTGTTTGAAGGAAAACCATTACACTAATTTTCCTGAAATTTCTGGTGATTTTAATCTTATCCTCTTGAGAGAAGACTTCGGAATTTTCTGACTAATTTGTCGGACGGTTCTCTGACAAGTAAATAACATGTCTGTAGAAATACAGAAGCAGCGCAGACAAGATACATTCTTTTGAGCGGGGGATGATGATATCTTGCCATGGTTTTTTGAGGTTTAAAATACTACAAAAAGTTAAAATTAAGCTTACATACTTGATCAAGACATAAAAAATACAGCTGTGAAGAAAAACATATCTTACTTGAGATGATAAGTAGACCATAAATCAGGAACATTTTGCAACTGAAGACGTACAGCTTCGGCTTTCTGTTGAGTTTCTTCCCACTGATTGGTTGCTTGATTGAAAGCGTCTGTCAATGAGGAATCTCCTCCATGACTAACATAAGCTGCACTTATTTTTCCCATGTCCATTAAATACTGATTTACTTGATTAATCCTTTGTTCATTCATAAACATTTGCTGAAAAAAGAACATGCATGAATAAGCAATACAAAAATTTTAAATTGTTAAATTCTGATTGACAGAAAAATAAACTCTCTGCTAACCACAACTGAATCGACTTATGCGAAAACGTCTGTTGTCCAATACAGGGTTTCATAATTGCAGTGGTTTCTTTTGCCCCTCAACACTAATGAATAAGATCGATTTCTTTTGTAAACGTTTGATTTTACTTACAAGGGGAGCTTCCCAAGCTGCCGCCTCCAATCGAGCTGAAAAAATTCGTACTAACTCTATGGATGAATCCATTAGACCCTTGTTTTTTGTTTTTTGTTTTTGTTTTTACCAATGCTCCCTAGACACACTCCAAAAAAAATTCGAAAAGTCCGATTTTGAGTGCGCGTGGATAGTGTGCGCTGGACACCCAGCGTTTGCCGAGAAGGCTGGACAAGGGCAAGTAGCAAGGGCCCTTTGCCTCACCCAACCCTCCCAGCTAGCGAATTGATACGCGGAAGTCACATATTGGACATCGGCCGTTTTCGCATACACCGATTTAATTATGCATACAAGTGGTTAATCATCCTTTTTCATCCAATTTTACTGAATTTCACTAGCAAATCGTATTTAAAAATAAAATTTCCAAAGCAAATGGGCAGAACTACACACATGTTCAGTGCTCTCTTCTAGTGCTCTACAATAGAGCTATCATCCCCTACAAGTGATTAACACAGGAACCATAAAAAGCTAAAATGGAGGCAATCAAAAAAGAAAACACAAAAATAATAGGCATCATCAGCTACTCTTGGAGAAAAGGGTTAGATTTATTCCATTTCATTTAACACTTTCATGAAATCATCTGGTATAACAACAAGGAGGAAAAAAATTCTCACCTTGTTCCTGTTTAATAGAGTTTCAGGGTGTTCATTTCTGTTAAGTGCTTGTAATTCATAATTTAATTCTTTGTCCATTTCTTTCATAAGCTGACTAAAAGCTGCTTCATCTAACCTAAACTCAAGGCGCATTATATGCTGAGGAACTGCTGTCAAAACTTCCTGCAAGAGGTTTTAAAAAGAACACTATTAGCGCGATTTGAATGGATTGGAAAAATCTTTGAATGTAAAATAGGTATTTATGAACTTCTCTGGAAACATAGGCAGATTTAAATTGATATTATCCTAACGTTATTAAGAGCAATCTGTACATATTGAATAAATAATTGATAGTCATTTGATCTCATAATATTTGTACAGTATGGATTTTGTATGATAGAGAAGAGTTCAAAAACTACTTATATTGAACGTCATGCATATAGATTATTCATAATTATTATATTTTAAAAGGGTGTCTAGTTTTTTTTCATTTTCAGAAATCCTGATGAAATCCTGATTTCATAATTTTTCCAAATCCTGATCAAATCCTCATTTTTGCGAAGAAAAATTAGGTGAATGTAACTTCACAAAAATAGCTTGATAAAAAAATTCGATCGGACAGCCGACTTTTCTCAAATTTTGATTTTACGACCGATTTTTCCTCAAATCCTGATGAAATTGGAATTAAATCCGGATAGAATCGGGCAAATCGGGGAAATCCTGATGCTAGACACCCTATTTAATCATATTTATTTTGACAGGCACAAGTGACAATGACTGAAAACTTCTCTCTCAGGAATGATAGAGTAAAAAATTTCACATCACCTTCCATTTTGATGTAAGGGTCTCTACTTGGTTTGAGATGAGTTCATGTTCTTCTTCCGGTAATGATGCTTTCAGGTCTTGGGATATACTAATTAAATCACGCATCCAATCTTCATTGATGTGCTGGAAAAATTTCTTGTGCATTTCTACAGCTTCCTGAGATTCTACAGACTTATCGTCCATCAGTTTTTTGGCGGTTTTGAACCATTCCTTAATTACATAAGTGACTTCACCAAAATTGTGCCAACTCCGGATTAAATCTTGGAGTTTCTGCAATAAACAAAAGAAAATAAATGAAAAAAGAGAAAAAACACGAAATCATGTACATATGGAAACATGAACAGTAACCTACTAATAGTCAATTATGCAAATTTTTCAAATTTGAAAAATCTGCGTCTAATGACTATAGTCATTAGACGCAGATGGCAACAAACAAAATATGACTGATATCCGAATCAACTTTAATTCACATCAATGCCTCAAAAGGCTGTGCTGTTGGAGAGATCAATGAGTTTTTCCAATTTACTGAAAGCGAAACAGCCAACAGTTGGTTGGACATAGTTCAACACATTAAAATCCAAGGAACACTTCTTTAAGAGAAGAAAATCAACACAAAATTTTTACATTGTTTAAATACTCTTCAGGAGAATAGGGTCTAAAAATCTCTACATTCAGTTTTTATATGAGCCCTAAAACCAGCATCAAAAAGACTTTAGCCAAAAAGCATTAATAGATAAGTACTGATGTAATGGTCCGGCGAGAAAGGAACCACCTGGAATACCTTAATACACTTAAATAATGATAATAATTAAGAAAAAAAAGATGAGGATATATTTTTACCGAGTAGACCTTACAACCTCAAGGCATGCTAAATAATGGATAGGATACTTACAATTTGAACACTCTGCGCTTGTTGTGTGACATCTTGAAATCGTGTGTTCAACCCTGTCATTCTCTCCAGCACATCTTGAGTCTTGACATTTTCGTTTTGTTGCATGATTGTTTGAAGCATTTTGTTCTTGCTATTCAACATCGACTGATAGTAAAGCGTCCTTGCAAAGAAAGCTTTATGTCTCTCCAATTGAGATTGGGCTTCATCCTTACTTTTCGGAGGGGTCATTGTGGAAAGGAACTCCTCGGCCTTTTGTAACCACTGACTTATTTCTGCATGACCAGCTTCTAGTGATTCATTTTGCACTGTAATCTGATGGAATGCGTGCAATTGTATGGGTAACAACGCACGGATTCTGACTAGACTTTCTGTACAGGCGAAAAAGAAAAAACATATCAAATAACATGAATTTCACAGATAGAAGAGTTCAACAAAAAATTGATAGTTTCAGAATTTGAAATCTTTTTTTTAAATCTCTGGCAAATCACTCTGTAAACCATTTGAAATTATTATATAATATTCGATGAGCAAATATTTTACAATAACTCCAAAAATAGAGTCTGAAGGAATATCGTAAATTGTAAAGCATTGGGTTGTAGTTTAATGGTTCACTACATAGTTCCGTAGGTTACTAGGTGGTTAATAGGAAAAGTTACGATGTAGTTGCTGGTTTTAGTAAAAGTTCAATGGTGGTAAAGAAAATGGAAAATGTTTTCTTTATCGAGTATCTGACTTTTATCGTGATACTAAGAGGAAGAGCATTGTACAATTATTGAATGCATTAATTAAGTAATAAAACAGAGGGAGTGAAATAAGAATTCCTTCAAACCTTTTTCTTTTTTTAGAGTGTCCATCATATGGTCCACTTCTTCTCGAGATAGATCTTGGATCAAACCTTGAAAAGATTTACTTATTGATTTAAAAAGTTCTTCTATATCCTCCACTTGCAACTGCAACTCCTAAAATCATAAAAAGTTTAAAGTCGATAAATAAGATGAAGCTTAAATGGTATACTAAACTACGTTACTGATTCACTGCACTCAAATTCAAAACTTTTCTGACTTCCTATGGTTAGGGCAACTTTTTTTAACGTGTCATTTGAAAGTACATATACTGAGTGAACTAAGTTCAATGTGATTTTCCCCGCTTTTTTTAAGGCGGTAACTGAGAAAAGTAAAAAAGTAGGGTAGCCAAAAAGAAGGTCTAAACTGTGCGCTCACTTCTTTTGAATTTACTCAGCTTTTGGATGCCGCAGTAAAGAACATTCAGCAACTTTGAGGGACCCAGCAAAAAGAAGCATCATTTCTTTGCTGGGACAATTTTTTGTGTAATTTTACCATGTGCAACAGTTCACTGTAGAAATAAACTATTTGCAAGTAGTAATAGAAAAACATTAAGAAAGGGATGCATACTTGTAGTTGCTGTCCATACTGTTTAATACTATCAGCTGACGTAAGATTGGGAGAGGATAAAACATCTTCAGCATGCCGCATCCAAGACTGCAACTTTTCAACTCCAGCGCGATAGGATTTACGGTTCCTGAGTATATCACCTGAGTGCATGTACTGTTTCACATGCTGAAAAAAAGAAAAGAGCAAAAAGTAAACGAAAATTGATAAAAATGCGCTGAGAATTAAAAGGCAAATACAAGACAAAAATTCATCAACATAGTTCCTGGAAATTGGTTCACGACCATTAGAATCGTATTATATTTTGGTACCACCTGCATAAAACCAATGTTTTGGAAATATTGTCATGGGAACGGAGTTCCCCATGATATTACAATCGTTCCGTTGCTTTCGCTATGGGATTCCCTATACCTCTGCGACCTTGAGCGTTTCGCCCAGTCTCCGATTTTTGGTTGATTTTCCGATGTATCAAAAACCATTGTATTTTTTAGCCAATCATGTCTCTACGTCAAGTTGTGTTGATTTCTAAAATTCGCTTTCAGCGAGTTTTTTTCCACCTTGAGATGTCGTGTCTGACTGGTAAATCTGCGCAGAACCACGAAGTTCCGTTTTTAGGCAAATTCTTTTTTTTGGGAGGTTTTCATTGGCTATTTTTCGCCATCAGTTTTCTGTTCGTTGGTGCAAAAGATCGCCTACCTCGTTGCTCTTGAGAAGCCGCCATTATCCCACTTCAAATTTTAAACATAGATATAAAGAAATAATAACCATCGTACAAGGCGGAAAATTGTTCTGAAGGACCCGTTACGGATATATGAGCCAAAATCAGAACTCGATTGATGGATTTAATCCATGAATACAGAAATATTGCCTCAGTTTACTGCCGCGATAGCAAATGCAACCTGAGATGAACCTTGTGACACATAAAAGCATAGGCAAACAATGTCTCACAGAGAAATGCACTTAATCCGCTGTCTCTTAACAGCAATGGCCGGATGTCAAGGTCGTCTTTTGTGAAGCCCCGCTCAGCGTCCGAGATCACTTAACTGTTATCTTTTCTCCATCCGAGAATGAGCGTCGAGATAGCTCGGTTGATTGAGACGCCAAGTTGGTGCTTCATTCATATCCTTTTTGTTGCGAGCGGGGGTTCGAATCTCGTAGACGACAGTTAATTTTTACTGGTTGTATTGAATGTTTTAGACCAATCATCTAACAATAATTAATACTTGGCAACTTAGGAAGCACATAGGTCCCTTATGATGCGTATTCGGGCATATGTGTAGAGTAAAAATATCATACATAGGGTGTCCCAAAAGTACCGGGACTGGTTCTGTAACTTCAAAAGTAAGATAGATACAGACATGATTTTGGTCTCATTTTAAAGATCAACTCAATACCTATCGATTAAAACCAAGATCAGCTCAATCGAATAAAATTTGACCGAGTCATGACAATTTGAAATTAGTGAGGAAAGTTTACCCCTACGGTTTTTAGGAAGATTTTTCGCTTACCAGGATTCAAAAAGTTAATATTCGTATCCACTTTCCTCCGAATCTTCCATAACTTCCTTTTGCTTTTCAAAGTACCGTCCATCAAACCGGATGCACTTTTTCATGCGCTCTTGCCACTTATCCAACATTGTTTTCCTGAATTCTTCCTCTGGGATGGAGTTGAAGAAGTTTTGAATTGCATTCTGGATTTTTGTCTTCGATACGAATCTTCGTCCGCGAAGCTCCTTTTTAAGCGTAGGAAACATCCAAAAATCACATGGAGCCAAGTCAGGGCTATAAGGGGGATGAGGGATTGTTTCAACTCCATTTTTACTCATAAATTCACGTGTTAAGCTCGATGTGTGAGGCCGCGCATTGTCTTGATGGAGTATCCACGAAGCTTTCAAGTCCGACCGTTTCCGGGAAATGTGCATTCTCAACTCCTTTAGTACTTTGCAATAATACGCACTGTCAACTGTTGTGTTTGATGGTACAAAATGTTGATAAATGACACCTCGAAAATAAAAAAACACAAAAAGCATCACTTTATCGGCCGACTTTTCGATTTACGGCGATGAAGAATCTTCCTTAAAAACCGTAGGCGTAAACTTTCCTCGCTGATTTCAAATTGCCATAACTCGGTCAATTTTTATCCGATTGAGCTGATTTTGGTTTTAATCGATGGGTATTGAGTTGATCTTTAAAATGAGATCAAGATCATGTCTGTATCTATCTTACTTTCGAAGTTACAGAACAAGTCCCGGTGCTTTTGGGACACCTTATGTATACTTTACGCCGAAAAAGCGAACCTGAAACTTAAATGCGTTAACTTCCGAAAACCATACATAATCCAACGAAAATAAATAATTGGTACATAACAGCTTTCTTGTATGCAAAGAAAATAATTAAAAATGTTAAAAAAGAGATGTCAACACAAAATTACATAGCCCCTTCAATTCAGAAGATACTACAAACGAACTGTACCTTAACATTTTCATATCCCAGAAGCTAACGTTCCCATGACGAATATTGCCATCGCTAGCGATTGCAAAATCCAACTTGTCTCAATTACACCTTAATAATTTGGCTCTTAAAAGTTCACTAATTGTAGGCCACTCGCCAACCCTGTTCACTTCTCTGACACTTCTAGCAACAGCAACTATTGACTCTCCCTTCTCTGATTCCTAAATCACTTCTTCAATACTTCCTAAGAGGTGTAGATCTCGATAACCATTAAAACTGCGCAAACTCATTGCATTCACCATGATCATCTTCAGTATCCATTGTTTAAGTTACTATGTTCTGAGGCAGTATCATCTAGAAATGTGTGCTAAGATTGCTGAGGAACAATATACATGGAATGATGAGCAGGGCGATTAATTTTTACCATTTCATGATGGACTTTTTAAGTCCTCAGTGCAGAGATAAATATGACGTTCCTCACCGGGAAAATGCTGTCCCATTGCAAACTGATTGACTGGAATTGGTCTTTGACTTCTGAGGCTACACTGCTTTCACAAGTAGCTGTGAGGAAATTAGCGGTCTCTTCAAGCTGCTGATACTTTTCCTTCCATACACTAATATCCTGCACAGAAAAAATAAAATTTACAGACAGACTGAAATATGAAAAGCAGGGTGCCTAGCAAAACTTTCTTTCTCTTCTTCCTGAACCTTGGATTTTCCATCCCCCTGTATTTCCCTGATTCTCTCTGATTTTTTGTTCGAAATCAAGAGTGACACAGAAATGAACATGGCTCTGTGCCAAGTACCAGTAGAGGGCCCAAATTTCCAAAAGAAAAAATCATTATGGGCTGGGACAGATAACTGTGGGGCTCAGTATCAAAGGACTAGGAGGATATCAATGGTGAAATTGCAGAATTGCGTATCTCAGTTTGTAGCATTGCAGACTTCCTGTCATACTTTAGTTTTCACCTAGAAAACTACTACACATAATTTTTTAAAATTTTGGTAATTATTATTCTCTGTGTGAAGAATATTCTGTGAAAATTTCAAGCCATGATGTTGGTTCGGTCTCTTTTTTGAAAATAAAACTGGAGCGGAGATTGTGAAACACCGCAACTGATATACAAACGCATTTTTGCAGTTTCACCGTCAATATGCAAAAAGTCACATTCTTGCATTGAATATTGTCATTTCATGTATTTGATGGACAATAAATGCTGAGTTAAAAAAAATAAATAAATAAAAGAAAAAGAAAATTCTTGCATGGGCGTTTGCAACTCTCCCAGTTAGAAGTTTACTCTCCCTGATTTTTCAAATTTTCAGGTCACTAACCACCCTGAAAAAGGAAATTAACCCTGAATGACAATGATAGAACAAACAATCACATTTTTACAAAAAAATTTGAAGTCTGTAAAGATTCCAGAGAGTTGGAAGACAAAGCTGTGGATGCATTATACCTGGAAAAATTCTAAACGATCATCTTCAGATTGACCTAATTTGACTTTGGCATTATTTAGCCAGGATTCAAGTTGAGATTTCAAACTGTGCCAACGTTTCCAATTGAGGACTAGTTCTTCTAGCATACTTTGCACACATCGAAGTTCTATTGATATACTCCTCCATCGCTCTCCAATTTCTTCTATAAATCTGTCAGCACTTAATCTTTCTTGAGCATCTGCAAAAATTAATAAAATTGATCAATGTAAAAACAACAAATCCAATTCTAAATGCTGGTGACTTTACCGAAAAATTGGTTTATGGAAAAATATTTGACCGGCATTGGAGGAAAAATGGGTACTGAAGAATGAAAGTGTCAGAGGTTTTTTAAAGAAAATGATGATGCCTTCACCAAATTAAATCCAAATATAAGGTAACGACGATCCTATTACCTGCTAATTTAAAAAAATCCATTGTAAAAAGGACCGAAAACTATACATTCAGAAATTTTTTCAGTTTTCAAAGAAACACAAGTTGAGATACTTACATTTTCCATTAAAACTGATGATGTACCTACTTAATTTCTGAGAAAGTTATGATAAATACAAAAAACTCTCTTTCTTTGTAAGCAACAAAGATAACTCCTCATTCAGCTATTTTAATTTTAATTGAGATGAGAGAGAAAGAAAAGAGATGGAATTTGCTGAGGAATTTCACACAGGTTTAGTTTGTCTTCTGAGAATATTTTCTAAAACTTTTGATCAGAAATATTGGTTGTGTACTTTTTTCCCCATTTTACATGTCTTTAAAAAGAGAAAGAGAAAAAAAAAAATAAGTTAAATATGAAATTTCGAAAAAACACAATCAAGATATGAGTTTCCTTTAATTTTCCCATTGATTCGTACGTAAATAATTGAGAGATTAAAAATGAAGGGGAGACAATTTACCAATATTGCATTCTTGCTTGTATTCTTCTATAACATGCTGCATGTCAATGTACGCCTTGTTGAACTCCTGAAAAATTTTATTGCGGGACACAAAATTTGTGTACTGATCCAACAGCTGTTCAACATGCTCCTCCCGCCCATACTTGACAGTCCACGCTCGTAACTTATTCTCTGCTAAGTTTAAGAATGCTACTAGGCAGCACTGCAAACAGAAAGATTTGGCATCGGTTCAGCATTAAGTAGACTGTAAGCTCAATTAAGCTCATTCTATCAAAAGTTTGACGAGATGAAGCAAGTGTGCCATGAAATTACACGCGGTAAAGTGAGCTCTATAAATCTCCAGGAAGAGACAGTTTTAATGTAATAACTATGTTGATGCTTGAATAAAATCTGAAATTTAGAACTGGACTTATAGGTCCTTCAAACTTTTAATTTTTAAGAGAAAACCTTCGTAACTACAACTCTGTTGCAGGGTTATTGCCTTGTTCTCGTGTCAAAGATCCCTTTCACCAATCCTATCAAATTAGTTCAAGGATGGAGGAAACTGTTTGAATGTTTATCTGTCTGTAGAATAGACAATAGAGTTCTAAATCATTCTGTTGGAGTAGAATACCTAGCTCTCCACCATACGGCATAATTATTCATTAAATGTAAGTTTTTCTTCCTTGCGTGCAAAGTTTATTTCACTAGTTAGCTTAATTTTTAATTTAGGTCTTTGAAAAAATCCTGAATGGATTGAAATCCAGAGGGCAAACCCAGAATACTTGACCCATGATGAAATTTTCACAATATTTCTGGAAATTGAACACTTATGTGTGTTTTTTAGAATTAGAATTAGAGGAGATTAAGTCCAAGAAAGTAATCTTACCTTGTGTTCTAAATACTTCAAACGAATTCTTCTTTGTGCAGCCAGTACAGATACATTCGATAAACGAGTGACAAAATGACTTAATTGCTGTTCTGACACTTGGCTCAGTATCACAGGAGACTGCAAGGCAGCTTCCAACTCACTTTTTCTTGCAGGAAGGTCTTCAAAAAATTTCTGCAACACAATTAAGATTGAGTTAATACATCGTATGTTAATAATAATACAATAAAGGAGTGAGAGGAAATAAAATTCGAAACTGCAATAGCACTTTCAGCCATTTAGTTAACACACTGACCACCTCACTGGCGATCCCAAAAAGCAAAAAATGGCACTGATGTCACTCTAGTAAAATGTCTTGTCAATTCGACGGTGATATTCAAATCGTGGTGATCTATGTATAACTTTCATTTTATATTTGACAAGTTTGCACTTTTCAATCGCATTTAGAATAAACCTGTCATAGGACTAAAATTAAAATGAAAAAATCAGGACCAAGCAAAAAAATAAAGTTTCAACTGTGAGAACGGAGAAAGATCTCTAATACTAATGATCTGAAGTCTGGGTTGCATTTTCTAAGAATGAGAAGTCTCATAGAGCTCCTTGATTCTTAAAATATCCAAGACTCAGTTTGGAAAATTGGGAACACGTAAATTGTCAAAAAAAATAAGAAAACAGAAAACTCAAAAATTTTCAATGGTGATTATACAGTATTACAAACCTTGTGTTCTTCTAGTTTGCGACTAATAATTGAAGCTGTTTGTTCATTCATTTGGGCTGGAATGTCATCAGAATCAATCAACTCTTCAGCATGATACAGCCATGCTCCGATTGTGTTCAAAGGCGGTGGTAAATGTGAATCCAAGATATACCTCCAAAATCGTACCTATCAATTAAATAAGAATATTTCATACAAGGTATTTTTGAGTAATCATTCAAAACACTTTTGTATTTTAGAATGTTTGAGTGAGGTGAGATCATCAACAAAATTTGAAAATTAAACAAAAAGGTTGACGTTTGCAGAAAAAAATTATTGACACTGAATACAGCTTGTATCTAGAAAAAATTGTATGAAAATATTTAAATAAGTCTGATTTTCTGTCTTAAACAAGCATTTATCACTGCCAAAAATAAGCCTCTATCAAAAAGCAAAGACCAGAAGTATCGAAGTGGAGTAAAAAGTTATTTGACAGGCTAGTGCCTTTTAGAGAAAAATAGTTATTCAATATCTTCTGACTTTGATTGAAAATCATTTAAGAAAAATAAGGATGATGAACCTTCAATCAAAGAGACAAAGTGCTAAGACTCATGTAAGTGCGAATGAGAGAAATTTGACAGCATAAAGTTATCATTGTACCCATATAATATTAGACAGAGTATTGGTGATTGTGCCAGCGTCCGTTCTGACATAAGTATAGATTACAGACCGAGTATAAAACTGACAAATACTTCATGGAAAATAAAAGCTCACCAGAGCACAGATTTTCTCTCAAGAGAGGAAATTGTTGCGAAAATATATGATTACCTGAGAAATTAGAAGTCGATGCAGCTGTTGTACCCGAAGCCAAGAATCAGGCGTTATGCTAATACTTCCTTCAGAGTTGACTAAATTTTTCAATTTGTTCATAGTTACTTCTTTCCTAAAAATTTCATTTTCAAATTCAGACAGCTCCTGAAAAGTGAAAGCCCATTGTTAGCAAAAAAAAAAATAATTTTGATCACCAAGACCAAATTTAGATATCATATTTCAAAATTCTAATGTTTCAGCCTAACTATGGAGATGAAACTTTGGAGAGAGAACGTTGCAATGCTACCTCACACAAGCTTACAAATATGGGTAGGAAATAAAATTAGAATGTCCTTAGTATTAGTTAGTTTACATTCATTGCACATTGTCCGTCAAGTTGCACCTGGGATTAGTAGATAAATTTTCACTTAAGAAATAAGTTATGAGACTGTGATTTCAATTTGTTATGATAGATTTAAAAATTACCTACTCTTAAAATCGATGACAAGAAAGATAGAATGATAAGGAAGGATAACATTGATAATTAGAAATTACATTCATTTTGATCCCAAATATTAGGCACAATGATGCTTTTTTGTCCTTTTCTATGGATGTACAAAGGCTCAAATGAACTTTACATTTTCAAAATTTCAAAATCTGCTTATCTAAGATTGACAATATACCACCAATAATTCAAAACACTTCTCATTCAAGCATTAAAAAAAAGAGGTTTTGACTTAATTTCTTTTAGTGCACTATTAAGTTTACACAGTATCATCCTTATGTAATGAAATCACTTCAATGCAGGCTCAGTGATATTCGTTTTCCATCGAGGTTGAATTAACGCTCCACTCAGAGAGATAGCGAGATCAGATTACCTACTTGGATCCGTACTTTTAAAAGCTGAGGATATATACATTTAAATTAAAAATATATAAGACATGGGTTAAGTAGAGATTAAATAAAATTAAGTAAAATTATCAGGAGAAAGCAGGCCCTTTGGGTGAGATGCAAAGACTTACGCGACAGAAAAGTACAAGAGCAGCGATGATACCAAAATAATATGGGAAAGGGTTGACCATGTTAGTGTGGACTGTACTGTGACTTTCAGGACTAAAAGCTACAATGTATTGAAATCTACTTTTAATTTTGATATAATCGAACTACAGGAAGAGGTTAAATTAATTTTACTTAATTCTACGAGGAGTCAAAGTGAAAATGTATTAAATGCAAAGGAGCAGGTTAGGTTAGATGGACAGGTAGGCATTAGCTGAGACAGGGGGCCGAGTAAAACCACTTACTGGATAATCCCCAGGGACTGAATTACTTTCACGGAGATGTTGAAGGTACTGAGTTCGCTCCAACAGCCACTGAACGAGATCATTATACTCAGCTTGGATAAAAGACAATGACTCTCCCGACTCATTCTTCAAGGCTGGGTACTTGTGCAAAAATTGAGCAACATACGTCATGACCGATTTTTCATCCGGTCTATCCACATCAACATCCTGGGATCACATTAAAAACGGAGTGAAGACAAAAATTTACCATCGTAACATCTCTCTGCTGAACACACTTTTGCCTCACACCAAAGGGCAGACCTATATTAGGGTATGAAATTCTACTTCTCACCTTCAATGTGAATCAAAATAAACATCCAAACCTAGGAGAGTGAAAATCGACTAAAATTTTACTTGAATGCAACACTTTCAAACCATAATAGACATGATAAAATCCTTCCATTTCAAGCCTATTATCATGTAAATACTTAAATTATTTATTCTAAGCAATCTGAAGACAGTAAAAAAAAAACACAATCTGTTAGTTTTGTTGAGGGCAATTTTTATTGTCAAAGGAATTTTCTCTTATCTCTTTTCTTCCTGTTTTTGGTTCAGATTGTAGTTTCACTAAGTTATGGCTAATGGCAACTTGAATTTTGCCCTCCTCTCCCCAGCCCATAACTAAAATAAAGAGGAGTTTATACAGGCAAAAAAAAATCTGTTTCGGACATACAAAAATTCCGCCTCCTAAGTGAAAAATTCCTCTTTCAAAATCAAACTGAAAAAAAAATTCTGGCGAACACTTGACACCTCAAAGTTGATTGGTTTCAATTTATAATCAGTGTATCAGTGTGTTCAATATACAACAACTCCAAAGTATAATAGTTTTAAAAGTAGAACTAAAAGATCAAAAGTGGAATGATTTTTTATTTTACCTCAGGGTCGAGAAGTCTATGGATTCCTAAATCTTGTTCAGCAACGCTGAAAGCAGTTTCCAGTCTTGACAAATTTGATGATCGCGTTAGAGTTGTTAAATCCACTAGGTTAGTCTGAATTGTGTTAATCATGTGTAGAAATGCAAATCCATCTCTCCAACTTGGTCCAAAATCTCGAACGTCTAAGTTGAGATCCCTAATCAGAACAGAAATAATTAATGAGTTTAATGTTACTTTGAAATCAATGATACCGTAATTTTAGATAGATCCTGTACACGAAAAATAATTTTTAATTAGTACTGTTGGCTTCAATTAGAGGGATTTTTATAATGAAAAAGGCGAGTTTTAGGATTTTTCTTTCTTAATTGTTCTCATTATAAATAATTTGAGAAGCTTGATCTAAAATTTTTAGCATCTTCAACTTACATCTATTTCTATTGACATTTATCTTGGATGTTTAAATTATGCCTCCCTGAATTTTCATTTAATAACTGCACCGCCTACTTTAAGATAAACGACATTGGCTAAGAGATTTAAGTACCAATATATTGTTGATGATTGATGACTCATTAAATCATTTGAATTAGCAGCGTATTAGGACCTTGTAAGTAAAAATTAGAAACCAACATAATTCATTGAAAATGAAATAGGATAGAATCTAAGGCATATGTGAAGAACTTACTTGGGCAGTACATCGGTAACCCATTTTAAGAGAGCTTTACGTGCCCCAAGACCAGACTTGCGGGAAGACTCGGATGAGTAATCTATGGAAGATAAGCTATCGATGCTACTTGTTCTAGTATTGAGCAATTGAAGAGCTTTTGTATTTTCTTCAATCTGGAAAAGATAGACAAACAAACAGTCACAGAATATTCAAAAGAAAAAAAAGAAAGTTTTGACAGATAATTATAAAATGCGGCGAAAAGAAAACTTAGAAATGAAAAAATTATCACGTGGAGCAATACAATTCATGGAGCTCTAATCAACAACCAAAGAGGGGAAAGATAATTTATGCTGCTAAAATAAACTTGTTGCACCTAACCAATAATAAGAAGGTTAACCTATTTTTTTTTTTTAAAACCAATTTTCAAATAGCTCTGAAGATTAGTTCCACAATTAATCCCTCCTCCCCCTCCTGCCCTTACACCTAGCCCCAAGTGACCTTTGCTTGAAACCACAAAACTCATGTCAACTGGCCAGGAATCAAATAAAGGCCCTCCTTATCGTAGGACCAGTGTTACAGCCACTACACCACAGGACCCAGTGTTGAGTGAAGTTCTAGCACTTGCATAGTTAAAAAAATACATTCAATGCGTCTTGTTATCAATTAAAATGCGTTGTCTTGGTATCAATTGAATTTTTTTCGAGAGGAGAGTGTCACCTATCCTATCAAAACTATTATTTTATGCACTCTTTCTTCAGGATTCAGTCATAAGTATTTTCAATTTAATAGCTCAGAATTGTTCCTTGATTGTGGCCTCCTAAAATATTTTTTGTTCCAAAAATGTAAGTCGTAAATAGTAATGATTTGGAGTTATGATTGGCAAAGTACTTACTTGGAAGTACAAGATAATTGTCCAGATAAGTCCTAAAATTATGGCAGGCCGTCCATCGACGAGGTCAGTTGCATTTATGTTAACTAATTTAATCTGAAAAGCAAAATATTGACAAATTACAAGAAAATATTGACAAGTTACAAGAAAATATTGATAAATTACAAGAAACTATTGATCAATTAGTGTCAAATAAAGGAGGTTCAGTTTTATATGCGGTGTTCCATACTGAAGTTTAGCTTGATTGAGCAAACTCATTGATTGAACCAAATCGAGAATAAAATTTATTTATTAACACTGCATTATTGGTTTTGTGAATCAAGAATTGGAGTGTACAGACCAAAAAATTAAATCTAGTGGAACACCAAACGTTCGGTAGGTATTTAAAAGCGAACTTTTATTTTAGTGTATTTTAGTGTAAGATTTGGAATTAAGAGCCAGAAACTGGACAGTTTTTCAGAACCTTTGCTCTGTTCATTCGAAATCGACTGAAAAGAGATTGAATTCATTGATTGAAAAAGTACAAAACGACAGAAAACAAACCTTTTTACTTTTGAGAAACTCGAGTGCTGTATGGGCATTACTTAAAAATTGAGGTCTCCTAAGGTTACGTCCTTTCTCTGTGGGCTGGATAAACACAAAATAGCAGGTAAAAATAAATTAACGAAATTAAGTAACATTGTACATATTTTATGATAAGGCAACAAAAATAGCAGGGATAATAATATCAATCCATACAAAGGATTATTCTTTGTATAAGTAGGTAGATCAATACCCATCATTTAAAAAATTGTATCAAACCAAAATGCTGGACAGGATAAATTTTGCATAATTGAGCCATTCTAACTTATTAAATCTGAATTGTAAGATAAAACACACATGAATAATTGATATCAAGGACAACGGAAAATACGACCACATGATCTGAGTCCTAGATCTAATCTTTTCAAGTCAAAAAAATATTAGAAGCCAAGGGTTCGTTTCGATTGGCATGAGTCCGGCTCATATATTTGGAAGAAAGAGGAATGTCTGAACATCTCTTAGGCAACAAAATGAACACTACGCTTACCAGTTTTTCACCGGATAGAACTTCGAGTAACGCCAGAAGTTTGGTCCCGTCTTTTAAATCATTTATCAAGTCATCTATCCTCAATGGCGGTGTTCTCTGAAAAAAAGGCAGGGATAAACTCAATCAATTTGATGGATGAACATGGAGACATAAGTGATCTTGTCAATGTTTAATGCAAGGCATAATGCTGACACCTTCATAAAAAGAATGGAAAGAAAAATTGAAAGGGGTATCCAACTTTCCGCTCAGCGCTTCCGGAGAAGGAGAAGCATGTAACATATCGATGGCTAAAGTGCAAGACCACGTATGTCAATTGTGATGTTTCTAAATCTCGGCTTCTATCAGTGTTGGACTGGCCATAAGGCCAATCTGCAATTGGCAGATACGCCCCCCTGAGGCATCGAAGATGCGCCCCTCTGCCGGGTACAGCAAAATAAGATGAGAGAAAAAATTATGACCGAGAAAAAATGCAGAAAATTCATGAATGAACGGGAGAAGAGAAAATAAGAGCAAAGAAAGGTCCTCGTACGCATGATAGTGGTGAATGGAGGTCCTGGAACAGTGGCGTAACGGGCGCCCCCGCAGACCCTGCTATGCAGGGGGGCCCAGGCGCCTAGGGGGCCCACGGCCGCCGGAATTTTGGCGCGTATACGTAGTATACNGGGGGGGGGGGCTAGAAAAAATTTTGCGGGGGGGCCCAGCGGAAGTCCGTTACGCCACTGTCCTGGAACTATGAACCGGAAAAAAGTCCCCAGAGGCGCCTTGACCTACAAAAATGCTGGAAAATTGATGGGGTTTTTATTTTTCTTTTTATTTGCTAAATTCGGATTTTGTATCCGTAGCTCAATATTTTGAAGAAGAGAATTTGAAAAATTGGTACGTACTGGTTTATTCAAGCTGTAATGAATGACAATTAAATATTTCACTCACTAGCAGAAATCCGATTGAAAAAATTGCAAACTTACGCTATTGCGCGAAAAATTGGCCACTCTCCGTCGTAAAATTAGCTTTCCGGCATTGAAAATGTTTGTCGATTGTGGTTTTCGAAAAGGGGATGATGAAAGGGGATCATTGAGTGAAGAAATCAAAATAGCTCTCGAACTTTAGTCAAGTGTCAAAATACCTATCCATGAAATTTCTAAGATCGGTAAAAAAATTATTTTCTTCGAAATGTTCACCTTTCTGGTAACATAGAGACGCTTTATCCCCCCCCCCCCCGTCCTCATCCGCCATGTGTCATACTCTCTCAGAAGAGGTAGCCCAGTCAATTTTTTTGATCGATGGAGAAACCTCTGACATTTGTTTTCTTTTCAAAATGATAGTTGATTAGGGCACATCTTATTTTCGGCTGTGTTGCTCACGTAGCCCTTGAAGTACCACTACAAATGAGACAAACGAAACTAACACACTATGGAAATAGAGCAAATGGAAAGACGGCGTAGAGATACAACTATTCGTGCTTAATGGATGTGTATGTTGCATCTGCAAAATTGAAGGGACGATGGCGCGAGCTGTAAATTCGCGATGTTCCGCAGCTCCGCTTTGTACTGCCAATGATGTGTCGTGAGAAAATTAAGAAACGAGGCTCGATTATTACGGCTCTCCTTTTTACGGCTGTGTTGCTCATACAGTCTTTAAAGCACCGCTACGAATACAAATAAGACAAACTGAAACAAACGCAGTATGGAAATGGAGCAAAGTAAAAGGAGGCGCGTTGATGACGGCGCAGAGATACAACTATTCGTACATGATGGATGTCCGTGTTGCATCTGCAAAATTGAAGGCGCGATGGCGCTAGGGGTGAACTCGTAATGCTTCGTTCTATGCTTTCCTCACTCAATGATCCCCTTTCTTCATCCCCTTTTCAAAAACCACCATCGAAAAAAATTTTCAACGCCTCAAAGCTAATTTTACAACGGAGAAAGACCAATTTTTCGCGTAACAACGAAAGCCAAAAGCGTAAAACGTAATAGCGTAAGTTTGCACTTTATTTAATCGGATGTCTGCTAGTGAGTGAAATAATTGTCATTCATTACAGCTTGATTAAACTAGTATGTTCCAATTTTTCACATTCTCTTCTTCAAAATATTGAGCTACGGATACGAAATCTGAATTCAGCAAATAAATAAATACATGAAACTTAAATCCGGTTTATAGTTCCAGGACCTCCATTCACCACAATCATGCGTAGCAGGGTTGCCGTGTTTTCAGTTCTAGAGTCCCCGAATAAAGTGGCAGCCCTGTCAATGTATTTGCTCCCTATTTTTGCATGGAGAGTTTGTCTTGATGTAGACGTGGACTTTCAGGATAGCGTGGGATATCCCCTCCATTTTGGCCTCAACTTGAGAGCTTTTTTTGAGCTTGGGAGTTGATTTCAGAGAAAACCAGGGGCACCATCGTGTTTCTCGCGAACTTATACGTTAAGAATCGATAGTCAAATCGCAAATTCCTCACACATGCAACATCTCCATTCGGCACAAAACATATAAGAGATGAATGAAAATGCAAGACAGTAGTTGAGAAATGGCCGGATCTTGGAGGAGCAGGAAATGGTTGACAGGGAAAACCATAACGTTGGCGCTCTAGTTGTTCATTGAGTATCGGATGAGCGCGAGACGCCCTCTCTCCCGTCAACAGCTACAAATAGTCGGCGTGCCTCGGTGTTCTACTTGAGAAAAACTTTCGTTTCCCAACTTTTATGGGCTCCCGTCAGGGATTATAGCAACTCAATTAAACTCCTTTTATCATACAATTATCGATTATGAAACTTGATTCCAACTCCGGGCTATAATTTGAAAACTCACGATAAACATGAACACGGAGGTTTGGAGCCTTCTGCCGGGCACAATTTTGACGTTGATGAAGGGCCCACCGTGACTTATTATCGAAAACTGCGCGGGTAAAGTTCCCGCCACGTAACTGTTTCTACGTACCAATGCTGTTTCTGCATACTTCAAGTTTCGAAGGAGTTAGATTCCTCAAGTCAATTCTCGAGTTAGGCTGCCGCTTTGAGGAAAAACGCCGTAGGAACATTCAAGATTTGCCAAATTTTCTCGAGTATAATCGTTATTTTTAAGAAGAGTCCCAAGTAGCAGTGATCGCGATTAATAGCGATTGTATCGGTTGGTTATCGCGATTAAATCGGTGGCAATATATCGAGATATTATCGCGTTAAAAATTGCGATGTATGGCGGTTAAATTGCTACATATCGCAATTTTTGGTTCGATAAAATCGTGAACAATTTTCGTCGATAAAATCGACATTAAATCGCCATTTATCGCGATAAGATCGAGGATAATCGCTCAGATGTTGATGGTCCTGGCGATTTTATCGCCGATAAAATCGCAATATGTATAGCGATTTTTCCGTTGAGAAATGCTACTTGGAATTATCGATATTTTCTATTAAAATTTGCAGAAAATTTAGCGCTGATCGCAAATAAAATTCTCATGTGGAAGAGAAATGTTCACTGATTGCCCTGAAATTCCGTATTTTATCAACGATTAAGCCATTTTTTCAAAATTTGGCAACATCTTGGTGACAATTTTTTTATGAAATGGTCAAATTCGGATTCAGCGCAAAAAATTATATAAGAAACCATGTAATTAATGCTACCCGGTGTTTTTGGAGGCTAAAATTTCTATCTGCCCGGACTCAAAAAGCGTCGTCGCTCCATAAAGCTGTTTACAAAAATGATGATATCTCGCGAACCAAAAGTTTCCCAGCGAGCTATAATATATCGATGGATGCGAAATCGAACGAACTATCGATTAAACACCTTTTCATTCAAATTTGAAGATAGCTTTTTTGGGTATTCGCGGATTTATAAAATTTGTCGAATTTAAAAATCGAAAATTTGGCAACAACGCATGTTAAAATTAATGCGACATCAAATACATGGTCATTTCCTAAAATTGCGCAATTTTTAGAGAATTTTCGTTTAAACCGCAACTTCATAGCTCAATTTTAATGCCACTAACGGAATTTGCCCGTTTTCAACTTGGCAACGCTGTAGCGCGCGGGAAAAAATTCGGGTGAACTTGCCAATGCCGGAAAAAGGCTTGTCTTGTGATAGGGAACAACATATCCAACTCCGAGCAAAATCCAAGCGTAGGGTAAAATCGCCGATTTTGAATAACCCTCCTTGGGAGCGTCTGACGGCTTATACGGCGTTCTTCCCTAACACGGCAGCATGAGCGGAACTGGGAATTGTTTGTGGGGGTAAAGGATATAGGAAGGGGGCATCGCATGAAGGGAATTTTGGGGGTAAAGAAAACACGCCCCAAAATGTTTTTGAAAAGAGACGGCTCGATTCGACACTCCAAGTGGCCGCTTGCTTTTATTTTTTATCAATCACAACCCTGATCGATATGAAGTGAAATTTTCAGAGAAGGATGATTTACCTTTGATAGATAGGAATTGATCCAGTTGACGAAAGTTTTTTTCTGAACTCGTTCTTGCTCATCTGAAACAAAGAAACATAAATTGTGAGCTAATTTTGACGGATCAATATGAGCATGAAAGTCACTGTAGATTGGGCTTCGGTTAATGAAAACACTTCACAAATGGTACGGTTGAGGACAATGATCTCCAACCAACGTCATTTCTAACCATTTGTCTATTATTTACTTACTTTTGAACCATTCAAGCGATCAAAGCTTGACATTTTCGCCGATGATACTATGCAGAATGGCAAAATTACTAAAATTCATGGGGCTTTCTCCAGCCTCTCTGTTTGCTTTCCTCCCTGTTTCTCCCGCTAAATCGTAAAATTATGTTTCCTGTATCTTATACGTTTTCTGGGTTAGAGGCATATAGTATTGATATTACACTGAAAAAAAAGATTGGTAGAATTTACCATTCCTTCACGCTGTATTTTACACGGCGTAAATTCAAAGCCGACTCTGTCAGAGGAATGGTTACCTGTACCAGTATATAGTAACGTTCACCTTTTTTTGGCAGAATTGACTCTGAATTGATGCTGTGTGAAATACAGCGTGAATGAATGGTAAATTCTACCAATCTTTTTTTTTTCCGTGTATATTCAAAATAGACTGTATTTTCAGGATTTCCCTAAACCTGTGTTTTTCGAGAGGTTTCCCATATAATGTGCCTTCTCGAGTTTTCCTGGTTGCTACAAACCCTGTTTTTCAGAGCACCAAACCTCAGATTAAATGGACGTATTTCTGCCAAACGGAACTATGTGCATTATGGCGTGAGCCCTGTTATGCATACATTCTTAAGGGTCTCAGGGCTCATGTCTTAATGCAGATAGTTCCGTTTGACAGAAATACGTCCAAATAATACAGATAAAAATCGTCGAATGACCACTAACTTGACTTAATTTTGAATAAATCATACCCTGTGACGACATGGGGTCGTTCGTCGACCAGACCACAGTGAAATCTGTGTTCAAGAGATAGAATAAGCTAATCGTCGTCTCTCAATTAAAGACGCCCACAAACCTACAAACAAGAAAATTTACTTTCACCGCCGAGTGTTCTCGTGTTTTTCCTCCTTGTATTTTCGACGGTTCGAGAGGGAAATTTAAACAGCTGCTCTGCATTCGCGAGTCGTCAACATTAAATTCGACGACCTACATTTAATTAGCGGAGACATGGAACCTGTGTATATCGGCGAGATTGTTTTTAAACTTTGCAAGGTACATTTTACTAAGATGAAGATACGGATCTTATGCAGTGACGAGACGTGGATAATCGGTAATCGATATTTCCCCATACGAAGCTATGGTAAAGAATCGATTATTAAGGTGTTCGTTGCGAGCACCCTGTTCATCGATCTTTTTCCATAGGTATACATGGCAGATGAATGGCAAAATCAAATGGCAGAAAAAAAAACTCGATTCATAAGGAACAAATAAGCCGGAAATTCAGTTTAACCTTTGCCGAGCCTATAGTTTGAGGGAAATTGAGAAGCAGAAGTGCGGCATTGTATAATCAATTTTTTTCAAATTTTAGTAATGGTAAACTTGTCAAACTGAGCCCAGTTTGCCAAACAGAATCGGCACTCGACACGTCTTCACCGGGCAAAATTGTGATGAGCCCCGAATATAACTTCTCTACGATAAGAAGAGTCTGAATTTGTAGCACTCAAACCACGTCAAATGACAGAAAATCATTCCAAGCTTGCTATTTATCAATATATCACACTTTAAGTAAGTAGAGTGCGCAAACATTTCAAAATCATGAGTTGAAAAGTGCTGACTCCGCGAGTTTAAATATTGAAGCCAAACACAGCGGAGCAGCGTGCTTCCAGCGCAAAAAGGTGCATTAGCACCTACAAACCTACGGGGATACTTCAAGCATTGCGCAATGCGTGCTGTGCCACGGCGCCTCAAGCAACTATTTCACCGCCTAGGTGTTGCACAGTATCCTACGAAATTGAAGGCGCTCCAGCATGCTAAGAATGACACGCATCCTTTAAGAGGCTTTAACCCTTAAGATTATCAATAAGGTCCGATACTTCCAGGACAGACCTCGTAAAAGATTATTAAAATGACAAAGCATCATGGAGATAGAGAGGAGTTCGCTAGGATTCTCTGTAGTCCAGTAGCATATTGAAAGGGCAAGAATTCGCAAAAAAAAAGCTGAGACGGAGATTGATGATGCAAAATATCGTGGGTTCGAATCCCATGACTGAGCGTGTATTTTTACTCATGAGAAGTCGTTATTTTTAGCATCGCCCGCTGAGCGTTTGTCGTTGGGTCTAAATGAGAGTTCTCAGAGAAATAATTTCATGCTCTGCATTTTCGCGGTATATGGAACAAGGTTTCGTATGAATTTTAGAGCATATATTCTAAACCGTATAGTATATTATCATAATACGGCATCCATACATCTGACAGGATTGATCACAAGCGTAGCTAAAACCATGGGGGCGGAGGGCAAGAACCAATGTACCCTTCACAACGGTTCTGCGGTATTGAGCGGTTATGAACGATCAAAACTTTTGTTTTTGGTCCCGTCGATTGGTGGTTCAACGATTACCCTTGCTTTGCTTTTAGTATGACTCAGTAGAAGCGACACACAAAGGATCGAGTCAATTAGAGAGTTCGGACATGAAATTTTTGAGGAAAACTGAATTTTTTTTTTTTTTTTATTTTTTTTTATATTTTAAATTTCAGCGGGTGCTTTCAGAAGAAAATTTCACGAGGAAACCAATGAAGCCTCTTTTAGAACCTTAAAGTTTTGGATAAACGAAGTTATATAATCGTTTTAAGTTTCCAAATTTAGTCCGACCTCTTTTTTTGACTTGATCCACTGTGCGACGGCCAAGACGCGCGGATGCAGGTATTTATGCGCGTCGAGCTTTTGACCTTCATTCACCCAGTGACCTTCCGAAGTTGGGTTTGGAGGACTGGAAGGGAATGATAGGGAATATGAGAAAGAAAAGGGCTACATGTTACATGGGGAAAAACTCGCGACGTATAATGATACTGTGCAGCGGAGGCTAGGAGTGGAAAGGAGAAAAAAAGGAGGATGCACATATGATACGAGCAGGTGAGGCGCCACTTGGCACGCGCCGCAGCCGCAACTGGTGCGGTAGGGCGACGCGTGTCGCGCTCTTGGTGCCATGTTGCCCAATAGAATACCCAAGAATAATGCTGTCTTCAAACAATTGAATAAATTGAGTATAACCGAGAGGAAACGAGGTTTTTAGCCATGTCGACAACGTCCGAATACAACTATATTAACTTAACGGATAATATCCTGGTTGCCATCTCAAAACTGAAGGGGCACCTGCTATTACTGCGCTAACCACAGAATCAGTAGAGTTGGTTCCTTTTCCTCGATTTATTTTACCAAATGGCGCAAGGGGCCGTTTACAAACGCTCAAGAACGTTTTACCCTGTGTGTGCTATTTGTCTCATCGGAAAAGAGAAATAAATGCTTCCAAAAAAACTCTTCTCGGGGGAATGTGTTTGTAGGTATTATAAAGGAGGGGGGGGGGCACTTTCGGTCAGGAAAACTGCATATTGTGTTCATAAATGTCAATATCATATAAATTGATCCGAACAGGCATTATCATAAAGTTCAATATAAAAGCTGAATACAGAACTGTTTTTCAGTGACGAAGATAATGATCTGAATAGTTTGCTTCTATCAGTAACATTAATAAGGAGAAAATAATTGTATTTCCATTTGCGGGGTGAAAAATTCGCAGATCTTAAGTTTGATTTGAGAGTTATCACTCGGGCCTTCTAGAAGCAATCCGCTATTGCCTCTCATAAGAGTTGCCATAGAATTTGGAAAATTAAATTCCCTGACATTTCCCTGATTTCCCAGACACATTTGGTTAAATTTCCTGACAAATGGTTAAGAGGACATAATGGAGAATAGTTTTCAGGCGAAATTTGTAGTTCGGAACCTCAAACTCATTTTAGAGTGCAAATAGGAGAGATTTAACTTTTCCCCGACATTATTTTTGTCATTTTCTCTGACAATTCCCGGTCGTCCCTGACTTTTTAAAATTCCCTGAAAGTTTCCGGTTTTCTCGGTATTCACTGACTGTGGCAACCCTGCCGCATGACATTATGGAAGGTGCTTAGCAGAGAGATAGTCACCAAAGGTCACCATCAACAAGCGGTGAATGAAGAACGCGTTTCCTTCCCTCTGCAAGAAATCACCAACACCGCAAAAAACGTTGTTCCGGAGTGTGGCAATGCAGCTCATCCGTACCGCAATAATTACGCTATTACCTACGGACACCGTCGCAGCGTGGGAGCAATGAGCATGCAGCAGGTGACCCTCCGTTCCCATTGTTCCCGTCCCCCGACCCCCCCCCCTTCACCACCCTTACCTCGGCGCCGCACAGTGCGGCCCTCTGTGGACAAAAATAAACAATGGATCACTAGATAAGGCACGAATTTAAACATTCTGATACATGTTGCCTAGCCAGAATTTCACGTAGAACACGATTCGCACAACGAAAATTACTTAAACCAACTTCTAATGAGGATATTAACGTTTTTATTTCACATTGGTTACGAGGAATTTGAACTGCCCGCTCACAAGAAACTCAAAGCTCTACGTGAATCAACTCGCGCACTAAAACGCAACGGTTTCAGCGATGAGCTTCTCAGTCGAGCAATGTTCATGTCCTACCATGTTTTGTTCAAACTATTAGCACTTTGCTATAGCTGAGCCAAAGCGTCAAGATTGAGGTTGCCAGATTTTTATATCGCAGAGACTGTCATGATAACGTTTAGCGCGCGATGTGGATCACGTAGAGCATTGAGTTTTCATGAGCGGGTGGTTTGAATTGACGCATCAAGAATCATTAAATATCTTCGTAAGGAGTTAGTTTCGGTAAATTTCCTTGTGTGCATCGTGTTTTACGTGAAATTTTGGTTAAGAAACATGTATCAGAATGCTAAAATTTGTACCTTATCTATAGTGGTCCATTCACAGTTCGAGAACTGAATAATTTTTTTTGGAGTTGGTC